CTTCTCGTTTGTTTTTTTTGTCTTTGTTTTATATCTTTTTAAATTTATATATTTTTTTTTTTATATAATTTTTTTTTTTTTTTTTTTTTTTTTTTGAGAATAAGTCTCTGCCTGTGAGGTAGAAATGCCGCCGGATCGGGGTCGTGCCTCTAAAGCATGCACCTCATGCAGAAAACAAAAGACCAGATGCTACGAGCCCGGAATTCCTGGACGGGCATGTATGCGATGCGACCGACTTCACCAGAGTTGCTCGCTCGTCCAAATTATTGCTTCTGACGAGGAATCCGTAGCCCCCGCACCAGACACAGATGCTCGGTATCAATCCCGCAGCTCATGTTTAGTCTCAAACTGACAAGCTTCTATAGTTTGGAACGTCTTGAAAAGACTGTGGCTACTCTGCTCGATCGGCTTGGAGAAGGCCCAGCAGGTACTCCAGGTCATGAGTCGAGTAGACCTACCCCCGTGCGGACGAGCCCGGGACCTGGCGATGCGTACAAGGACGCGGAATCCTCCGCGGCTCCGATCATGGTCATCCGCGATCTAGCAACGGACAGCGGCATCAAACCAATGTCCGATGCCAGATCCCTCGGGGCTGTATTGGACGAGCTTATTTCGCATGATCTTGCACTTACGCTTATAACAATGTATGCTGCATGAATTACTTCATCATGGCGAATTGTCACTAACCTTTTATTAGTTTCCTCGATCATTACGGTCGATGGGTTCTCTTTGATCCGCAGTGCGAGCCAAGCGAGCTTCTCCGCCGAGTGAAAAAATCGAGCTTGCTATTCAGCGCTTGTTCTCTGATCGCCGTGCGGCACACTTCCGAGGAATTGGCTGCAAACTTAGCTCCGAAGTTGTATGAATATGTCCGGTCCCTTGCTTCCACCACCCTTCTAGTTTCCCCACAGCCTATAGAGTTCTTTCAGGCCACCCTAATCTTATCTTTGTGGTCGACAACGGTCGGACAGGTGCCTTTGAGTATTGATAGCTGGCTTTTGAGCGGTTTCGCTTTACAGCACTCCCATTCCAGCCCGCTGTTTACTGCTGTCACGACTCAGTCTCATCCCCCAAACATATTGGATGAGGAAACTATGGCTAATTGCTATCTCTGGAATCATCTCTGTCTTGCTCACATGCATTATTGTGTCGGAACCAGCCGTCGATCCATGCTACAACCCTGGCAAATCGAGCGATGTCGTGCCATCATTGTTTCGGATCATGCGACAAATTTTGAAGTGCGCATGGTGGCCGAGATTTATCTTTACTGGACTGTATATGAACATCTCATTCAGGAGTCGGTTGATTTACTGAAATCACTGGCAGCTTTGCAGGACTGGCGACGAAAATGGGAATTTGTCCTTGGTATGTTAATTTGACTTATATTTTTGCGTTTTCGCTAATGGGTTTTGCGATCAGAGCAACCAAGGTCTCAGTTTCTCTCAATGGGCTTTCACTTCTCTCATCTGCTTCTATATGAACATGCTCTGAAATCCAAGTCTTCCCGAGGCCGAGAACCAGTTGTGTCAGAAATGATTCGCCATTCCACGGCAATCGTGCAACTGGCCATGGATACAGTAGATGAGCGCACGCGCCATTTGACCGACCACATATACCACATGATCACCTTTGCGGCGATTGTTATCTGCCGCCTACTGAATGCCTACCAAGAACAGGTTGCCTCGACTCACAACATCGAGGAACTCGAATTTCTCATACGTGACTTAGTGCAGTGGATGTACTGCATTGGGTTACCATGCCATGCGGCGCATACTTTAGGAAATATCATCACGAAAGTGCAACAAAAGCTCCGACCGCATGTCGAGCTACCACCAGCAAATCTGCAACCAGACGAGCTACTTGGCGAACTTAACAATTATTATTTCCCCGAGTTTCTTGGATTGGGGATTTCAGCTAATGGGGATTGGGATCTTTTGTCCAATATGGGTCTCTTTCCGGAAAGCCCATCTATTCCAGGGAGACCTGACTGAGATATCAAGCCGTTTAATATGCGAGTTAGAAACCATATTATGCGGTAACATAGTGACAGCTCTTCACCGACCCCCATAATGCCTTTCAATCCACCGGAACAGAGGGAATACAGCCCCAGAGAATGCAAAGGTCAACTCGTGGCCTATATTTGCACCTTTCTTGCCAATCAAAGAAGCAATAGGACCCGAATACCATGCGGTTTTCATGCCAAGAGCAGCACCGAGGAACCCGAATCCGAAAGCCCCGATGGCGGCCCATCCGAATGGCAAATCAGCAATGCTGTTCCAAGCATCGAAATCATATCCATTCCATCCATTCCATCCATGCCGGAAAATGAAATGCTCTTCCATTACCAGAGTGATGTGGATCACAGTCCAGTACCCAATCACACTAAGCAATGTCTGCAGAGTATCCGAGAAATACCTGGCTGCACAACAACCAACGACTATCGCTGCGATGAATCCAAGAGTGACCATAATCACACGAGGAATGCGCATAGCCCACGGTCCTAGATTCTGTGCGTGTAGTGCAAAGGAGTAGTTGTTGGGGATGTTATTCTTTTCCAAAAATTAGCATGCAAATCAGAACACCAACTGGATCCATTAACTCACTGGAATTGAGCTCAATGCCGCAAGCACCATCAAGAACTTCCCAAATCCCCCTGCCGGCTCCAGTGCCATCTTGAGCAACCCCCCAATCGAAGAAGCCGTATACGCCTCTTTCCACGCTGTATTGGTTATAGTGCCTGTATACAAGGCCGCACCAAGAGTCTGAACAAGCACAGTAGGAACAAAGATACCCACATAGGTAGCACTGAAGATCTGCCAGCGCGGTGTATCCTTGGGCATGCGCACATTATAATCCGCCGCGCAATTCACCCAGGAAACCGAGAAGGAGAATATCAAAGCCATGTATGTAAGAATAGCAGCAGCTTTGTTTGAGCCCTGAAGATGAACATGGTCCTCGCTCGTGAGCTGTGAAGCACCCGTCCCAGCAGCAACACACCACACAATTAAAGGTGGGATCCAGATGAATGTGTCAAGACGATGGATCCAGTTGATACCGAGTACGCAGATGACCCAGACAGCCACGCAGATCACGATCACGCCGGCCCAAATGGGAAACCGGCCATCTGAGACGGCATGCAGGACAGCTGCGCCGGAGATAGAGTTGATTGCGTTCCAACCTGTTGTGGCGATCATGGAGAATATGACGACGAGCATGTTGCCCCAGTAGCCGAATGAGTATCGTCTAGGATTCGGGTGTCAGTTACAGAGGGCTACCTATAGGAATACATTACTCACGAGAACGTCGTCATGCGTAGTCCTGTTAGTCCAAATACGGATGTCCAGGCTGGTAGTAAATCGCTTGTGATGTTGACTAGGAGAATGACGATGAAGCAGTCCCAGAAGGGAAGGCCGAGAGAACCTCCCAAGGAGCCGATGTTGAGGGTGGCTACAGCCATGTTTGCACTGAACCTGTTGATAGAAAAGGGATACGTTAGTGGTGATCGATATTCATTCGGATATCTGTCTTACCAGAATGTAGCAGCATGCCAGAACTTGGTTGTATTCTGTTGTCGCTCTTCGTCGGTGACACGTTCGATGCCACCTTCTTCGATGGAGAATCTTCCATGAAAGAATGATTGATGAGGCCTCACTGGCTCTGCTTCAGACTGTGCTTTCTGTATAGATTCATTATAGCTGTTCATTTTGACGAATGGTCGAGATAAAAAGCTGAAGTGAACTGAGCAAATTGCGACTTTATGCCGGGGAGACACTCTCCTTTCTATATTTCCACAATATCTCCTTTTTTCTACTCATCTTCTTTCCATTGATAGCACATCAGACACTGAGGTCTGCCTATTAGCATCCATGATTGGGCTTATCTCGCGCCATATCGAACACCTCTTGGCTAATACTTATCGCCCGCGGCATACCGCGGCATGCCGGACCGGGATGCCCTAAAGAACATGGAGTATAATCCACTTCCCTCGATTTCGCCAAACATAAAGTCCCCTACATCTGCATTACAGCTCTTTTCGTCAGATCAACTTCTTCAATCAATTGACCTGTCTACAATGGAGCAGCACACATTCCGCCGCCGAGGCCTCGGTCTCCGCGGAGTCGACGCCGAGCGCGTCTCGCCAGGCTACGTTCTATACGCACCTCTCACCTCAAACACAGCCCACCTAGTCTCCACAACAGGCAAAGAAGTGCACCGCTGGACGCTCCCCCACCGCAGCGGCCGCCACGCCCGCATCCTCGCAGACGGCAACCTCGCCTACAACGGCGCGCACCCAGACGCCCCCAACCTCTTTCCAATGTGGGCGAAGTACCGAGGCGGCGTAATGATGCAAGTGAGCCCAGACGGCGAAATCCTACGGCAATACAGCGACCCCCTGGCACACCACGACCAGAACCACCTCGACGACGGGACAATCCTGTACACAACCCTTGAGCCACTCAGCAGCGCCGAAGCAGCGCGCGTGCAAGGCGGGATCCCAGCAACCGAAGCCCCAAACGGCATCATCTACGGTGACTGCATCAAACTCGTCCAGCCGTGGTCAACAAGCAACACCTCCTCCTCTGCGGACTTCGACGGCAGTGGCGGTAAAACAGGTGCCAAGCTGCTCTGGTCGTGGCGCGCGATTGACCATCTCGACCCTGCTGTCTTTGCTGCCCATCCGCACTATACGCGTGACCACTGGCCGCTCATCAATAGTGTTGCGTTTGACTCAAATGGGGATATCATTGCTTCGTCGCGCAATGCGTCGAGCGTGTTTGTTATTAGTCGGGCTACGGGTGCGGTCAAGTGGCATCTTGCTGCGCCGGTTGTCAGCCAGCAGCATTGCGCTCATGAGATTAACGAGGCGGGAGACATGTTGATTCTTGATAATGGTGTCTTCAGGCCTGGGATTTCGGTACCGTTTTCGAGGGCGATTGTTGTTTCTAAGGAGGGGGTTGTGAAGTGGGAGTATAAGGATTTTTCAACCGGAGGGCTGGGATTCTTCACGCCGTTTATGGGGTCTGCGCAGAAGTTGATCGGCGGGAATGTTCTGATTTGTGAGGCTGCTAGTGGGCGGGTTATGGAGGTTACTGAAGGGGGTGAGGTTGTTTGGGAGTTCGTCGTGCCCCAGCTGGGGAACTATAAGCAGGTTATGAAGAAAGAGGAGTTGGAGGAGATGGAGGCGATTGGGTTTGATTATCTTAGCAATGCGATTTTCAGGGCTTATAAGTATCGTCCTGAGGAGGTGCCTTGGGTTAAGGAATAGCGGAGATTCCAGGGGGCTGAGATTTGATATGCGAAATCAGATGTGACTTTCTGATTGAGTCTGTTGTACATAGCAGGGTAGGTGGTTTTTTCATGTTCTATAAAAAATATATATATCGGCTTTTGTCTAACTGGTGGTGATACAAGGTGTGTACAGAGAGAGTCTGATCAAGTGGATGGATACATGAGAACTGAGACAAAATGAAATAGAAGAATATGTGGCTGAGGGCTATAAGACAATGGGAATGAAAAGTGTAAACTGGATAACGAAAGTAGGTGTATCAGGCGAGGATTTACGTTCAAGATTTCAACCAAGTGATTCGCCGAGATGGGCTTCAGCAGACGGAAAGACTGTCTGAATGCCACCATCTTGGACGGCTCGAGCTTCAGTAGCGATTTCTTTGCTGGCAGCCGGCTTCTCCGCTTGCTTGGCTTGCTTGGGCTCAGGCGCCTTGTGCACGGAAGCATACTTCAAGAAGACGATGATCATGACTTATAATCGAGTTAGCTACACGAAAGAGCCAAATAGGAACAATGGGGCACTTACAAGCACAGATGGCAATCGTCGAAGCAGCGCGTCTAGTCAAAATCCATCGAAGACCTTCAATCTCACTCTTTCCATCGCTGTTAAGCGACACGGTGATCTTGTAGTTCAATTCCTGAACCGAGGTGTCGATGGTCCGCTGCGGTTCTCGCGTGGACATCTTGTGGTCATTGAACATGCCCTTGATGTCGTCTTTCATGCCTGAAAGTTCCTGGCTGAGACGCTGCGAGATAATATCCGTTTCATGCTGCAATTGCGTGCGCGAGGAGCGCTGGTGCTGTATTTCCGAGTTGCGAGCTGTCTGGAGCGATGACTGAAGCTCGGAGCAGGCTGCTTTGAACAGGTATTCTTCATTTTCGACATCAGATTTCGAAGTAAGGCTCGCCCTAGCCAAAGAGAGGTTGTTCTGCAGGATAGCCCGCACAGCCTTCATGATTGTAGTAGACTGTTCTTCGCTGTAGCCACCTTTGGACAGATCCTGTACCAATGAATATGTGTCGAAAGGGTGAACATACGGTGCTGCAGACAAATGCGGCGGGCGATCGTCGGACGAGGAGGGTTCCCCGGTTGGGGTTAGAAACACCGACGGCGAGGGCATGTGGAGGACATCCTCAAACGGAGTTTGGTTTGTGGATGAAGAGGTATCTGTACTTTCTTCCGATGGGGCTTCGGAAGCGGGGGACGAAGAGGCCGAAGCCTGTTCCTGTTCGGCGCCGTCTATATCTTTGGCCTGCTCCTCGCGCGGTTCCCGGTCCGTCGGAGGGTTGTCTTCCTTGTCTTCCTTGTCTTCCTTTGTTTCAGCTTCGGTTGGTTGGTCTGCGTTCCGTTGGTCTGCGGTCGGGGTTTCCGAAGAAGTGACATCTGCATTGTTTTGCTCGGCTTCCTGGGGCGGCGGTTCCGACTGTGACTCGTCTGGTGGAGCTTGCCCCTGGTCGGAGGCATTTACACCATCATGTCCAGCTGATGGATCGCCCGGCACCTCCTGATCGTGTGGACCCTTCTTCGGACGCAACGAATGAGCAGTATTCGGTTCGACGGCAGGACCATATCGCCGCTGGTAGGAAGCACGCTCCTGTTGCTGACTCGTATGGAAGCGTTGGTTAAGCCGGTATGGAATTCTAATTGAACGGTATGTTCTCGGTTCGCATGATCGCACCGCGCGCATAAAATTCGGATACAGGAACGGGAGCCTGGGTGTGGCCATGGTGGTAACCAGCATATGAAGAAGCTAAAGTCTTTTCCGCGGGGAATAATCAACGTCACTCCGTCTCCGGGCGGTGATGTATGGTTAGTCAGCTATACCCGTCCGCGGGTCGGGAGCTTCCTTAGCTGAGCTATCCGACCTCGGAAGGATCTGATTGGTTGCCGGTACCTGCTGTGGTTACTATTAATATGTACGGAGTACAGCTTGCCTATATATAGGTTCCTACAACTATTCTAGCGAAAGGAACAGGCCTGATAAAACGTGTATAGCCTGCCGGGGATAAATTTCGACGGACTAGCCCTTTTGCAATCATCTTATCCCAACGCCAAAGCCAATAAATGAGGGTATGTAGTAGGATAATGGTCTGGGTTTTCTTATACTCAGTATATGACGAGAATAGTAGCAGTGTGTTCTACTATCATTACTCGACAGTCTACATAGATATAATTTAAAGGATGTAACTAGATATTGGGACTGGTGGCCGATTTTGGGCATTCCAGAGAGAGATCTACTCGGTCCTATTACGATCCGCATGATTGTCTATCATCAATACGACTAGGTACGCAGACATAGCCCTGGTCCAACCGACCACTTACATGCAACCGCTAACCTAATTAGGCATCTGGATCTAGATAATATAAAAAAAGAGTATGCATACATGTGTAAAAGCCCAACTAGGTATATATATGTATAGTCATTGTCGGCAGATAGAGTACAATTCTTCTTGCAGAGATCTCTGTGAAACCCTTTTGTTTGCTGCATATGAGCAGCCGTTTGTTGTAGCATCTATGAAGGCTACCCACTCAGCCGCATCGGAATACTGCAGCTTTCTTCTCTCTACTATCTCTGATTTGATCAAATTTCAGACCCAGCATGGCCGACCTGATTCCAATCATTTCACAAATAGCTCATTGAGCATCTGACAGACCATGATGCAGATCCATAGTATCCCTATCTAGGAGAAGAATATACAAGTAATTGAATAGAGGGATTAATATGAAGTTTGGACCTCACGTCAACAGACTTAGACATCAGACAGCTCTGTAAAGTCACATGTCTGTTCGCAATACACGGATGTTGCCCTTTATGTTTCCATGTATGGATGTTTGTGTTTGTTTGGGACAAACAACGTTTATGGAAAGAGCGACTGAGGAAGAGGCATCTCCAATTCGGGAAGGCACGCGTCTGGTCATTTGACCCCCAATCTCTCCTCTTCCACTTCTCTCTCTCCTCTATCGACTTGTTTACCTCTTCGGTTCACCTCGATCTTGGTCCCTTCAAGCTATCAATTGAGACGGAGACGAACCCATTGTCTTGTCTTGGCCTGGCTTTCTAAACCATACCATTTCCTGTCCTAATACAAATCACATTAAAATCCCCCAAAAAAAGAAACATCCTTCGCCAGGCGTCAGGCGCGTCTATCAATCCCCATCTGTGTCGACCAACTTCTCGGCCCATAAACAACAAGCATTGAGTCTTATCACACCACAATGGCGTCTGTACAGACTCCGTGGACCTCAATTCTGCTTCAGGAAAAGCCTGGTCTACATGAATACAATCATGCCCTGTCGAATGTCGAAAAATACTACACTCGCTTGCAGCGAGCTATGCAAGATGAATCCATCCATGATCAACTAGTTCTCAACCCCGACCAAACACACTCACGTCTGCTGAAATCCTTTGAAATCTTGCGAACCAAGCAACTGCCCGGCCCTGTCGCCGAAGAGATCTTCAAGACCATGGTACTTCCATTCATTCACGACAACATCTTCTCGCCGCCGCAGATGATTCAACTCGTTGGATCTGCACTACCTCTTATAACAAAACAACATTCTCAATTCCTGCGAGACCTCGCAAGCACTCTCCTCTCTTCACAAGGCTTGTTCGATCACCTGGTGGCCAACGAAAATTACACAGTGATTCTGAAGGAATGGCTGTTCTCGAAAAGAACCCGTCTTTCCCTTGCTCTCTCTACGCAGGTTGGAGACAGGTTGGTTGCAATGTGCAATGCCTGTTCCGCTGATCATGGAACGGAGGCTACTGTAGAGAGTTGGGGGATTGCTCAAGAACTGATGGAATCCATCAATGCGCTCATTGACTCGTCTTACGAAGAAGAACTGAAACGGGCAAAAGTGGAAAATCTACCTCCTCTGGAATCAATGAAAGTTCTCAGTCGGGACGATAAAAAGTCAACCCTAGTTCAACAAGGCCCCAAGAAGGAATTGAAAAAGGAATTCACGGTCTCGGACGAAATCCTGCAGCAGATGGACCACTTCAACATCCTACCACCATTGTCCGCTCGAGGCCTCACCCATGCAGTGGAACATCTTCAAAATGAGATTATCCCAGCACTGATGCGCTCTGCCTTGGAAAGCTTCCCATGCAGAATCTGTTTGGATAGGCTCACTACCGGGAGCCTTACAGGTACTCTAGCCAATTCGACAGACCTGCCTTCAGATCGAACTACAGCACCGGGCAATGCCCAAGATATTTTCGGCAAGAGAGTCGGCCTTTGGAAGGTTTTGCTGTCCGACATCGCTTTCAAGAATATAAAGAAATTGGTTCACGGAGGTAAGTTTGATTTCCTTCAGTATGTGCAACTTGATCGTTTCTAACCGCATCTAGGCGAATTTGGCGGGGTGGAACAAAAGCTCAGAGATTTGGCAAGCGGCGAATGGAAAGGCAAAGATCTATCTCATCGTGTGGGATCTAAACAGCAGAAGAAAAGAATGCAAGTTCCTATTTTGGAAGTAAGCGCTTCTGCAACTGTGTCAATGTTGTGGCAGGTTGATGTTGGTTTTTACGATGAGCTTCCATGGGTACAGCAGCAGATTGTCAAAGGTAAATAACTACCTCATCGAGACTTCCGGATATAAGCTAACTTTGGCAGTGTGGCAAATTGTGACCTCGGAAGAGGAGGTATGTTCTAAACCCAAGCATCATGAGAAGTCTGCTAATTAGGTTTCACAGTTGGAAACTGCCATTGAGCATATACTTTTGATCCAGGAAACCTACACCTCTGAACTTGTTAAACTCTGTTTAGAACGTCCTATTCAACAATCTGATGGAACTTGGACGCCACAGCGGTTCGGAAACGTGAAAGAGACTGGGTCTTATCGGATGAAATCCATTGCTTCTTCCAAGGCAAGCCCAGCTTTGATTGAGATGTCAAGTATGGGGTTACCCCCGTCAGTCCCATTGAAAGCTGGATTGTAGGCTAACCATGAGTTTCCAAGACAAATTTTACAATCTCACTGAGCCGTTTTTGAAGTCGATCGTTGATGAGAATGACACAGAGGAGTTTCCGTTCGATCTCTCACCCGAAGAATTAGAAATTGTGAAACACTTCAGCACATCAACCTTGATTCTAGGACGAAGTGGTACAGGAAAAACCACCTGTCTGCTGTTCAAGATGCTTGCCAAGCATAAAGCAAGACAGTCAGCGTCGGATGGGCAGCAAGCCCGACAGGTATGTCTTTGTCTCCTCACAATGTCAGATGAGATATTAACATGAATAGCTTCTCTTGACTCGCTCCTCTTATTTGGCTTCAAAGCTTCAAACATATGCCAAAAGTCTGATAGACGCTCAATCCAAGGCTCCATCGACTGAAGAGGATGTAGACTCAGATCTAAGACCGACCTCCTTCTTCGCCCTGAAGAATTGGCACTTTCCAGTTGTCTGCACTTACGACGAGTTTCTTGGGCTTCTAGAAAACACAATCAGGTTTGAACATCTAATGCCAAACTTTTCAACATTTTCCCACTAACTGAAGTAGAATGGCGGATCGAAAAGACTTCTTAAGAGACATCAACCCCAATAAGACAAAGGGCCTAGAAGTACAAGGGGGAGACAAGCCACGAATTATTGACTTCAGTATTTTCAAAACAGAATATTGGGGCTCTCTTAGTGGATTAGCCCCACCATCTTGCTCTCCAGAGCTTCTCTTCGCAGAGATCATGGGCGTTATTAAAGGCTCCACCGTCACGGCAAAAAGCCTAAAGCCGTTATATCGTGCGGAATATGTCAAGAAGAATGCCAAAGCTTCTCCCGCTTTTACCTCTGAGGCAGAGCGTGAGAAGGTATTTGGAGCTTTTGAGCGCTATGAAAAGCAAAAAAAGCTTCGCAAGGAGATTGACGAGTTGGACCGTGTCGGTACCTTACTGAAGTCTCTGAGAGATAACAAAGCTCTAGCAGAGCAGATCCAACGCTGCTTCGAGGAGATTTATGTTGATGGTGAGTCTAGTTCTCAACATTCGAGAGCAAAGTACTAACTATGTGTTTAAGAAATTCAAGACTTACGTTGTCTGGACATTGTCTTACTTTTGGGTTGCCTTAGTGACGCCCGTGGGATTCACCTTGGTAAGGTCTCCTGAAATTCATTCACGAGCTTAATAGACTAATATAACATAGCTGGTGATACCGCCCAGTGCATCTCAAAGGACTCGGTTTTCCGGTTTCCTGAGATAAAGGCTTTTTTCTATGAACATTACGAGATCATTGCCAACGAACTAAATCAGCCCTCATTTGCCAAGCCCGTTCAATTCTCTCTGGCTAAAAACTATCGCTCGCATCAGGGCATTCTGAGTTTTGCATCATGGGTGATGCAGCTACTCTGGCATGGTATGAAAGATTGCAATGATCAGACTTGTTTCTATCTAACGGTTTATGTATAGGATTCCCGGAAACAATTGACAAACTTGACCCAGAGATTGGCTACATTGGCGGACCGAAGCCAATTATCTTTGGTATGTCGTATCGCATCGCTTCATTGGCACTCAATCACTAACAATTGTCGCATAGCGGGATTTGACTCCTCCATTCTTTCTGCCAAAATGATTGGTCTGGTCAAGCTTAATGACAAGGTCGCCGACTTCGGCGCCGAGCAAGTCATCCTTGTCCGAGACGATGCATCAAAGGACAAATTACAAACCCAAATTGGCGAGATTGCCCTTGTTTTGACAATCCTAGAAAGCAAGGGTATGGAGTTTGATGATGTTTTGGTGTATGACTTCTTCGGCAGCAGTGGACTTGGCAGTAGCTACCGGTGCCTTTACATGCTTGTCCAAGCATCACGAGCGCAGTTTGATTCTCAAAAACATGCGGTGGGTATATTCCATGAGATAATCAGCCCGTTATGATTGCTAACATTTTCAACTAGGCTTTGTGCTCCGAACTTAAGGTATATCTATCTCTTTGCTAACAATAGTTCTTGCTAACAATATTAACCAGTCGCTTTATGTTGCTGTCACTCGAGCCAGAAAGCAACTTTGGTTCATGGAAACCCAAGAGAACAGCGTTGATCCTATTGTGCAAACACTCTCACAGAGCAACAGCCTCAAGCTCGCTGAAATTGTGAAGCAGAAAGACCCCAATGTAAGTGATATTCTAATTAAAATGGCTTGCATACTAATCTCTTTCAGGTTGCGGAAAAGGTCATGGTTCTGCGAGCCGGTGGCTCAGTGGACCCAGAGAGGTGGCTTAAGAGAGCAGCACATTTTCTCCATCAGAAGAGCTTTGCAGAGGTAATATACTGCTCACTGGCTAGAGGAGAGCTTCATGCTAATAAAAGTTGAACAGGCATTGTTCAGCTACAAGAAAGCCAATAATTCTCGAGGAATAACACACTCGCAGGCCTGTTTGTATGAGCAAGAAGGAAGATCCCACCGAGCAGCGGGAGATACCGAAGAATTTACCGTATGCTATGAGAAAGCAATCGCTCTTTTCCTTGAGGTTGGTCTTATTACAGAAGCGGCGATGTGCTACGAGGGACTTGGACAGTTCGGCAAAGTTGCAGGTTTGTTTTTCAATCGTCAGGTCTGAGAAATACTGACCCCTTTTCTAGAAATCTGGAAGGAGCGTGAACAATATCAAAAGGCTGCATCTTTCTATGAGAAAGGCAATTTTTTCACCGAAGCTTCGGAGTGTTATCATGCTTGTGGCCAGTACGAGGCGGCAATCGAGGTCTTGCGCCGCGGAGACCAATTTGATGAACTCGTCGCCTATGCCAACAGGTTTTTACACCGAATTCTCTCTGCAATGATTACACAATATTAACTCTATATAGAAACCGCGAGTATCTTAGCGAGCCTACATTGGTTCGTTATTCGAGACTTTGCAATATCTTGCTGAAGCAGGGACGTGTCTCTGCCAGTCTGAGGGCAATAACCATCAATATGCTTGGATCAGATGTGTCCAAAATTGCCTTTTTCAAAGAGTTTGAAATGTGGAACCAACTGTGTACACTCTATTCATCAAAGTCCAGATGGTTTGAGTATTATGATCTATCAGTGGCTGTTGGTGACATTCCTGCGGCGATAAGCACATTACTGGTTCACAAATTGATACCAGTAGTCGACAAGCCAGTTGTTGAAAAGCTGTTTAGCTATTCCATGGTTGAAGTCTTGTACGCCCACAGGGACTTAATTCCGAGCAAGCCTGAGCGAGATGGGCTGCTGAAATCAGCAAAGTCAACTTATCTCGAAAAGCTTGGGGCACAGTGGAAATCGCTATTGCTGTTGGTCGACGATTTTGAGGATGTGGATTTACCCGCGTCAGTTAAAACCCTAGATAAGGGTCTTGTGAAGGATATCTTCTGTCTTTTTGTTTGTTTTCAACCGAGCCATCATCTGTGGGTAGTGCACTAATTATTTTCAGGTGATTGCTTTCGAGCCGTCAATATTCACCAAGCAAAAGACCGAACATCTTCCGATGGAGATTGTCATCCGGGTTGGAAAACTGCTGCAAGACCTTCATGCTCAGAACCAGTACTCCATTAAGTGCCTGGCTATGGCTTGTGGTATTTTTACCAATCCAAAACAAGAGAGCCATACGATCTTGCTCCACTGGTCTCCATTGAGGACTTACACAGCAACGCCTCTTGATGGTTCTTCATTCCAGAACTTGATTGACATTGCAAAAAACTTCATTCAAGAGAAGTTTACCGCAGCACTTGCTCAGTTCCATGAAAATGCACTCAGTCTCACGAAGAGGGATTTTCTGCCGACATGTGTCCATCATCTCTACAAAGGTAAGCTATATCCGTTGACGCTCTCTTAGGGAAATATTTAACGAGTTGAATCAGGATTCTGTCCAAAGTTTAAGACCAATGAATGCTCCTGGAAGCATGAGAAGCCCACTGCAGAATTCGCCATTGCTAAGTTGAATGTAAGTAAAACACCAAGAATTAATAATTGACCAACTAACACCTAGTTAACTCCCGCAGTGTCTTCTCGCTATTGCTGAGGTTTTTGCGCGCCTCACGCCTGTTTATTACCAAAGAGTCATGGGCAAGGCTTTCAACAAACCATTTTTGGGTCGTAGTAAGTGGTCGGTCCAATCTCGCTGTACGTTTCAGATCTGACATACTATAGGGAGAATCTGGATTCAACAGATCCAAGAGGAGCTTGTGATTGTCAGTTCACTGGAGCAATCTTCTATTGCAATTACAAATCTGCGTTTCAACTTGCAGAGCAACCCAGAGTTTGCTGCGACCGCATACTGCCTAGAAGACTTGCTGTTCTATCGCATGAACACTGAATGGGGCTCGATGAACAGTCTGAGCTCTTCTCTAGAGAAGGTCCAAGAAGCTCAAATTCTCGGTATGGTGAACTTCTTGATCTGAAACATCATAAATCGGCTCTAATAACCAATTTGAACCTGCAGGCCCTCACCCAGCCACGCGTTTTCAGCGAGCACTTATTCTGAATATGGATCGCATCATGCCACCACGCCCTAGACGATCCGGCCACCCGCTCGCGTTACCTTTGACAACGTTGAATGCTGCTGAGAGAATTCGGTCAGCGGTTGGAAGACGCCACGGTCAAGATTTTGTGAGAGATGAGTCTATATTACGTATCGGACTACACTAACCTTTGTATAGCACAACGGCATCAACACCTTTATCCAATGCCTCGAGAAGACACCTAAATCTTCCCTTGGCTCGCTCCATGCTGTTCTGTCTGTGTTCGAGTTTGCAGCTACGTATATTGTGTGTTTCCAAGTCTCGTTGATGGTATAACAGGTTACTAACATTGCACAGCTTTACATCGCCAATCCAGGGAAGGGTATCGTGATTCCTTGGTCCTGGGCTTTGCAGCATCTTTCAACAATTATGCAATCTCCCGTTAAAGACTATCTGTTCAAGGACAGAGAGATCCGAGTGCACATAACCGACTTGATGCACCTTGTCATCAGCTTCTGCAACCTTATGGAGCAAGTCGAAAATGCCTTCACCAGCGGTGCTCTGAAGTTCCAAGGACTGGGCCGCACCAGCCTCCCAATCCCTATTGTCAAACGGCGCTGCACCGAGCTTTTGACCACCGTGAATCTCAACCTAAATCACTGGCCCAAACAGCCAATTGGCTTTAAGGATATGGAGAAGGTGGTCAACAAGGTATGTGTCTTTGCTTATGACAATATCCCTAAAACAAGCTTGACTAAAACAAACTAGACACTTCGATCAACCCTTATTCCTCCGGGAATGGCGCTAGAATTTTCTAACAGTGATAAATTCCGGCAAAGTTGCATCCGCGAGTTTGCAGCCTACAACCGCAAAGATGAGCTGTGTGTCATTGCGCTTGACGATAGAAAGTCCGCTCCTCTCTTCTTGCGATCTTTCACACAAGGAAACGTGAAATTTATCCAGCTCAGTGATATCTTGAAAATATCGCGCATTACCGAGAACCAATTATCCATGGGTCTGGAAGAAGACTGGCAAGTTGACGAATATACCGGCTACGAGCTCGATATGATCACGAACCTTCAGCGACGTTGGCGACAAGTGATGGAGGTCATCGAGAACAACCGCCATAGGGCACAATCTCGCGAGGGCAAACTTATCCAGCACTTCCATGAGGTGTGCACGAGACGGATGAGCGTTCTACCTGCGGCCGCTTGGTCAACCCGAGATAAAATACACATGCGCAAGGTCATATTCACCGAAGGCATAAAGATCGCCATGTCTCTTGATGGTGTTTTGGACAGTTTCCGACAACTGAATGACCGGTGGAGGCAACAATTCCACAGCAATTTGTCCACCGCAAAGCTAGAGGAGCTCTCCGTTATTCGCGGACGTGTTCTGCCAATCGATGGGCAACTTGAGTACATCGTTGAGCACTGGTCTCTTAAGGGCATTGAGGAAGGTATGATGACCGTTCCGGCGGAGGACCTCGGTGTCTCAGCCCGTGAGGCCCAGCGCGCTCTCTGGGCTGTTCAGCGCGAGATTGAAATCATTAAATCTCAAGTTGAGATCATTGCGAAGAGCCCTGACCGGTAAGGGGGTTTCTTCCCTTCCATGATTGTTCAGCAGAGGCTCGATAACCGAAATCGGCAAAAAAAATTGAAAACGAAAACCGTCAGCAAAAAAAAAGCTAGTTAGCCGGGGAGATCTGTGTGGAACGAGGAGAATTTCTTAATATCTGGCTCCAACCATCTTATGGCTGGACGAGACACGAGACACGATTGTATGAAGTGAAATGTATGATATCTTGTTTGATTACTCTGTAATGGATTTTTGTCTGCGTACTATGTAATCAGTGTACTTTCTAACAGAAAAGTTACATTCAAGTACAGTATATATCCTTTGCTTGTTGTATTATATAATGTAAAGCATAGACGGGCATTTGGCAAAATACAGCATCCTTCTAGATAACCACTCACTGTCTTGCCAAGAGGCCAAACAGCAGCTCCGTCCGAGTCCAATACTCAGCCGCAAGCTTCTTGATAGTCTTAACAGTCTCCGCACTAGAACCAGCGCTCTTCTGAGCACGCTCGACGACACCAGCCAGCTGATTTCGCTCGCCGAGCATCTGAGACAGATACAGAGCGTCGAAGAAGAGCTGCACCCTCCAGTCGCGCAGGCCCGCGACTTGATCTGGATCTGGGCTTTGGATCTCTGATTTCTCCGCCGATTTATCTTCCTTCTGCTTATCTTCATTGGCAGTGGGGTGGACGTCCTTGGTCTCAGCCTTGCTAGGGGTATTTTCGCTGTCGAGATCATCCAAGGCAGATGCGATAGCCGCCTCGAGTTTCGTTTTCAATTCTTGCTTCAACGCCTGCACGGTGGACGGATCCCATAGGTCTAATCCGCACGTATCCATCGAGGAAGTGAGACGGCGCAGGAGCTTGAAGCTCGAAACCGAGGGCTGAACAGGTATGGCAGGCTCGCCTTCCCAGAGTGATCGGCCAGGCACGGTCTTGATCTTGCCTGTCTGGGGGTTTGACTTTGGGGATGGGATCAAGCTCAGCGAGCCGGCCTTGCTGACTACTTCGGTTGCAAGCAGCTTCTGTAGGTCAGGGACGATTTCGCTCGAGAAGACAAAGTCTCCAGATACAAAGCCAGCGGGGATATCTCGCCGGACGAGTCGTATAAGCCTTAGTAGGAAGGTGGCTTTTTCGCTGGAATACGAGGAGTTGAATGACTTGAAAGCGCTGCTGAATGATGTTTGGAGACTGCTGAATGCGTCCCGAACGGCAGAATGCAGAGAATCGGATAGGTGTAGGGGGTCATCTTCGTTGAGTCGGGGTGTTATGTCGATATCTTCATCTTCCACTTCACCTCCAACGAGAATGTCAGTCCATCGTATACGGCGTAGAGAGTCGATAGATTCGTTGACTGCTTCGATTGATGCTAGCCATGCTTGATACTTCATAAGGACGGTAGAGACGTCTTCGTCACGGCCCAATAATCTGTCTACTACGGTTCGTTTGAATGCCTGTGCGCCGTTCGTGTATTCTGCGGTAATGAGATCGGAATCCCACAGAGATCCAACGGAGTTGTGTTCGGTATTCTCCCATTCTGATATCATGTATGAAACTTGAGCACCGACTTCGCCTAGGCTTTGTGCTTGCGTATTCAGGATTCTGGCAAGCTGGTTATTGAAGACATTTCGAAGACTTTCGAGGACATTCACAGAGCCGTGAATGATCGTTGAGCCCCAGGACGATAGCCACAGTTCCACAGTCTCTGTGCGGAGCGAGAGAAGCTCAGAGAAATCGGTGCTGTGGACCAAGCTCTTTTGGCAGCCGTCGGAGAATTTATTGAAAGCTTGGAGTGACCATTCCTTGATTGATTCCACACCCTGGGTTCTGCTTAGTTCGCTGAGCTTGATCCAGGGGGTGAAATTCTTCACATCTGGAGCTACCCAGCGGCCAAGAACTTCGACCTCGAGGCCATCTAGACTCTGAATCTCTGGGTCGGAGAGGAGGGGCCTAGCTTTAAGTTTCATGAGCACATCCGAGAATCGATGCGATCGCAAGACCTTTGAAGCCTGAAGTGTTCGGACGAACAGCTGGAGGGCTCTAGGGATGTTCTCACGAGATACATCCAACTGGTTAACAATGATGCCCAGGCGCACTCGGTGAAAGCGATGGATCGCATCATCGGAAGAAGGGCTCTCTACAAGGCAATAGGCGGCCAATGATTCAATGATAGTGTCTTCCGTAGCGCTTGTAGAGGCAAGGCGTTTATCAATCCGTTTGATAAGTGTCTGCCGGAGGGACGCTAGCTGGTTCCAGAGATCATCGAGGAATGGAGGGACTGATTCATGTTTTGATAATGTCTTGTGCAGTAACCGCGAGACAACTAGAATCTTCGCAATCAGCAGGAGCGAGCCGCGACGTCGCAAAAGCCGGCTGATAGAGGTTGTACAGCGGTGGAGGAGAGAAAGCTGCGCTCCGAATGCGTGCTTCTCTGCGTCTATATCCACATTATCAGCTACTAATTCCTGATTTCCGCCAGAACTAGGTTCGTACCTTTCTCATCATCGCCAGTTTCTATTTGCCGGACATGAACATGCTTCCTTTCTATAAGCCGGGGGTTGCACCGGCGTCCAACATCGGCCAGAATGGATTCCACGCCTTGAATGTCTCGGTTCATAGCCACAATCGTCTCAGCCGTGCCAACTAAGTCACGATATCGTGTCCTATAATCGGATAATATACACATTAGCGAAGAAACAGCCCCTATGGCAAATCAATCACATACCCCACGAGAGCTCGGAGCTTCTCCTTATTGCTCGCGATGTCCCGACGCAGCTCCTGTTCCACGCGGCGGACAGTGGGAATGGGGTATTGGAACGCATCGTGCCATGATTTCAAGCTTGAAGGATCAGGCGCCTCAGGGGCCATGCTGGCGGGATATGTGGTGAGACCGTTGGTTCATAGAGAACAAGTAATCCATGCGACAACGGATGCCTGACAGCCTTAGACTCCTGGCTAGCTCGGTCTTATCGTTATCGGCACGTGATGGCAGAAAAAGTCCCCCGCCACCGAGGGGAAATCCGTCATCGTTGGACGGACCGTTTTATACCTTACACAACTTATATTCAATATGCCGTTGATCGAATCAGACGCTGCTGTGGCAGAGACATCATCCACCGATCTCCCTGATCGCCTCCCTTTCCCTCCCACGACATACTCCCATATCTTGCATTGCTCTTATCATGACTGGCATCCGCGGTAAGCTTCCATATGACTCAACACCAAACATATCTGACCGAAGTCCTAGGTACCGCACACTTGCCCCAAAGTCGCGCGTCATTCCTTTGACTGCTCCTTTTGTTGAATACCTCCGCGCCGACGGCATTGTTCTTCCGCCCGAGGCCGTTGCCCCAACCGACGATGATAACCTGGACACATTCTCCGATTCGGGCGAGGAGGAGCACGATCCATCTACAGCATGGCAAGAGATTCACACTAGGATCAAGGATACCATCTCTGAACTCGGTGGCATCGTCACTCCGAAATTAAACTGGAGTGCTCCCAAAGATGCAACATTCATGGCCGCCACAAACGACACCCAATGCCGTTCTCCGAATGACATCTACCTCCTCTTGAAAAGCAGTGACTTCATCACCCATGATTTGGATCATCCCTTTGACGACTGCGTGCCGGATACAACCAGCGACGAACCGACGCCATCCACCGTTGACTCACCGCTGCCGGATGTGCCGTATTCTCTGGTACTCCGTAAATATGTCAACTTCAACCCTTCGCTCGAGTTCCGTTGTTTTGTGCGCAACCGTGTCCTGCTGTGCATAACCCAGCGCGATCAGAACCACTTCGACTTCCTCTTCCCCATGCGTGATATGCTCCGGTCTCGGATCCAGTCATTCTTCGATGACAAGCTCAAAGACACATTCCCCGAATCCAACTTTGTTTTCGACGTGTATATCCCCGCTCCGCACCAGCGCGTCTGGTTGATTGATATCAACCCGTGGGCGCAGCGTACCGACCCTTTGCTGTACAGTTGGTTGGAGATTCTCCGGATGAAGGATCCGATTGGTGTGCAGGAGGAAGAAGACGATGGAGCGGAAGAGTATGTGAGAATCTCACTTTCTGATGGTAAGATCATCTCTACCGGTACGGCGGAGGAGCTCGAAAGAGAAGATTATTCGGGTTCTTCCGCCTCGGAAGATGAGCACGAGGGCGCCGAAGGAGATGATGAACAGGCCCCCTTCCTCCCGGAATTCCGTCTCATCAAAAAAGATGATCCCGAAGCTTATGCATTCAGCTCCACTCAGTATTCGGCTCACAAGGTGCCGAAGGAGCTGGTCGATGCTTCGCTTCAGGGGCCTGGCGGCATGAGTGAATTCATGGGCCAGTGGCAGGATATCTTAAAGAAGCAGGAGCAAGAGGACCAGGCTACTGGCAGTGACTCTGAATAAACAACTTCGGCTCAAAACGCTGCGTGGTATAAAAGCATGCATTCTTGGTTTAGTGGCGTTTACCTATAACAGGGAAATTAATACTGTGGATTCGAAGGTTTTGTCGTGGACTACAGGTCAATCCACACATTATCAATAAATGAAATCAATATATGAAATCAATATATAATTGTCGCCATTGGTCAATTACTTACATAGAATGTGTAAGAGAAGGTTATATGCTATGTCATATCAACAACTCCAGTATTGTGTGTATTACTTCTATCCTTCGTCTTGAAGAACAAAATATGTATCGTCCTGTATCATTACATCGAAAAATGACCCCGAGCAAGTAGGAGATACAGCCGCAAGCTCTAGCAGCTATATACAAAAAACCTATCAAGCAACTAAAGCTTATGCCTTTTCTCACCAGACGCCAACCTCCGGAACTCTTCCTGCGGGAATCCCTTCATAAAGCGCTCAAGGCCCATAAACGCCTCAAGACCATTCTGGCGATCCAAAAGCTCCCTCTCAGGCCGCCTTACCAGCTCCTTAATCTTCAACAGACTAGTCTGGTTCAAGTGCGTACCAAGACGATCATCAACCTCCTCAAGCACCTTCTTCAAGAACCCATCAGAGTCATCCTTCTCCCCGGACTCCGGCGCAATAACCTTATTGACAAAGCCAGCCGAAACCAGCTCGTCACAGGTGATCCGCTTGCTCATTAGGAGCGCCTCATTCGCCTTGGCGATGCCCAGGCGCTCAACGAAGGCGCGGCTAGCACCGCCTTCGGCGACGAGACCGAGCGAGGAGAAGGGTGTCAGGATGAATGTGTGTGGGGCAGCGTAGATGAAGTCTGCGTGGGCGACCAGTGCGGCTGAGAGACCGACAGCAGGGCCGTTCAAGGCGACGACGAGAATCTTGGAGTGGTTGTAGAAGGTGCGAGTGACGTCGACGTTGTTTGCGACGAAGCCCTTGACTAGCTCGCGGCGCTCGTTTGAGTTACTATCGTCGGGGCCTGGACGTATACTTGTGACGTCGGCTCCGCTGTAGAGAGGAGATTAGTGTTAGATATAGTTGATCTTGTCAAGCTTTCTTTTGGGATATGGTTTCGCGATATCTAGGGCTGGATTGGGACTGTTGATGACATACGCTGAGAAGAAACGACCCTTTCCGGTCAGGACTGTAATGAAGATATCATCTCGTGAGTCAATCTCGCGTAAACGCTCGCCTAGAAGGTAGTATAGGTCGGCATTGAGAGCGTTTAGCTTGTCGGGCCGGTTGAGTGTCACGATCGCCACGCGAGCCTGGTAGGCAACGGTAATGAAACTATCGTTTGACATTCTTACTGTATATTGTAGAAGGAAACCGTTCAATGGGTCACCAAATTGAACTGTGATTGCAATGGTCTATCATTTATCAGTCGTCTCTATGGGATATCAGGGCACGCGAATTTGCGGGGAGCCGAGGCCCGCGGGAACTTACTTTGTTCTGCCTGAGTCAGCAGAAATAAGCATGTATGCTCTGTTTGTCCTGTTTGTCCTGTTTGATCAAATCCAATAATCACGCCCGTGACTGGTCCGGCCATGGCACCACTCGGCGATTAAAGATTGAAGATCACCAACCTACACAATATCGCTGCCCCGGTCTGCTAAAATCAGGCGGTATAATCAACTGAGCACATCCTACCAACAACATCGAACCTCAAACCCCACTCTTAGCAAACCCGAAGCCAAAACACGCCGAGAAAAAAAAGCAACGCATCAGACTCATACAATGTCGCAAATATTCCGCAAGTTGCAGGGAGGCAACCTCGAAGTCTTCAAGGTGCGTATCTGACACTCAAGTCCTCTGAGCGATTATTCCCACCTACCGCCTCCCACCGCCTCTTCTTAGGACTAACCGAGTCCATGTAGTTTGGGATGTACGTCCTCTTCCCGATCGGCTGGATGTACTATTTCGGTACCAACCTCGACGACCGCTTCGCCACGAAGAACTTCTGGCCCACTGCCGATCAATCGCACAAGATCCCGCTAGACAAGGACGAGATTGACCAGGAATTGGCACGTATGCGCATGGTGGATGCCGTGAAGCGGGAGCAGAGACGGGCGGCGGAGGCACAGGCTCAAGCGCAATTAGAGGCACAGGCACAGGCACAGACGATGCAGACTCAGCAATGAGGCTGCAATTAGTGGGTGTGATTGAGAGGAGCTGGCGACGGGGGCTGAAACACAACATGCGCTCATTGCCCAAGTCCCCGGGGGAGAAAATGGCATTGCGAAAGGGCCACTGGTGTTCCCTTTGGCGGGTTGATATTTGCCGGGGACAACATTGGCATCGCGCTGGGAAGTTACACATGTGCTGATGATGGGTTTACTTGTACAACACTCTGCTCTGGGCATCGAGGGCGTTCTGGAGTTTTCGTCTTATATGTATGTTGCGTTTTCAACATATTGCTTTCTACTATTTACATCTGCATTTGCTGTACATCATTCTGGAAAAGTGTGCAAAAAATATCAACTTCAATCATGGCCACGTTGCAACGATAATACAAGCTGGCATCATCGACCACAGAACTCTGCCAAGGAGGCATATCTATATACAGTGTGGTGTGAATGACCCAAGAAAAGAATGTAATAATTAATAATAATGTAATCCGCCGCACTCCGACAATGCAAGTCATAGGGGTGCCGCCAGTTCCCAGAACACAAGAACTCCAAACAAGCGCCGGCCGACAGGAAGAGTGATAACGAGGTTCCCTTCGATATCGATATGCAACTCCAAAGGGATTAGGGCTCCTCACTTTTGACAATAGAGAATGCAACTGCAACCATTATGCGGGTTTTATTCAAAGGTCAGCCAAGCGCTCGGTCGAGGTGGCAGCAGCGTTCTTTGCCGTCTCGTACATCAAATCCCCGATTTGCGTGGCCACGCCATTTTCGCCAAAGACCGAACTGATTGACAACCGACCGGAGCTGAACAGGCGCTCGCCGGCCCAGTAGTAGTAAAGGCGCCCGTAAATGGCGAGAAGGTGGTCGGGAAGGTAAATGTAAGTGCCCATGGCTATCATGGCAATGAGGCCAAGGAGCAGCGTGTCTAAATAGGAAACGAAAGGTCAGCATGGTGTACCAAGAGTATTGTGAACGGGGAACAGGCGCAACATACTGAAGATGAGCTTCTCGATCGGAGTAAGCATGTAGAGGGAGAAGGTCACCTCATACTGGTAGATCTTCAACCGCATCCAGCGGAAGAGGCTAGCCACGGCCCAGATAATGAAGTCCACCATTCTTGCGGGGTATTCAGAGAATTGTAGGATGCTCCAGTCTTTCGTTGCTTCTTGCGGCTTCTGGTGCCGTTCGTTTGAATTTTTTTTTTTCTCTCTATAGTCTGAGCAAGAGCCACCAATGACAAACTCGGGAAATAGACCCGGAGACAGTCGTATCAGACACGGGCAATATGTATGCCCGGCTGGAGTGTGGTGTTGTGCAGGGAAAAATGATCCACGATGTTCTAAATCAACGCGGCGCGGGGAAGGGTTGACGTAAGGTCGCAAGATACCGTAGGTACTTAGGCAATTGAGGGATATTCGTTACAATCGGGAAGAGCGTGTTGACAGAGACGTTGAGGTTGATAGGAGTAAGGAAGAGAGGATAAGACTGAGGTCACGCTTTTTGGTGGACTGTGCTCAATAAGATTCCCCTTAAAATACTTCTGTTTTGGTTCTGAAAATGGCTGTATATTTTGTTTATTTCATGCCGTTTTGGTCTGAGATATATGGTAATATCAGTATGCACTAGTAATAGCATAAACCTCGGCTGGTCGTCTTTAGTATGTCTACAGCACTCTAATTTTTAGAGGTTTTTATTCAATGTTCTAATTTCATTCTTTCTCGGGTTAGATAGGTGTAATGTATGTAGTACATATGTATAGATACCTGTAATGTAGTGATAAAGGGGAAGGTGGGAGAAATCAGAGTGAAGTAAAGTAAATTTCAGGCATCAACTTGCTCTTTGCGGAGGCCTAAGGCCACCAACCTTATTGCCTGATCATTTGTGTTTTCCGTGTTTTGCCGTGACAATTTGTATCCAGTACACAACTCTGACGCTATTCCACACGCGAGTCTCAAGTACTCGATACTTTATGTTTTATGCACAATCTGTACAATTTAGATGTCCCGACATTGGATGGCATAATTCTCTATGCATAGCACATGATTTATGTACACATCTGTCTGTAACTAACCTATGTATTCTAAGCATTACTTTGGCAACAATATTGAGCATAACAAACTAGATGTACTACTAGCTAACAGTCTCATGTCCTTTTGCTAATCAGGATGATTTGCCCATACATAAGGGCATGGTCCATGGAAAACTAAGTGTTCTACTATTCAGACTTCCTAGATCTCATTTATCCAGTTACAGTGAGGAAAGCTTATAATACTCACTACCATACTACTAAACAACAAAAACAGAAATATATCCAATAGACTAGAAAGAGAACCTCCATTTATCTAGAATACCAAGATCATAGCCCTTGAGTCAACCAGCAAACAACCCAAAGTAGCCAAAAAAATTACCATTCAAGCTTATCTTATCGCAAACGTCGGCAATAACCTCAACCTTGAACAAACCACAGCACGAACACCAAACGCAATGCTATCTCGCCTACGCTGGCGGACATTGTCCCCAACACTAGCAGCCCCGGCGCGACTCTTCAGCCAAACCCCCATCATCCCCGAGAAAGCCCTCCCCCCACGGCTCAAGATCAACGATGCCGACATATCAATATCCTACCTAAAAGGCACCGGGCCTGGCGGACAGAAGATTGTACGTTTTAATTCCCAAGCAGATTCCTAGATAAGAACCAGAACTAACAAAACCTAGAACAAAACCAACTCAGCCGTCCAGATCATCCACAAGCCCAGTGGGGTGGTAATCAAATGCCAAGCAACGCGCTCACAGGCTCAGAACGCGAAGATTGCGCGCTCGCTGCTCGCTGATAGAGTCGAGGCGCTGCAGAAAGGGGATTCTAGTCGGGTTGCGATCAAGGCTGCGGCGGCGAAGAAGAAGAAGGCTAGTAAAATGAAGAAGACGAGGAGAAAGTATCGGGAACTTGCGGAGGGAGAGAAGGAGGGGGAAGTCGGTGAGGAGGAAGAGGACGAGGTTGAGATAATATGGGATGATGAGGTAAAGGAGGGAGAAAATAAGGAGGCTGAATCGAAAATTGGAGGTGAGGCCAAACCTTCCGAAGAGTCTGGAAAGGGTGTGTGATGTGAGATTTATGCTGTTATGTGTTTTGGGATGTATACTAGGTCTACTGCATTGGTGTTTGAGCGTTTACTTTTGAGAGATTTACATTCCCGTGGATGTTCTTCTAATGGAAAATCAAACAAACATTTATTTCATGGATCTAGTGTCTCATCGCAACATGCATATGGTGTAGTAGGGGGAGTGGGGAAAAGGATTATTCCTCCGAAGGAGAAAGCAAATCCATATAGGTTGAACTTTTTGAGTTGGAAGGGAAGATCATAGCAAAGCCACTAAGAAATGTAACTTGCCAGCACGGTCTTTGACTGGTCGTCAAGACGCTCCTGGGCGAATTGCGAAATACGGCCACTCTGCTTGCTATCGGCCTCTTTCAAGTACGAGCCCACCCAAGCCTTGAGGTCAGCACCAGTTTCGGGCCACGGGTCCTTCTGCTGGACACGGATGGTGTTCAGAGGAGTAAATCCAACACCGAAGGACATGTCTTCGATATCTGCATCATTAATGAGATCATCCCTGGCTGCAGGCAGCGGCGGAAGCTCGAGGAGCTTGAGCAATGCCGTGCAGGTGAAGCCCCATCCCTTCTGGCTATAGCGAGTGGCAAAGGCCTGCGAGTTGGCAAGGGTCTTGGTGAAGGAGATGATAGCTGTCTTGCGATCCAAAGGCCGGGCAAGCTTCTGGGTTTCAGGAAGAATGACGTTGATATAGATGGGAGTGAAGAGTCTAGACATTAATTAGCCTACGACCAATTTATACTGTGTAAGAATACATACCCCTCTTGCACCTTGTCGGTGACTTGGATGATAAAGTCCGCGCTGTAGCCCTTGTTATCCTGCGCCGAGAGGAAGTGGAAGAAGCGGACAAAGCGAAGAGTCAGGTTCTCTGTCTTGGAATTCTGCAGACGTTGAAGAATGATCTGCATAATCATGACAAAGTAGTTCTCAAGGGCAGTTCTAGGGGAAGGGAAGTCAGGTAACCACCAATTAAGCGCTTGGAAGATGTGATACGTACGGTGGGAAGTTAGCAACAACTGTCTCCAGGAGATCAAAGCCAAAGCTCTCATTGGCCTTGGTAGAAACTAGTTTTTGGAAGATACCAAGGATGGGCTCGATCTGGTTGTGTTCAATGATGAACTGCGAACCACGCGGAATGATCGAGGAAAGTAGCCGGACCAAGGCGGGGATGTTTCCCTTCGAATCCCACATAACAGGCATCAGGATAGGGCCAATAAGCTCTTGGTAGTAGGTGGGAAGGGTGCCGGATGGGTTGGCCTCGAGCAGCGCAGCGAAGAGCTGGAAAACGTAGGGCATGAATTCTGAAATTTGTCAGCAAGGGATCAAAGATATCGACTTAGTTTGATTTAGCTCACCCTGCACATCATTCTGAAGGATAGCTGCGAAGGGCGCATACAGCGCTTGCTCGAGCTTGTCAGGATTCGCAGGAGCAGCAAAGCTATATCACGTTAGCTTCTAGCACTTGGAAACGAAAAATGCGGGAACATACCGGATGAAGGCGCCCATGGCTTCGAAGTGGAAGTAGTAAAATCGGGGGTTACTTGGGTTCGCGCTAATGATATTGGTAATATTAATGAAGCGCTGGAGGACGACGTCCGTGAAAGGCACCACGCCCTCCTTGATGACAACCAAAACCCGCATCACACAACGCATCAAGAACTCATTCTCTTGCACTTTTTCAGGAGCTGGATCACTCTGAATCAGCTGGAAGATGTGCTCGAGAAGATCCTTAGCAAGCGGTGTGATCTCAGTGGGTGGAATGACTGCCTGTCCTTGGCTGTCGGTGAGGAAAAGTACTCGCTCCAAGGCAATGGCAGCGTAGGTATAGACGACAAAGTTCGACGACGCCAGGTGCTTCACCAGCACAGGTAGAACCTGCTGCCACTGTTCCTTGGTGATGATACTGCGGAAAGTGTACAAATACTTGATAGCGTCGACCTTCAGGATAGGGTGAACACCATCCTCGTTGATCAGATCCGCGGCGAGGTTCTGCTGGAAGTAATCCGTGATACTGACCAACTGGTTGGTGGCAGTGACACCGTGCGAGGAGGTCGCAGTGCCCTTGGCAGCGATAGCGGAGTAAAGGTACGTCGCTGTGTCCTTGGCCTTCCAGTTGGATGAATCCTTGGCATACTCTGCCAGGTAGTGCTGGGTATACTTGAGGACAACCTGGGTCACTGGCTCTTCGAATTTCTCTGCCAGCTTGCGGAGGAAATCAGTGGCAGCTCGGCGTCTGGTCTCGCTATCTGACCCTTCCAAGTCCCGTCGAATGAACTCAATCGGCTCGTCCTCGAAGAGTTCTTCGTCGGACTCACGGAGGCTCACATTCGGCAAAATGACCTTTTCAACAATCTGGCTCAAGGTTTCCTCGGCCTGGAAAGAAGCGGCATGCTCGGGCATACCTGCGACAGAGGTCAAGAAGTGCAGTGCTCGGCTGACCAAAATATCATACTTGGTCTCCTGGCCGATGGTGGTGAGGAAGTTCCATGAGCTCCCAATGAATTGTCCAACGTGAGGCTGGAACACATCCATGTACTTCTGCACGTAGAGAGTCAAAGCCTCAAATATTCCAGCGCGAACATATTCTAATAGACCAGCCTCCGTATCGTCGTCGGTATGGAGTAATTGATTGTCGTAGGTCAAGTATTTGAGGAAGATTGTCGAGATTCCGGTGAGGTTGTCTTCGAACATGGGAGGGAGATCGTGGGAGGAAAGGTCATAAAACAGCTTGACCATCAGGTTGAGCTGAGTAAACCCTTGAGTCAGATTCTCTTTGTTGGTCTTGTTCTGCTCAAGATAGTTATCCAGTGCCTGAGGTGTGTTAGCATTCGGCCCACCGAAGCAAAACTGGGTAGAGATCCGAAGATACCTCGAACAGGGCCAGGAACGGAGTACCGAACTTGTTAAGAACGTGGTTAATTTCAGTGTAGAGCGCATCAGACTGGAACAAAGGTCTCCATCTCTTGAAAATAGAGTGTGCGACTTGCAACACACCAATGTTGACGGTGGGGTTGTCTGGTGACAGCTTCGAGACGAGGTCCTGGAGAAAACAAATCGTCAGAACTAACATTACAATGCTTTGTTGAATCGCAAATTACATCAACCAGAGTATCCCACCGCTCCCAGAAGTCACTGTCGGCGATCACACTAACGGCCTCACCCAGCTGGCTCTGAATTCCTGGCGGAACCGAGATCATCAAGGAGATCAGCTCACGCTTGAGAGTGGTGACTTCATCCTGCTGCAGCTTGTAATTTCCATCTTCGTCCGTCCAGTTGCGCTTGATAGAGTTCTTGAAGCATAGAGCACTAGCGAGACGTGTGTTGTAGGGTGTGGTGTCCGATGCGGTGATGTGAAGAAGCTGTAGCGAGAACCCGGGCTTCTGTTCTTCCTGACGCAAAGTAATCTCGGCTAGAAGAACAGGAATCACATCAGTCAATACTGCTTCAAGTAATAGAGGGGTCAAATATAACTCACCTGCCTTGTTTTGCCTGGGGTCCAAGCTTGCCTCTAACAGAGCTCCAAGACCCTCCGCCATCTTGTTACGTGGGGTATCAACACAAGTGAGGGGGTTAGATGAGGAAAGGGAAAGAGGAAAAGATAGATAGGCAGAATTGAGGAATAATTATTCAGAAGACTCAAAGGGGAGCAAGAGTTTTGACAACCACGGAAGGGAGAAGATAAAAAGATCCAAAGCTCAAAGATAATAATGCGAGCGCTCAGTAAATTGTCACAGCCCACATAAACACAGGGAGTACGCTAAGCTCAATCGGGTTAGAATGTCACATGCTTGAGCCTCTCTCTGCCTCAGGCATCAATATTACCCTATCGGTCTTTCCTGGGTATGGTCTTAGAATATAGAATGAGCGCTTTGTATGAATGAAAACGGAAATACGTAGAATTGAAGGGTACTGTTATAACGTAAATATTTTTATTTTATTCTCTATATTCATATGCTTTTCGTGACAATTACAAACTCCTACGGAACCATCATTTGTAACCATTAATGCTTAGACAACAATGTTGCTGACGCCGTTAGCCAAATCCATCTCCTTGGCTTGAGACAAAGCCTTGACCTTGTCGAAACAGCCGGCCGCGGCGGAAAGGAATCCAAGGAATGGCTTGCTGGGTGCCAGCACACGAGAAATGTACTCGGGGTGGAACTGAACACCCACGAACCAGGGGTGGTCCTTCAGCTCGACAATTTCCATGCGCTCGCCCTTGTCATCCTTTCCAATGAAGTGAAGACCGGCAGCCTGGAGCTGATCGATATACTCGGGGTTAACTTCATAGCGGTGGCGGTGGCGCTCATCGATAGAAGTGCGATCCAATCCGTAAAGGGAACGGAGCTTAGACCATTCGGAATTCTCCTGGAAGATGGTAGGACGGGAACCAAGACGCATAGTACCGCCAAGGTTCACTTGGTCAATCTCAGGCATGTACACCACAATCGGGTGGTTGGTACGCTCGTCAAGTTCAACCGAGTTGGCACCCTCCAGGCCACAGACATTACGAGCGTATTCAATAACGGCAATCTGCATACCCAGGCAGATACCAAGGTAAGGCTTGGACTTGGTACGGGCGTGGTGGGCAGCGCGTATCATACCATTTGTGCCTCTGGTACCGAAGCCTCCTGGAACCAAGATTCCATGGGCAGTGTGGACATCATACCAGGCCTTGTGATACTCCTTGGAGTTGGTCTCCTCCCACTCGGTTTCGAGGTGCGAGGCATCAACCCAAATAATGTTGAGCTTTCGGCGGGAAGCCATAGCCGCGTGCTCCAGCGACTTGATGACGGACAAGTAAGAGTCATGGAGACTGACATACTTGCCAACCAGAGCAATGTTGACAGTTTCAAAAGTGTGCTCTTGGGCAGTCGTAAGGGTCTTCCACTGTTTCCAAGTGGACTGACCTTTGAGTAACTGATCCTGAGAAATGTTGAGCTTCTTCATGTTGAGAAGGTCACCCAGAACGCCAAGGAACCCTTGTTCCTCGAGAAGCAGAGGCACGTGGTAGGTAGAGCTGACATTGTGCACACCAATCACCTGCTCTGGCTCAACCTGACAGAACATAGCGATCTTATCGGTGGTGGCCTTGTCAAGGGGTCTTTCGCAACGGCATGCAATAAGATCTGGGCTTAAACCAGCCGAGCGAGCGTCCCGGATAGCCTGCTGGGTAGGCTTGGTCTTCAATTCATCGTGGATGATGGGAACCAGGGAAACGTGCTAGAAAAAGTCAGAATTGTCTGAAATCGAATGGTCTGTTGGACATACGATCTGGACGAAATTGTCCTTTCCAGCCCGACGGCGCAGCTGACGCAGAGCCTCAACAAAAGGAGCACTTTCAATGTCACCAAGTGTGCCACCAAGCTCGATAACACAAACATCTGGCTCCTCGTTGCTGTCGTCAGCGGGGGTTCTAGCCACACGCTCGATCCAATCCTGGATAGCGTCTGTCAAGTGCGGCACAATTTGCACTGTACGTCCAAGGTAATCACCACGGCGCTCCTTCTCGATCACATGCTTGTAGACCTTTCCGGTTGTGATGTTGTTATCCCTTCCAAGAGTAACTCCAAGGTAGCTAGATCGCAGAATATCAATCAGCCTCTTGTTTGGCTTCAAAAAAACTCATACAGAGGAGAATTTACCGCTCGTAGTTTCCGAGGTCAAGATCCGCTTCTCCACCGTCGTTCAACACGAATACCTCTCCGTGCCTAAAAAATCATCATCAGGAACAGCGTTCAGAAATAAAGACTGATCAACCACGTACTCGGTAGGGGCCATAGTTCCCGCATCGACGTTCATATAAGGGTCAATCTTGATCGAGGTGACTCGAGCACCCTGGGTCTTCAGCAGCAATCCGGTACTCGAGGCTGGAGAAAGTTAGGGCCGAGGGGACTTTTTCAGTTCGATGTATAGAGAGGGGGTACCAATTACGCCCTTCCCGATGCCACTGATGACACCTGTTATACATGTGTTAGTTATTGCTCGTTCATAAGAGATCGACTCAGAATAAATACCTCCAGAAACCACAACGTACTTCATCCTGGCGATGATAGGGATGAAAACCCGACTGAAAAACGATATGTGAGATTTGATATTGAGTTTAAAAAGAATGACCAGTATAACCAAAGACCCTCGAAGTAGAAAAGAAATGTAGGGTGCCGTTCCTGGCTTCTGCCAAGGGGGAAGAAAGAATCAAATAATTTTTGAAGCTGTAAAAAAAGCGCCTTTCCGTGGTCACCGCCCCCCACTTTGATTGACTTTTCTGCCGTCCCGATAACTATGAGTCATGTGATTTGAAAGAGGGTAAAGAGAGGGAATATGCTTGATGGTTAAATACGATGAGTCTGTAGAGGTAAATTGCTCGAAAAACTCCTTATAACATGTCCATTACAACCTCCAGGTATGCCCTTGACCATCCCTATCAAAATACATTTAACAAGTATGAACTTCGCTTTGATCCTCACCGCCCCGTCTGCCACATATAATGGGCGGTGTATGATATCAGTACTCCGTACATCAGGTGATTGGGCTGGAATATCTTCATATCCGTGCATGATTGATTAACCCCCCTCAATCCACATCACATCACTTGCTTGTTGTGTCATCGATCTGGTGGGGTATACTGGTTTTATTTATATTCATCATCTGACCTTGTTATCTCGGTCCAATTCACGATCAGCTGCCAATCAGGGTCGCTTTGCGCGCGGGATATTGATCACCAAATACCGACTGTTTCAGCTTGCTACATATATTTGAGTCCCTATATGTGCATTTTCTGATCATAGGAACATCCTATGTAGTTAATCGCTGTTGTTTGTCAATTTCCAAAGGGTAAAAATTCCCTATCTGCCCTTCGACTGCCTATCATGGATGATGCAATACCTGGACTAACTTGGTTGTCAAATAGTTCACAAACCGCGATCTCCTGACTCTACTCTCTTTCTGCCACTGGGCGGATGTCTTCCGATGATGTTCCACACTTCTCCCAGCACAAACCCTCGTCAACTAGTTTCGCAGATGTCCTCAAAACTCTAGCTGTCGGTCGATCCAAATCGCATTCCCCAGTCTCATTACAGGAAAGCAGCAGCGACTCACTGTCTTACACTGATACCTCCGGAACAAACCGGCGTGCGCACGGATCCGAATCAATGAATCGTGCCAGTTTCATGTCGAGTTCCTCGGACACTCCCAGTGGCCTGGATTTCGAGACCTCACTCCACAATCTATCGCAAAAGCAAAACCTAACGCAGGCGATTGAAGAAGCGGAGGGTTTGTCAAAAGGTCTATCATGGTTCACCTCCGAGCAGTCCGTGGTGCTTTGGGAGGCTGCCGAGTACCTATTGCGTCATGAAAGCTCGCTGGATGCTCAGCAAAGCGGTGCCAGATTATTAGAAGCGATTGCAGCCCGTCAAGATCTGTCTCCATCCGCCAGGCGCCTAGTTTTCGAATCGATCACTTCTCCAGCCGAGCCGGATGTGATTGCTGCGCGCGTACATTCGTTGATCTCCCTATCAGATCATGGCAGGAAATTGGATTTCGCAGGTTCCTCAATTCTCCATATCATCTCCTCGTGGATTGTTCCATTCTATGAAACGATTGCATCCGCACGATCAAAGGCGAAAAAGGCAAAATCTGTCAAACCACACGGGCCCAATCACGACGAAGCAGTCTTTGGAGATCTCTTCCAATTCGCGGTCGACCTGATCACTTTGCAACGAAGCCAGCCAACCCAGGAGGAAATCGAAATGCTTCTCACGGAAATCTTTACCGTTTGCAGGAGAACCAGTGTCGCGGCGGATATCAAGAACTCTTTGGCTGTGTTCGACGCTGTCATTATGTATGCCGATGTGCCTGACATAAGCTTCCCAATTCTCCTGGAAGTCCTTTGCAGCATCCATGCATCAGTTAAACCCCTCTCTGGGCCCACCTCACGAGCAGTGCGCAGTCTAGCGAAATCACGAAGACAGGAGGAGATGGTAAACACACTCCATGAATTCCTGGGAGATTCGTGCGCCGCTGAACAAAGTCGGAACTTGAATGTTCTCCGTGGTACACTTTATGTGTTCTCGGATTTTGTTCGTGCTCATGGCCAAGATGGCATGCCCCAGCTTTCCTTCGATCAACTCATGGAATCATTGCAAGTCATTGCTCAAAAAGACGATAGCAGGGTGGATGCCGACCTGTTAGATCTTTGTCTCAACATTCTGGAAGGGGACTATATTGGAGTCGCATTAGAACAGGATTGGACGGGATTTGCCAATCTTCTCATACTCTGTTCTCGCCGACTCGTGGACGAGTCAGCGCCATCCACCACTTCTGCGACTAGCCCTCGGCTCAAACCTACGTACGACGAAACCAAATCCTACATTCTGGTAAATCTCATCCGCATTGCTTCTGTGCTCGAATCTCAGTGGGAACAACTCAACAGAGAGCAAAAGCAACATGCGGTCCGGTTCCTCATGAAGATATACCAGCACATTGAGCCTCCACAGGCTGAACTCATCATCCATTCCATGAGAGAAGACAAGCTTTGCCATCCTTCCACCGACTCAAATTGGGCTCAGCATTGTCGTGAACTAGTTGAGTGTTTCGTTCAACCACGGAAACAAAGCTCGGACATACGTATCCTGGCTTTGGACACATTGAAAGAAGGTCTTTCCGGCCATGAGGATTTACTTTTCGTCCAGGAGCACGGTCTACTCGGGCTTCTATTGAAGGATTTTTCGGCAGAACATGATCTTCTCTTCTTGGAGTCCCTGGTGTCTTTGTTGACCGGCCCGGCGACACAGTACAGTGATGATGACGCGTTCAAGTTGCTGATAAACACCATCGCAGCACCGATGCAGACGGATCTCCATCAAGAAGAACCGCGCGAGAATCCTCTGAACAATGGATCTCAACGCCGTACATCCACCACGAGTGTCTTGGAGTTAAGCTTGACAAACGTCTGTGCCGTGGGCCTCGTGAAGATGATGCTGCGTGCCTTGAACCTCTCCCCAACCAAAGCTGTTATGGTTTTCGAGGCACTTCTAGACATTGCTCAATCTCCAAGTCGACCAATAGACTCTCGTTTGACGGTCTTGAAACTACTTTTTCGATTACGATGTGACTCAGCTGGGTCTGTCACAGTCATATCAACCTCCGAGAGTGACTTTTTGATGAATGTGCTGGGTCGCAATCTTGATGGTGGCTCTAAGCTACAGGTCCCCGGCGACAGCCCCACCTGCGAGATTCCTCAGAATGATAACTCACCAATCTCGCCAGTCGGAAAGCTTCCAATGAGAGAGTCTGTGTCAACCGCCATGTCGAAGTCGGCCCCGGGGCGTGGCTCTAGCTCTGCCCGTGGCTCAAAGTTGACGGCGCCAGTGTGGACATATGCTTTGCCACAAGTGCTTCCGGAGCAACCACCTGGGGAGTCTAGTCCTGTCGTATTTGCTTACGCTCACCCGGAGGACTCTACCCCCGAATCAGAAACAATAGAAACAAAAACCAAGGGGGTGTTGAAGGTCAAGATGTGGCTCGAAGTTGTGATCACCTTGTTGCAGCGAGAAACCGACTGGGATGTTTACAGCTACATTCTTACTCATATCGGTCCCCAGCTTGGTAACAAAGACTTTTTCAGAGATGCTATCCCTCAGATCACGCTCCTTCGCAGCATTCTGTGTGATCAGGTCAAGAATGAAACCTTCCACGAGCCTCCCGAGACTACCGGATTGAAAAAGAGCGATGTGGCTGCCTGCATCTTCGATGCGCTTTGCATGCTTGTCAGCTATCACGAACACTTTGCCAAGAGTGAAGAGGATGATCTCGTCCGAGCTTTCATGCAAGGTATCATCGGGTCATGGGGCGGCACATCCCGTGGGTGTATTCAAGCACTGTCACTCTGTTGTTATGAAATCCCAATGTCGGTGACGAAATCATTGAACAGCATCCTTGATAGGATGTCAAAGGTGATCACCATGTCAAACATTGCCGTCCATATTTTGGAGTTCCTGGCTCTGCTTGCACGATTGCCCGATGTTTACGTCAACCTGCGTGAGGAAGAGATCCGCACTGTGTTCGGTATCTGCATTCGATTCTTACAGACCTCTCGAGAGCATCGGTACAAAGCCTCTGAATTGGCCGCAAGGGCCGCTCTGTCAAACCAATCTTCCCAGACTAAGCCAAAGGAAACTGCCGCCCATGCAAATGAAGCTGTCGAGACCTCCCAAGACGGAATGTCGAAATATATCTCGAATCTGACCTACCATGTCATGGTCTTCTGGTTCTTGTCTCTGAAGCTCCAGGATCGACCCAAACATGTGAATTGGATCACCAGCAGACTCATATATCACGACGAACATGGAAAAGAGGTAGTAGAAGAACAAAGCCAAGTTTTCATTGATTTGATGCAGCGAGTTGCTTATTCGGATCTCGGAGAGACTATCCCCTTCGAAACCTTCCCTCCTTCCCCTGAGGATGGCCCGGTTGCAAAGAAGTCCTGGGTTGTCGGCATGAGTATCGTCACTGTCGAGAGCGCCGGATTGTCTGGATTGTCTCAGGTAACCAAGCGCCAGGCATCTGGTACCACATATTCTGTCTATCAACAACGGACGGCCCCAGTTCTGCCGCATCAAGTTCCTGCGACTCCAGATGCCCATTTACATTCCGACTCCATGCGGACAGCAGTCCTTCCGAGTCATATCATGCTTCAGTTGACTGCTACTGCCTTCCCTACACCTACAGTCATGCAGCCTATCCCGGTTCCGGAAGACGATATCACTCGACGTGCGATTAGTTACTTTGATCGCACCGACATTGTGGACGGACATCGTATCGGTATTCTTTACATTGACAATGGCCAGACAAAGGAGGCGGATATTTTAGCCAACACTGGTGGTTCTGCGGATTATGAAAATCTGCTGTCAGGATTGGGAACCAAAGTGTCGCTCCGGAACCCCCAATTCAATCCGCAAGGATTGTATGCCGATACCGATGGTGAATACACCTACGCTTGGCGGGATCGTGTGACTGAAATTGTGTATCATGTTGCAACTATGATGCCTACGGACTTTGACCGTGACCCGGCCTGCGTCAACAAGAAACGTAATCTTGGCAATAATCATGTCACCATCGTGTTCAACCGATCCAACTTGCCCTTCAACTTTGACACAATCCCATCCGAGTTCAACTCTATCAACATTGTCATAACCCCGTCATCTCGAATTGCCTACGACGAAAATGGCAATGCCAATTGTGAGACAGACCCGCAGAAGCTCTACTACAACGTGCAGGTCTTGAGCAAGCCCGGATTCCCAGACGTCTCACCTGCTGCGGCACCAAAGGTCATCTCCGGCAAGAACTTGGCGGCCTTTGTTCGGATTCTTGCCCTCAATGCGTCCGTCTTCTCACTTGTCTGGAACAATAAAGGTGGCGAGCATACCTCGTCCTGGACCACCCGTCTACGCGAAATAAAGAAAGTCCGTGAGCGGGCTCTCGCAGCCCAAAGCCAAGGCTCTGAGGCCGCCGAAGTGACTTATCCCGGTCTGCGGCGAAATACCAAAGCCAACATCTTCTCGGAGGAATTACCCTCTCGTGCACCGCAAGTACAGACGGATTTCGCTGCGGAATGGAACGCAGCGGCAGACACGAACATTGTCCAGAATTTGGATTTCTCCCGCTGGGCCCGCTAATTCGTCTTTCTTTTCGAGCGTCTTGACGATGACAACCTTAGGCGAGATATCCTCTCCTTTTACTGTCTGGATCTACAAGACACCCTCTCCCCTCCCTGATATTCATTCTCTCCTTATCTTACACCACCTCTCCCTCCACCTTTCCTTTCCCCTCTCGATGACCAATGACCCCTAGACGACTTCATGTACACCACTTGTGTTTTTTTTTCGTGATGCAAGACAATTGTCGCATTTGTAAATACCCCCTTCCCGCCCCAAAAGTTTTTTCTTTCCAGTGTCGTCTTGCCTGTCAGCGACTGTCGCGATTAGGATTAGGGTTTTATTAGTGACATGAATCAGTGTTCTTTTACTGAACTCAGCAGCCTTCTTTAATGATCATCTTAACCATTCAACTCTATTTGTGTAAAAAAAGAGAATCCCCCACGTCATGTAACTTTATGTGCTTCCCTCGCTCCTTTTTCCTCTCCTTCTCATTCACCCTCTCTTCCTTCTTCTTCTTCTTCTTCTTCTTCATGGCTCCTAGTCTAAAGTGAACTATACTCGTGGACTATAGTGTAGATATATATAGTGAGAATCTGATAAATGTATAGCTTGTTTATTGCATAGACCGTAGTCATGATTATAATGAAGGATCTAACTACTGACACATATAGTTGAACCAAAAGGAGATAGAAAATAGAAAGGAGGGAAATGCGATACAGAGCATGTACAAGTGTGAGGGCTAGGCGATGCAGAGAAAGGGAAAGATGGGTAGGTTTTGTTGTGTACAAGTAGAAAAAGAAGGTTGGACAATGGAAAGGTCGATCCGGGGACAGAAATTCACATCCCAAGTATGCAAGTTCTGTGTCCCTGGGATTGGAACTTCTATTCCCAGACCGTAATTCCTTCTCAAAAGGCTACTATCACCAACCAAAGATCTCACCAACACTGAGAGTATTCCAGCGCACACCGCCGACGGAAACGACCATCAAGACAACGTCGACAACAACCAGTACCACCGAGCCCATCATGAAGCGAGGGCTGAAGATGCGGTAGAGCATGAGATGGCGGCGGAGATGGCCGGCCCACATAGTAGTGGCGAGATTGATAGTCGCCAGGTAGAGCATATGGGTTCCGGCAGCCTGTACGACATCAGAGAGGATGCGTGTAGCGGGGTTCTTGTTCGGGTTTGAAGCGGGGACACGGTCGTGGGTCTGGAGGGGACGTTTCCAAAGGACGGTTAAGGGGACGGCGATGGCAGCTAGGATCTGTGCGCCGAAGGTATTGAGGATGACGAGTAGTGGGGACCAGGGGTATTGGATTGTTGTGAGGGGGATGAAGGCTGTTTCCCACTGGATGCTGGAGAGCGTAGCCTGGTGGCCTGTTTTGAAGTAATAGAAAGAGCCAAGGACGCCGAGGATGACGGGGCCGATGGAGGAGTTCGACATGGTTAGGCCGTTTGTGTCGAGGATCTCGAGGAGAGAGAGGATTTGCCAGAGGAGGAGCGCGATGGCGCCTTGGCCCATTGGCTTTTGCATGAGGATGACGGCGAGGGCGAAGTTGATTAGTAGGAAGCAGAAGTGGGTTCCGTAGACATTGCCAAAGCCGAGGATTGTGACTGTTGTTCGTGGGCCTTGTTGCTGGCCGGCGACTATAGGGGCCGGTGGGCTGTTAGGATCTTCCGTGGGTTTGCTCACGTTGATGCTGACGCAAGGCTTGGAGTAAAGGTATGCTGCAGTGCCTGCTGCGAACGCGAGGGCGAGGACGAACTGGGCTAGGAAGACGCGGGCGAACTTGAGTGTTTCCTTGCTGACGGGTAGCCACTCGCCGTCGTCGGCGCCTTCGAGAATCCAGAATATGGAGGCGACGAAAAGACCGAAGCGGAAGGCAAAGCCGATCCATAGAGATGCGACGCCTTGATAGGACTTGGAGCCGGCGTAGTAGGACCGCACGACGCTGGGCAGGAAAAGAGTGACCAGGAAAGGAATGGCAAGCTGCCAGGGGGCAGAAGTGGAAGAAGTCGATGAAGCGTAGTACGTGGAGCGGCAGAAGGGCATTTGTTCTTCACGGCAGAGGCGGGAGAAAGATGCGATTCGGCCTAGGATCACAAAGAGAATGGAGTGATATACACCCAAGATACGGTCTGTAGTTTGCTTTTGTCGCATGGACGATATACCGGCGCACACAGCGAATGTAGTGAGGAAGAATAGAAGAATTTCGTCTTCCCAGATAGTGTACGAGTTGGAGGCAAATCCAATAGACTGAGAAACGGTGAAGAAAAGCGCGAGCCATCCCCACATGCCATTCGGAAGAGGCAGAGTCATGTTCGCAGGCTTCTTGACGAGAGCGGGCGTGGCTCCAATGATGCTTCCAGCGGCGGCCAGTAGTACGGCCCCATCGACCGTAGATATCTCGGTCAGGCCAGTCAAACCCAATGCAGAACCGGCCACGGCACCGACGCCAGCGCCGACGCTTGCGAATTGAAGCAGACGAGACGTGGCTTGGGTTCGATCTGTCTTCAAGCCTCGGGCATAGATGATCAACAAGATAATACCAGCAAAGAGAATCACAACACCTTGGATCATGCTTGGCACATCGAATCGAGCCCACAATCCACGGCAGATATCAAGAGTGTGACGCTGGTACTTGCGGTAGAGTTCATTGCTAGCCTGAGCAGCCGTCGACTTGGACGAGAAGCCCTTTTGAGCGGACCTCCACTCCTCTTCTGCAGCAGTCCAAAGTAAAGCCGCCTCTTCATCATCACCAGCACCTCTAGCAATCGCATATTGGTGCTGATATCTCTTGACTTGGGCTGCAGTCAAGCGGTTGACAGTCGCCAGATTTGCCCAGTTGTTCCCACGTGCGCCACAGAAAGCCTCTTCAATAGGCGATCCTAGGTTATTGAATGGGATGGGCATTCCAAGGAGTAAAGACAACGTCGGAACGAGGTCAATCTGAGGCACGAATCTGTCGCGCGCGAATTGAGGCGGGAGAAGCGTATCCTTCCTTGTGCGTCCGAAGATGCCGCGCTTGGAGTACATCCACAACGCGGCCTCAACCTCGTCATCAGACTCACCGCCGTGGTCGCCCTTGATGTCCATCCCATGATCTCCCATGATGACCAGAAGAGTGTTATCATCAAGCGCAGCAATGATATCGCGAATAACACGGTCCATTTCCTGAAGCTTGGATGCCATGGCAGCATGATTAGGACCATATCGATGACCTGCATGATCTACGCCGAGATAATGGCCAAAGATAACATCCCATTTATTCCTGTTCTCGGGCTGGAGAAGCGGGAAGAGATGCTCCGTGACGCCATTGTCGACGGTATGCAAGTCCCAGACGTTGAATGAGTCATACGCATGCGTGAGATTGGTATCAAAGTAGCCCGGGAAGAGCGCCTGCCAGGTATCGTCGCCGAGGTGAACCAGGTTCTTCCCGGCGCTATGCAACTGTGCGACAAGATTGTCCTCGTCGATGGCGGTTCCGGCGAAGTTGGAGCCTGCGTCGAGGAAGGTGGGCAGGGTTCCGGTGGTCAAGCCTTTCAGACGGTTCAGGGTTGTTGTCGGAGGATCGGCAATGAATGGCAGGAGGAAGGCGTTGGCGGGGTTTTGCACTGCGGTCTCGTAGAGGACAGGGATGTTATTGTGGAAGAGGTGGGCTGTATCACTCTCTCCCTTCGGGGCGAATGGCACAGTGAAATCATAACGAAGAGCGTCGATTATGATGACAACGGCCTTGTCAAATGTCTTCTCGTGCCAGCAGCCTTTCTGCTGTTTACTCCCTAGGGCTGTAGTATGTTGGGCTAAAGTGTCCTCGAAAGGCAGTATGTCGCATGATGATTTGTTCTCAAGGACCATGCGCGTGAGGAGAAACCCTTTTGTGAAGAGATAAATACCGGCGACATGCAAAAGTCTGTCATTAATCAGCGTCAGTTCACATTTATTTTTTAACACTTCAACCCGGCAGCGGGCCTTAAACCTCGAGCTCTGCTAGGCCTAGGCGGAACCACTCACAATATCCACGCCAGAACACCCATCACACCAAAATGCTTAACCTTAAACTCATCTTCAAGCTCCAGCGCCTTCTGATCCAACAGGCCAGCTTGCTTCAGCTTGGACTGCCCGCCAGACGATTTCTCGGAGCTGCGAGGGGAGGCAGCTGGAAGACCGCTTTTAGGACTGCTGGGATTTGGAGTCCCCATAGTCCCTGCGGGTCGCGTGACCATTTCTAAGGTCTATTGTATTGTCGCGGGTCGAAGTCGGGGCCAGCTGGCGCACCAGGTCGCAGATCTGGCTTTTGGAGGCCGAAAGGGCACCGAAGGAACCGTGAATGATGAGCCACGGTGTGTTTTAGGCGACAGGGAAGCCGGGAGCAAGCACAAATGATCCGGTTGAATCGGTTCAAGCGAGAACCCTCGAAGTAGGGTAAAAAGTATAGGCGGGGGGGCGGAGGAGATGGCGGATTCTGTGCTCTGTCGAACGGCTTCCCTCTGTATCAAGAAACTATATCATGCACATTGTTTGGAGGAGCAATGTATACCAAGCGCAAATAATAGGGGGAAAGCTGTGTAGGTAAAGAGAATAATTCTAATTTCCCTGACAGTCGCGGAACCCACGGGTTGGGGAACTCGGCCTCGGCGTTTCTCATTGGCCGGCTGGCAGCGGATACAACTACATAGTACACCACACTATACTGTATACAGGAGAAGAGAGAGATATCTGGGGAAAGGATAGATTCCAGATTTGCCTAAATGTCACGAAACATAGGAGGGCTAAGTACATACATTATCCAGCTGCCGGGTACCGAAAAAAGGCACATGAGAAGGAAAGTAAAATAGAGGGTCCCTCAAACGTAAAAATAGGAGCCTCATAAAGGGGGGTGAAGAAGAGAAAGTCAAAAGCATGAATAGTCACAAATATATCGGGCCCTAGGAACATAGCAGGGACGAAAGGTACATGAGGAGCCAGGCTTAAGAAGTCAAACGCCAGAAGAGAAAAAATCGGCAGGCCCTCGCTACGAACGATCCAGTTTCAATGAATATTGGAATCCAAGCAGTGTGAGCTACCCATGAGTCTGTCCAGAAACCGGGTATTCCGACGGTGTGCTTTTGAGACCAAAATAGAAACTGAAGGGCATATGTGCAAGCCATATAGGCCAAATCGGAAAGGAGAGATATGTAAAAGGTGAAATCGCAAAAAATATTTGCCAGGGTACTCGTCATGCTTTGAGAGGTCGTTGAAGGTTTGAGAGAGATTGAGCGCTATGCGGGTGGGATACGCAGTCGGTCAATTGGGCCAGTCGGTTTGACACGCCTTTAATGGTATGTCTTCGTCTCCTCTTTCTCCCTCAGTCCACCCATCCGCTCGATGTCCAGGGACTGGAAGCGACCGGTGTCTGTGCTTTGGTAGGGCGGAAGATCCTCATGGCACGGTTCCAAGCCGATGCTGCCCGCGTCACTGATGCGGACCACGACCACGCGGCCAGAGGTGCGTTTGCCGCTTGCATCCTCTTCTTCTGGGAAGGTAATGCGGATCTCAGGCACAGGGCTCGGTGGGGGGCTGTCGGAGTTGTCCATGAGGCTGCGTTTCTCATCATAGACAAGAATGGAGTCGGTTTTATTCGTCGAAATGGTTAGGCGGCGCCTGTTGGGTGACTCTCCATTGTAGACTGGGAGCAAGTTTTTGTTCCGAGACTGGCGCTTGCGGCGGAGGATGAGCAGGCCACCGACCAGGGCGAGGGAGAGCAGAACGAGAACCAGGAGAGCAATGAGTAGGTCTACCATGGCGTTTGAGAGTCCGCCATTGCTATCATCGCGAGCAACAATGCGGGGGAATAGATTGTTCATCGTGTTGATTGTCGATTGTGGATTGTCGGTTGTGGGGTGTCGGTTGTCGATGGTTGGATTTTCGATGCCGAGTTTGAGAATTGTATGATTGGAAGTCGACAGCTATGTATCGTGATCGTCGATTTCAAATTCCAAGGAAGGTCTCGGAATTAATCCGGGGAAGTAAATACTGATGGAATGTGCGTGCAAATATCGGTCACGGGATCGTGTCGAAAAAAAGGGCGAAGGGTCGAAACGAGAGTGAGTAGGTTAACGAAAGAATGGACTGCAAGGTGAGCCGCTGAAAGAGTGAAGCTGGCACCTGCGAAGGAAAAGAATGGAGGGGATGAGATGAGAATGAAGGGAAAACAGAAAAGGGAGGAAGGGGAGAAGAGGAGAAGGTTGCAAGCCTAGAACGGCTTGCTATTGTTAGTGTCGAGCTAAGCTCTTCGTGGTTTAGCCAGGTTCCTTGGGCGTTGCTCGGGGCCTCTTGGCCGACAGGGGTTAGCCAATCACAGGCCCCCAGTGCCTGGAGAACGGGCCCTCCGGGGTCGATTTGCGCCCTCTCATTCGGTGGCTCCACTGAACTATGCCGATTGTATTTTGATTCCCCTGAGATCCTCATGAACGGCATAAATCTAGGGCTATACGCTGTGTATAGATTGGATAGATTTAGATCGCAAACACAAACATCAGTAAATGTTTCGAGACAAAAAAGATAGTCATGGGTAGTGCTTATTCTGGTTGCACAAGCGTGAATCACTCGGATTTAGGCGTACGGTGCAATGTCACGAGCCCTAATTGTCTAGGTACATACTACATAGTGACATGATCTGTTCTCTGGGGGGATCCTCGTGCGAAAATAACAGGAAATGAGTGTTTCAAAAATATGTGGAGAGATCATGATCTCATGCACCTGATCTTCGAGACATAAACAAAGCCCTTGTTTGCGTCAACCAACCACAACAAGTAAAGAAGTAAATCGCAGCTATTGTTTGTTGGAAGTAAACAAAAAGAAGTAAGGAACAAATTGTTCATTTTGAAAAAGTGGACTTATTATATCATATAGACAAAGTTGACTTAGTCGGACTATGCAAAGATGCCAGAGATATATTTCTCTTTCGCTACTCGACATACTCGGTACGCTCGCCTTAGATCACATGAAATCAAGCAACCGAGACAGAACTGGACGCGTGATTTTAAATATATCTAGGTAACTCATGAACAAACCTTCCTGAGTACTCGAAGGTTTCATTGAAGTCCAAACATTTACATCCATACTCGAATCAAGGTAGGAGATGAGATCGTTGATCTCTGTTTCATAGATTGGTGTTTGCACTGTTTGCAGAAGTGGATAACTACAACTAGGTATCCCACTTCTTACTTCCTGCTTCCCCATCTGTTATTTTTTAATTAAAGACCTGGCTTGACACAATGAGCTGTTTCCAACTTAAATTGAGCAAGCTCGTGTGAAGATATTCTCGATGCCGACCCAACGCTTAGCCCAAACCACAAAGTGGGGTTCGGAGGCTCGTCTCACCTCACGTGCCCAAGCTGAGGATAGTTTGACAGACTACAACGGAGAGACACACTGATCGATATACCGAAAAGCAAATTCACACGGTCGGCCGCGCTATGTCGTGCAATTTTGACTGCTCGGCTCCCACCCCCTTATCCCCAAACAGCGATATCACTGGGATTGGGGTATGAGTTTCCCTTTCTCTCGGCCGCGGACGCATCTCACACTCTTAGATCATTATCAACAATATCGTGACTACCGGCATCGCTGTAGTGATCATTTCAATTTACCACTTCACTGCCTACGATCCCATCCACGACCTGTCTCATGATGGTCAAACTCCGTTTCGACCCAACCCAGTGGACGTATCCTCTTTAGCATTGTTCAAATCATACCTAAGCCCTTTCGTCAAAATTGCTAGGAGCAAAAGATTTGCGAATGTCCTAATCAAGGTGGGTGGATTCTTATGAGATCGGATCGGTGAATCATCAAAGTAACTTCGAAAAACAGTGCATCCGAGCAATGAGCGATATGCAAATCATGACAGGCTTTTTCCTCCTGATCAGCGGGTATTCCCAGCTCAAATGCGGCTTGGCAACCTATCATTGGCTAGTCGTTGTTGACCAGGCCTGGCTTTCCTGCCTAGTCCAGTTATCCTGCTTAACGCACCTACGCAGTTATTTCCACAACCGCCCTATCGAGCGGACATTACGGTTACTAGCAGCCGGTGTATCTACGATAATGTTGATCGTGGGGCTTAGTTTCACGGGAAACTACGATTGGGCCTTTCACGCAGATAGTAGCGATCCTGATCACCCGACGATTAGTGACCCTGCAATCTGTTATATGCGCGCTCGTCCGGCGATGAATTCGGCCTTTTTTTCGATGCCTTTCTCGATAATTTTGATTATCTTTGGATTTGCTTCGAGGGTGATTATCCTCTACGATACGCTTTCAGTTAGCGTTGTTAGAGCTAGAACTTCCCTTGCAGGACATATACGAGGGTTATTACGCATTGTGTATAACTGGAGCCGGGCGTCTCGCTCGCCACGAAGTCTGAAATTGACACTTGGATATCTCCCCCTCTTAGCTATATACCTCACGGGGTCTGTGTTTGTGGATGTGTGGGATTCCGCTGCTATAGAGGTCAGATATTATCTATGGGACGTGTGTTGATTGTATTCTATGTTCTCTAACTCGATACTAGGTCGTCTGGTTAATCATCGCCTTTGCATTCGGTATCACCCGAGTGATAGGAATAATACATCGACCGGAAAAGATGGGCCTCGACGCTTCGTTGACTAGTTTCAATGATTGGTCGTTTGGCCAAGTTGGTGCTATGGTGGTACTAGCCGCACCGCTTATCACACTCATCGGGTTGTTCTACGAGGGTGAGTCAAACCATGATTATCGTCTAGAATCAACTGAGATCTAACACTCGTGTAGAAGACGAGACTCGTGTACAGGATGAGGAACCTCTCTCCGACAGCCAAACCGCACCACCGCCGGAACTCCCTGCCCCTTCTATATCAAACGTAACCACGGACCTCAATGATCCCTTTAAGGATTGGATCTCGCACTCCCAAATATTCTATCTGGTCGACGGACATATATTCACAATGATCATAAGTGTTTTCTTCTGGATGGCAGAGCGTGATCCTTTCGGCAAGATAAAGAAGACATTATTAGAGGATATTCTCGTCTCCTCGGGTATCAAGATGGTTGTACCCATTCTTTTCTCTTTGATGGTGGAGACTATCTTTGCGGAAGCTGGCCCTACTAGTATTTCTTACAACCTTGCGCAAGTTGTAGTAAAGCTGCACAGCCTGAGCTGCCTGACGTTTTTCAGTGTCTCCAGTTCTACGAAGATTACTTATTGTCTCCTGCCTATCCTTGTTATCTGGGCTTTGGCGCATCGCTTCTATCCCTTTTTTCAAGCTTTATTCTCGTCGAAGTTGCTGGCCTTTCTGCGGTTGTCATGACATTAATTACACTATGATCTTTCCAAATGTTGTTTCCCCATGCTCTGGTCCTCCCTCGGTTTTATTTGATCCATCCACATTCCATGCCTCTTCGCACTACAAACGAGAGAACTAGAGTGATTCCCCGTTTTTGAGAGCGGAGCGACATCATTCACAGCTGCATAGCTCACCTACCCCGTCCGATCCCTCTATCGCCATGAACGGATCGCGACTCACGATATCTCTCGGGAGAGTTCACGAACAACGTAGAAGCTATTGAAGCCAAGAATTTACCTCAATTCTTAACTTATGTACATAATTGGTGTGCCACTGGTGTGCGGTTGGTGTATGCAATTGAATCAAAAAACATATTCCAAAATAGTACACGCGGTCCGGGTATCACAAATAAAGTACCTAGTTCCAGTGGGAGTACTTGGTGCATGGTCTAATTACTGGTTAAATGGTGTTAGAAGAGCTATTTCTTCATCATACATAGAGTGCATCTGGACATGGTCTTGGAGCGACAGGTGTTTAGTGTACCTTTGAACCCTTCTTCAGCTAACACTAATACTATATGTTGATTTCCAAAATATGATCTGATCAATAGTATGTATTTTAAATGCATGAATGGAGATCAGCATGTATATATCTGGCTTAGGCGATGTCAGTCAAAGCTAACCTTCGAAGTCTTACCCTGCCAGAAATCCCCCACAGTCGGCGACCACCAAACTCCCCGGCCTTTTGTCGACACTGCCAAGACCGACACTCGAGATCAAGAACACAACCAACACCACGTCGCTACTAAAAGTTGTCAACTGCACCGACTGACATCTCCTACGTTATCCTTGGCATACAGTGTAGGCAGACTCCGCACGTTTGCTATGCGGTCAGGGGTCGCCAACACACAATTCGACACCTCACAAACCCGGAGAAAGGACGATCACGATCATCACAAATGGTAACACGGCCAACGCTCATGAACGCTGCATATTCTATGCAAGCCAGCGGTCATCGCGCTCGGGACCACCGAGTATGCCTAAGCCTACAGGCGAAGGACGCAAGGCAGGCAATGCCCCTCAGAAATCAATCCGGGGAAGGTTTCTGCGAGTGATGGTCTGACACTTGACCTGTGCGACCCCTGTGCAAGGATCCAAAGGCGAGTATCCTTGTCAGTCTCTCTCTGCCAGTCTATGTCTCGGCCTTTTTCCAATCTCGCCGGGGAAATTACACCGCGATGACTGGATACCGTACGTCGGCAAATGTCCAACACATGTTTGATGACGACCGTTCTTCTTTCTCATTTCTCTGCTGGGTATTCTATGGGCTTCTGAACCGGACAGTAAGCATTTAGTTCTCGTCATTCAACAGGCTGCATTGCCAAATTCGCCCACAGATTGATCTAAGGGTCAGTGTGACGATGCGCCGAAGCAAGGGGCTGGCCGAGTCTACGGAAGTCTACCCAGTTGAGACCCTATTTCCGCGGATAATATTTATGGATCTGACACTTTTCATAGCGTGAAGCATACTTCTATGGTCGCGCGCGAGACTATTGCACCACTCGCAGTTGGGGTTTGGCTCATTGATCTATTGAGAGTCAGAATCAAGGGATCGAAGGGCAATCCCAATACCAGCGCACGGCCGAAAAACAGATGGAACATAAACACGAAAAAAAGAAAGGAAAAAAAGGCAAGACGAAACAAAACCCCCCTCCCTCCATTGGGTTCCTGACCAGGCGGAGAAAGTAAGCCAACGAGAGAGACGCCTTGCCAATCCTGGAATGGTAGGTAATCCGCAGGTAATCCACAGTTAGAAAGGTGGCGGCCCTTGGCTCTTTCTGGTCAAGAATGTTTCCGGATCCAACCGGACGTTATACGAGATGTTTAAAGCAAGAGTACTGAATATGTAGGGCATAGGCATATATGGGGTGTACCTTACTTGCGGTTAAGACTAAGGTGGGAGGGGCTTAGTGGGCCCGATCCTCCAGAAACCTTCAATCTTTTAAGATAAGCCGAGAATTATATTAAGCCTTAGCTTCATTTCGGGACGAATAAGGTAGAATCCCGGCCGTGAAGCTGGATTCCTTCCTGATTCTTTCTAGCGAAAAGTTTCTTGTCTATATTAGACGTTACCGGCTCCATTCGGGAGTATGATCTGTCTTTTATAGGGGTTCCATGGTCCATGGTCAACACATATAGGTGTTCTCTAGTGGAGTGGTGAGGAACTTTTAGCCGAAGTGTTTAATTTCCCCCATGGTGACTTCAGAGTTGCTCGTTCACGTCTATTACATGTCCTATTTGGTAGTATTCCAGGGACTGTTTGTTGATGTACTGACTTGGACCATGGGAGATGATGTGAGTAGTTACCTAATAGGGCAGTATAGGAAAGGTTGAGTGTAGAGTGTATAGAGAGATAGAATTGCAATAGAATATGCAATGTAATGTGTTCCAATAGCAGTGTGTATGTATACAATCCCTATATACATCCTCTCATGCACATCCAGATATCACGATGTAGAAACAAGACAAAGAGATGGGGCCGGGCTAAAAAGAAGCGCCGGGAGGTAGATCGCGGTGACGGTCAGATACATGCGCCATAAACCCAAATGGCTGCAAAGATACCTGGATGCACAGCCAAACTCTAACCTAAACGCAAGTACCACCATATCGCATGCCGGATCGCCTTCTTCATATGGTCATGGTATTACGCGGCAATACAGCGGCTGATCGGCCTGAGCAGTCATCCAGCTTCTTGTTATCTATCCAATTGACTCTTGTCCTGTCACTTTTTCTTCCTTTCTTTTCTTTTCCTTCGTGTGACTCTTGCTTGAATTCGTCCTTTTATTCCATCTGTCTGCTCCCTTTTTTTCTGATCTTTTCTTTTTTTTCCATCCATCACCGCCTCACCGTCATCCACTCCCCCAGGACAGCCACACACAAAAAAAACCCTTGGGCTGTCATGCTGGCGCCTGTGTGACAGCTGGACTACATTAATGCCGTGCCTTGTCTCTCGTCCACATTCCCTTCCATCGATCCACTGAAGCCCGGATTCTCATCCTTCTTGCGCGAGCGCATTCCATTATCCTCTCTTAGTTCCGCCTACTCGAAAATCTTCCCCCCTCAGACATCCAACCACCCCTTGCCTACGCCAATCAATCTAGGGTCCCCCAACGTTCTGATTGCCATTCTCGGGGATCGCCTCTCCATAAGGCACATGAGGACGATCTGCACACTGGGAGATTCCTGGAGCATGCACGGAGCAGAGTAACGTTGCGGCGCCTCCTCAATTCTGAACTTTCCGGCTACCAACTTGCGACCCCACAGCTGCAGCAAACGAAAGGGTGATAATAATCGTTCCAATTCTTTGTCACCTTGCATCTTCTATCGCTGTCAGGCTCGATCGACCTTCCTGCCACCTTCAACATTTCTCGCCTCATCCAGAGCTCGTTGCTCTTCCTCCCTTCCGTCTCCCTTCTCTTGCTCCTGTATAATCTGTACATGTCCTGGGTTCGCCGTTGAACAATACAGAGGACAACGTTCGTTTTCTCCCATTTCGCTCTTTCTTGTGATCCCTTCTATCCCCTCTTTTGGTGAGCTTTCCCTTCCAGACACCTGGGCACCCTAGCTGCCTGGATGCCCTTGGACCTTTCTCCACACCTTGCAACGTTTCCCCAGATGGCCCAGACCCTGCTAACACGGGCCTCTTCTCATCGCAGTCTTATATTCCTTCGTGTACGCCGTCTCTGGTGCCTGGTGCCCGTTTGCAAATACTAGTCGACACAGCATCGGCCGATCGTCTCAGCTCTGTGATTTATTACCACGAGACAACACTCCGAAAAAAATAATCGTTTGCCGTTCGGGTACATATCGAATTACTCTTCTGCCGATCGGAGATTTCCTGGGATGGCTTCTACCATGGCCGCGAATGCAACCAGCGTACACAACGTGAGTGAAACACATGGGTGTGGATCAATGGAATGCCGATAATAACATCGAGTCTAGGCACGATCGAACAGAGCGTCCAACATGGGTTCATCCGGGATGAACGACCGCAACCGCAGCTCACAAAGCAACAGTGTCGGTAAAGGTTTCGGTGCTAGTAAGACTAGCTGGAAGAACAACATCTGGGGTGACTCCAACCTAGGAGGATTCGGAGATGGTGAGTAATTCGTACACCAATTGCGACTTGGGCTGTGCTGACAAATTTTGCAGAACAACACCTCGGCGAGACTGCATTCGAAGGAAAATCTGGATCTGGTTCCCTTCTCTCTACATCAGAGTCAGACGGCTGGTCGGGACGTGCTAACCTGCCTTGGAGCACTGTCAACACCAACCCCTCCTTCCAGAATAGAGGCCTTGCCACATCCCCCACCCAGATTCGTGCAAATGACCGCAGTGCTCCTGCTCTCAACGAAGCTAGTGATGGCTCTTACTTCGCTCTACCTCGCACCACTGGGACCGCGAGCCAGCGCCCCTACCTCAACACTAGTTCGGAGGGTGTATCTCCATCCGGAGAAGGCCTCACCTTCGGAGGATTTACTGGTCGACGACAGATGAACTCAACCGGTCTCGGTGGTAGCCCTGTGGGAGCGACTTTCCCTGTGAAGCCTGGATTCTCGAACCCTCTCGATGCTGGAAGCGGAGATGGAATGGGTACTTCAATGGGCATGCCATCGCTGGGATCTGGAATTGCCGAGCACATCTCTCCAACACAGGGCCGCAGCGGCCTATCACACGCGTCTCACAACTCCGCCTCTTACACTACTCAACGACCCACTCACTCAGCTCATCCTTCCTTCTACTCCGACAATCACAGCATCGATGGCCGCTACAGCGGTGGCTCCATGGACCTCAACGCCAGCTTTAACAAGCTACAGCTCAACGAAGCTAACTATGCCTCCCAAGCGGCCCAGCGACCCTCGTTTATTCCCCATGCTTCCTTTGATGGCTCCTTCCCGCGCGGAAAGTATCAGAACAACGAAGACACTTACCAGGCACTGGGATACACCGCAGAGGCTGCGCAGGAGATGCACCTTGCTTACCAGGCACGAACCAGAGCTGCGAACACCGGCTCCATCTCACCCTCCGACTATGCCCGCATGGATAGCCCCATCTATCCCGGCGTGGACGGGGGTGCTCAGTATCGCAATGCAGCTCCGAGTGAAAGCCAAGTGGCAGCCTTTGAGCGCAGACTCCGAAACTTCCAGGAGCAGGAGCTTGCCCAAGGTTCCTCGCGATTGCAGTACCCTCCTTCTTTTGACTTCCAAGCATACCAGGCTTCTCGCATGAATGCAATCTCTGGATTCTACCCAGTAGGTCATCTTAGTGGCCTCGGTGCCGCTGCTCTGGTCTCACGCACTCAACGCGAGCATGATCCTACCCAGGTTGTGCGCAGCCCTCTCCTAGAAGAGTTCAGGGCCAATAGCAAGGGCAACAAGCGCTACGAGTTGAAGGACATCTACAACCATGTGGTCGAGTTTAGTGGTGACCAGCACGGCTCTCGCTTCATTCAACAGAAGCTTGAGACCGCGAACAGTGACGAGAAGGAGCAGGTGTTCCGGGAGATCCAGCCCAACTGCCTTCAGTTGATGACCGATGTCTTCGGCAACTACGTCGTGCAGAAATTGTTCGAGCATGGAAACCAGACTCAGAAGAAGATTTTGGCCAACCAGATGCGCGGCCATGTTCTGGCCCTGTCGACCCAGATGTATGGATGCCGAGTAGTCCAGAAGGCCCTGGAACACATCCTCACTGACCAGCAAGCTGTGATGGTCAAGGAACTGGAGAACCATGTCCTCAAGTGTGTTCGTGATCAGAACGGCAACCATGTCATCCAGAAGGCCATTGAGCGTGTCCCTTCGGAGCATGTCCAGTTCATCATCAATGCGTTCCGCGGTCAGGTCAACAGACTGGCCGCCCATCCTTATGGCTGCCGTGTCATTCAGAGAATGCTTGAGCACTGCCAGGAGGTCGACCGCCAGTCCATTCTGGCCGAGCTTCATGCCTGCACTTCCAATCTGATCCCTGATCAGTTCGGCAACTATGTCATCCAGCATGTTATCGAGAACGGCGACGAGAAGGACCGTACTCGCATGATTGACATCGTTATGGGACAGCTCCTGGCCTACTCCAAGCATAAGTTTGCTAGCAACGTGGTTGAGAAGAGCATTGAGTTCGGTGCAGAACATGAGCGTATCCACATCATCAGTACTCTAACCTCTTCGAACGACCGCGGCGAGAGCCCTCTCCTTGGTCTCATGCGTGACCAGTATGGCAATTATGTCATTCGTAAGTTCAATACCATCATTTTTTGCGTGCTATGCTAACCCCCAACAGAAAAAGTCTTGGGCCAATTGAAGGATGCCGAACGTGAAGCTCTCATCGACCAGATCAAGCCCCTTCTCAGCCAGCTCAAGAAGTTCAGCTATGGAAAGCAGATTGTCGCGATCGAGAAGCTCATTTTTGACCCCAACTCTCCTGCGACCGTACCTCTGTCTCACCCCACCTCTACCACTCCTCCCCACTCCCACAAATCCTCCCCGCAACCCGCCAAGCGCTCAATCCCGACTACTGAGCAGCCCCGGGCGCCTTTCATGGGCAACGCTCCACCTACTCCTCCCCCGACGGATGCTCAGACCACCGTCGATACCACCCTCGAGTCGAAGGGCCTCGCCAAGAGCACGGTGACCTCGGTTTCGAGTCCCGAGACAGGCAACACCGGTGTTACCGTCCCGGTCGATGTCACCAGTGCTCATTAATTCGCTGCACACTTTATCTTGCTCGCCCAACATAATCTTTCTAATGCTGATTTGATCTGAGCCGAGTGACTTCTTGTTCTATCTAATACGGGGCGTATACATACAGGGGAATCAGGCGGGATATATGTTACCAACGTCTATGTGATTCTCCCCTTTGACCATGCTTTGACGGCGCAACAATGAGGGCCTGGAATGTCTTTATTTCTTTCTTTTTCTTTCTTGTGTTGATCTCGACCTCGATCTCGGACCGCCGACTTATTTCTTATCTTACTTTATTTGTTCTTGTTTCTTTCTTGACATGTTCATTTATTCTTATGATTGTCTTTGTGAATCATTGTCAATTCTTCTTGCTACGAAATCCAGGTCCGGCAATCGATATGGCTCCGGCGTCTATGTTCTTTCCACTTCTTCCATTTTTATCTTGTTACGGGGTTAAGGCGGCTGTGATGGGGGAAAACCGGCAACGGAAAGGGAACGATCTTTCGCTCTTCATGTCTTCCGACCGCATATGCCATAGCATGGAGTCCGGACCATCCATATTCACATTCGGGTCCAGCAGAAAATACCACGAAAAGAATCAAATCAACCACTTTGCACATCAGCTACCTTGTCCATGGCATCTGCATGATCTACTCAGAGCCACTTGTTACTATTTTTCACTGGCCGAGCAACATATTTAGTCATGGCCATGATTCTCGATTACGAGATCCGCGACTTTCCTTTCCGTATCAAGGTGTTCTTATCAAAGGCGTTTCTACGCTTCTCGGTCAGCATGGACCATTCTGCTTGGCTTTGGGGGCTTGTCATAACTCCCAGCTCTTGTGGATTTCATGCTTGTTTTCGGGTTGCCCTGTTGATAATTTCTCTCGTGGTTTTCTTTTCTTCCTCTTGCTAGTGGCTGTGTATCATCAATGCATTATGACTTGACTTTTAAATTGCTTCAGTATCATTAAGAATGATTCGTACCAATTCGCTCATGCATCGTAGCATCGTAGCATTTAGTACAAGCCCGAATGTGAAGTATTGTGGTGCGTAGTGGCCACTCGGAACTCGATCATTCTAAAAGGTATTCTAAAGTGTATTCTAGTACATTTAAACAGAACCTAAAACCGAGTCACTGTGCACTGCGATAGTTGACCTATACAGAACCATATCACACGTGACTCCCGTCCCGTGATGCCCGATAAGACGATGCATTTTGATAGAGTTGGAGCAAACCCTCAACATTTCCAGTGACCAGCATTGTTTTTCTGCGCGTCATCGGATGAAACCTTCAGCGCCAACCAATCCACCCATCATTGCTGAAATCCGAATCCGAGCTCGAAAGAACCTCCATCCAGAGTCGGCATCTAGACCAGCTCCAAGCTCTCATCCATTCCGCAAAACCATAACTACAAACCTCCAACAATAATCACCACCACAAAAGCCACACACAATCACCTACCGAAGAATCCAAATCTCCTACTTAAACTCCACTACCTATTTTCCCAACCCACCAATCACCACCACAAAATGTCCTCCAACGTCGGCCTCACAACCCCGCGCGGCAGCGGCACATCAGGCTACGTGCAGCGCAACACAGCCCTCCTGAAACCCCGCAACAACGGCTACGGCGCCCCATACCCGCCCATCAGCGGCGCAAACGGCAGCGGGCCCATGGACCGACCGTTCAAGCAGCGCGTACCGGACAAGCAGATCCTGGAGCACGACCGCAAGCGCGCGATCGAGGTGAAGGTGATGGAAGAGCGGGAGCGACTGGAAGAGGAGAACGAGCGGATTGAAGAGGAGGCGGGGGATAAGAAGAAGAAGGGGAAGGGTGGGGATGATGGCGAGGGGGAGAAGGAGAAGGAGAAGGTTCTCACTGAAGAGGAGATTGATGAGCGATGTGATACGCTTCGGCAGCGGTTGCTGAAGGAGCTTGAGGAGGACTTGAAGCGTGCGGAGTCGGGCTTCAAGAAGCCTTTCTCTGGCTCTGGGGCTGGGGCTGGTAGGGACAGGCGCAATTTTAAGTCTTATCAGGTTCATGAGCTTGCTGAGGCGAAGATTGAGGAGACGGAGAGGTTGCGCAAGGCTTTTGGGTTGAGGGAGGATCGGGAGACTGGGGAGATTTCGAGTTCTCGTGATTATCGGGAGAAGAGGAGGGATTAGATTTGTTCTTTTCTCTGCTTGGTTCTGCGGTTTGCGTTTTTTTCTTCTCAAGTAATGGTTGGTGTTGATCGGTGTTAGGGTTATGGGATTATCATGGAAATAGGGTTGCATGAACAAGTTTCTTTCTTTTTATTGTTGTCCATGTTATGCTGCACAATCTTCGAATGCAAAGAATTGAACAATTGGATATCATAACCTCATATATAATACACCAAACCAGTACCTATGCCACAAACTTTTCAATAACCCAACCCTCCTTCGGGTCCTTCTTCTGCACAACCTTCTTAGCAGGCATCGGCCACCCCACACTCCCCGAATCACCCACCAAAGCAGGAATAACCCAGCAAGATCTGCGCGGCGGCACACCGTCAATAGCATCAGCCTTACCAATCGGCTTTCCATACTCAATAAGCGGCGTACCATGCGCAATCGCCGAGAGCTGCAAGCCACTGGGCGCAACAAGCGGGAACATTCTAATCTTAGGAACCTGGTCAGAGACCAGTGAAGCAGAAGACTGCTGCAGATGCGAGTAAGTGATATACTGTGGCATTTCCTTCGGCGAGAGCTTAGCTAGCAGCGAAGACGGATGCACATAGACAGCGCGTTCCTCCAGGTCCTGGCCCTTACCGTCGCGGGAGCGGAAGAGCGTCAGGTAAGGGACGTCTATGGCGCGACGGGGCGCACGCGGGTTCTCCGGCGGGACGGGGGCCAGATCAGCGCGGATAGCGACATGGTCGATGAAGCCTGCTGTGACTATCTGCTTGAGGGCCTTGATTTGCTTTGGTGAGGGCTCTGGCAGACGGGCTTCGTAGGCGGGGACGACGCCTGGGTTGTTTGAGCGCACGATGTCGGTTAGCTGGCGGCGGAGCTGGGTTGCTTCTTTGAAGGCCTTTGAGCGGAGGAACATTTTTTCGCAGAAGGCATCGCCGTCGGAGGCGTAGCCGTAGGCGCAGATTGCTGAGAGGGATTTTAGCGCGTCTGAGGTGTCGTCGTGTTTGCTGAAGAGGCGTTGGGCGCGGGCGTATGCTTTGGTGCGCTGTTCGCGCTCGTCGTCTTCGAGACGGTCTGCGTTTGTGTAGACCTTGCGTCTGTCGCTGTCGCTGTCACTGTCGTCGTTGACTGGCTTCTTGGCTGTGGTGGGAAGGGGGTTGTTGGGGTCGAGCTGATTCTCTTGGACGAAGAGGTCGCCGACTGCTAGGGCTGCGACTAGGGCGATCACGTAGGGCATGCAGCCGTGTTGGTGGCCGATGTGGAGCATTTTGCTGAATCGGGGAGAGAGGGGGTATGTCGAGAGACGACGGCCGATGGGCGTTACCTGGCCGTCGGCTGTGAGGGCCCCGAGGTTCTTCAGCAGTTTCTCTGCCTTTGCGAGACCTTGGCGGCTCGGTGGTGTGGGGAATGGGAAATTGATCACGTTGTGAAGACCCATGCTTTTCATCTGGAGGACAACGCCTTCGATGGGCGTGCGGAGAATCTCTGGCTCGGTGTATTCAGCGAACTCGCTTTCATAGACCGCAGATGAGTACATTCGGTAACAGTGGCCAGGCCCTGTTCGACCGGCTCGGCCGGCTCGCTGGCTTGCGCTTGCCTTGCTGATCCAGCCGACCTGGAAACTTTGCACTCCAGTGAAGAGATCGAACTGCTTCTCCTTGGCGCGACCGCAGTCAAAGACATACTTGATACCGGGGATGGTAAGAGATGTCTCGGCGACGTTGGTTGCGAGGATGATCAGCCGGGAGTTCTCTGGGGGCGGCTCGAATACCTTCATCTGCTCCTTCGTGGGAAGTTGGGAGTATAGAGGCAAAACGTGAACGCGAGTTGACGAGTCCATGGCCTCTTCGCCTTCGGCAAGTTCGAAGCCTTCGTCTTCCTCTGCGTCATCCAGTCCGGTGATCTCCATGTCACTGTCGTAATCGTCATGTCCAGGATTATCCATCTCGGTGCCGCCCAACTCAAGGTCCTCTGCTTCCAGAGGTGCTTCAGTAGCTGAGAGTTGCACCTTTGCCTGTGTCGTGTCTTCCCGCTGAGTAGGTTTGAACGCCTGCTTCAGCCGCTTAGAAAGCTGCCGGATTTCGTTCTGACCAGTCAGAAAGACAAGCATTCCACCGGCAGGTAGTTTGCGGTGTCCGCGCGAGACCTTGCGGAACGCATCCTCAACATAGTCACGCTGGGTGCGGCGGGAGAAATGAACTGCAACAGGGTATTGGCGACCCTCGGCTTGAACCAAGGGGGGTGCACCATTGCGGAAAAGACTTGGGTTTTCAGTGAAATCCGAAATACGGAGAGTGGCTGACATGATGACGACCTTCAAAGGCTTGACAGACGGGTCCTCCTCGCTCAAAGACTTGCGCAGGCCCACAATACGGCTGACCATTCCAATCAGGATATCAGTGTTGACGCTGCGCTCGTGAGCCTCATCAATAAGAATGATAGAGTATTTGCGAAGGGCAAAGTCATCTGCAATCTCCCGTAGAAGAATACCATCAGTCATGAACTTGATGGCTGTCTTCTTCGATGCCGTAGACTCGAATCGGATTTGATAAGACACTTTCTCGCCATGTTGACCCAATTCCTGGGCAACGCGGTTCGCCATACTCACGGCTGCGACTCGGCGAGGCTGAGTGACACCAATTAGACCCGGATTAGGGCTGTCTGGGGAGCCGAAGCCAGATTCGAAGAGGAACTGGGGAAGCTGTGTGGTCTTTCCACTACCAGTAGCACCCCAAATGACGACAACCGAGTTGTTGTGAATTGCCTCCATAATCTTTTGTTCTTCGCCAACGACGGGGAGTCCTAGACGGGCGGTTTGGATTTCCTCCGTGCGGTTGACCGCGACACTGTATGCCTTCCGATTGGGATCGCCATGAGTTACCTGAAGCTCCCGAGGGAGGGGTTCTTCTTGGGTAGTATTGTGGGTTGCTGGCAACTTAGATGGGTCAAACACCTGCACTTCCTCGGTCACGGCTCCCTCGTTGGGTTTGAAGCCTGCGGCTTCGTTGATTCGTTGTACCGCCCAAGATTTAAAGGCTGACTGGCGAGTCTTGAGCGTTGGCTTATCCACCTCGTCATCATTTTCTGAATCTTCTGAGTCTTCTGAGTCTTCTGAGTCTTCATCCTCATCCTCATCCTCATCCTCAGAAATGCCCTCGGAGGACGAAGTATCTTCCTCTTCAGAACCCTCTTCAATATCACTTTCGGACTCGTCCATATCGTCCTCATCTTCGTCTTCATCCTCCTCACCCGAATCAAAGCCCTCCCATGCGACCTCAGCTTTTACCGGTGCAGGTGCGGGTTTCTTCTTCGGTGCGCGCTTCCGCTTCTTTAGAACAGGGAATCCATCAGCTCCTAGCTCTAATGGTCGTTTAAGTCCACTTCCAGCAGCAGCCTCTTCTCGTAATTTTTGTTCATTGGGATCTGTTGCGGGATCGCAAACTTTCAGGTGGATGTCCGAATTGTCGGAGTCATATCCTGAGATATCTGCGGAAGCATTGTGTTTCGGCGCGGATACGGCTCGCGATGTAGATACGTCGTCATCCTGTCTCTTGCGCTTGTGGAGATCTTTGGAACTCTGTAAAGCCGAAGTATCCACAGACGATTGAGCAAGTTTCTTCAACAATTCGATATTTTCTTCCTTCCTGAGTTTGTTTTCCTGCAGGTATGTTAGAGCCATATCTTTCTATTCCAGGCCATCCACATACAATATATTTGTCCAAGCGCTTCTGCTTCTTTGAGGACATCTGAGGATGCTGCTCTTGTAGCTCTCCCTTCAGCTTCTGTCGCCGTGCCTCTTTCTCATCCTTCGAAACGGGCTGGAGCTGTGCGACATTGGTATCAGCCGACTCGCCGTCTGGGTTTTGCCGGTGCCTTTGTTTTCTAAGACGTGGTGTAAATTTAGGTGGCATCTTGGGGTACTGCAGCCACTCCGGCTGAGAAAAAAAAGTAAATTGACTAAGTATGTAAGCTCTGCGATCCAACTATCTCTTCATCGAAAAAAAATTAGGGCGGTCGGATATTGCTGGTTCGGACCGAGGCGGTGAAACTAGCCACCGCCTACGAGATACACCTAGTTAAGCCCCTCATTCTTTAGTTTCTCTTCAGTATTTCGATAAAGATAAATAATTCAAATCACCATGGCTGGATCTTTTGATACAAGCTCTCTGCAGGATTCCCTCAACCTGCCATTTCCTGCTACCACTAAGCAGGTGGCAGGGTTAGTCAATGGTGTACAAACAGATGTGATGATAATGAGCTTTAGCGATAAAATCATGGTCACAATTTCACAAGCAGGACGACTAGCGCACTGGGTATGTCTTGCCCTTGCTTTCAGAAAACATCGCTAATTGTATATAGTTGCATGTACCAATGGAGAATCAGAACCCAGGCACTGAGGGCATGCACACTCTCGCTGAGGGCGATGATGCTCTGTTGCCCCTTAAAAGTCTAACCACCACCACTTTACTAGGTGGCTATTCTCCTGGACAAGATACGACGGGCCAACTACTTGCTCGTCAGATTGCTACAGCTATTGCAATGAAAACACCTAGTGAAAAGAGACTACTCCTCGTTGGCCTTGGACTTGGCAAATCAACTGCTGATAGAGATTCATTCTTCGCTATTGTTGACCTGGTTCTGCAATGTCTATGAACTGAGCATAGATCGATCTCTGACTGAGAACAAAGCAGCCCTCAGAACGAGGCATGCGCCAGACGTCGGGCGCGCTTCAGAAACTGTTCCAGGCCCTCATTTGTGATCTCTCCGTGAATTCGAATGCGCTCAACTTCAATGAATGCGCCGCACATCAACAAGTCCGCCAGGTCGACCTCATTCATCTGGCCCCCAGCTGTCCAGTTCTTCCTCAATTCGACGATCAGCGTGCGGACGGCGAGGAATCCATCAGTTTTATGCCGGGTGATGAACTTCAGAAATTGGCGAGTGCGCTTCTCGGCTTTCTCGGGGTCGTTGTCACCAAGCGCGATTTTGATTGCTCGACACCGGACTGTCGACAGGTGTCGCAACACTGGGCAAGGTGGGTCAAGGTACGCGTATCTGGCGAAATCCATCAACACCAGAGTCCGATTGCTCAGCGCATTGATCCATGCGAACCACGCCTCTGACATCCAGTTGTACGATACAAATCGCATGCAAGTCGGAATCTTTGGGACCATCCCATCCTTCTTGAGAAAGACGGGCTCCTGGCAGTCGTCGAAAGCGTACTTCCAAATCTTTGCGCGAATCTCCAGCGGCAGCCAATTGAATGGGCACGGGCTCCGTCTATCCACGATCACCTCCGGGGGAAATATTCTCATGTCGGCGAGGAACCTTTTCTCGAATGATTCCCACTTTGCGCCAAACAGCAACCAGACCCTTCCCTTGAACTTATCATCGGCACGACGGGTGATGAAGAAAAGTGGTGTATCGGAACTAGTACTTTGTTAGATCAAATGGACTTGGTGGCATCGTGCCCATAGAATTGTATCGCTTACTATGCATACGGCATCCTCTTTGGTCTCGGGACTACCTCCACTTGGTCAGACTGATGCAGAACCGCCGAAGCCGCTGGACGTGGGGCTTTTGAAACCGGGGCCTTTGAAGCTCGAACCTTTGAAACTCGAAGCATTGAAATCGGGACCTTCGAAATAGGGACCTTCGACAGTGGGGCCTCGAAAACTGGAGTCTCCGAAGCGGAGGCCTCCGAGACCGGGACCTCTGAAGCTTGAATCTCTGAAGCCGGGACTTGCGAAGCCGGGGCCTTCAAAGCTGGGGTCTCCGAAGCTGGGGTCTCAGGAACCGGGTCCTCTGAAGCTTGAACCTTTGAAGCCGGGACCTCCAAAGCTGGGGCCTCTAAAGCTAGAGCCCCCGAAGTTGGGGCATCCGAAGATATCGCTTTGTCAGAATCGCGCTTGGCCGAAATCCTTCCTCGGATACGCTCACGCACGGCCGAAACCTTTCCTTGGATGCGCTCACGGGTGCCCGAAGCACCCGCTTGGATGCGACGAACAGTTTTCTTCATTCTGTTCACTAAGTGGTGGCCATGCGTGATGAAGGAGTGAGATGTGACAAAGGAGTGAGATGGGATAAAGAAGCAAGATGAGATAAAGGAGCGAGATGGGATGAGAGTGAGATGGGATGAAGGAGCGTGAGAGGAAGGATCCTGATGGGATGGTGTCGCCGGCGACCCAACGAGGCACACGCTCGGCGCTTCCCCCACTACTATCGTCATGTCTGCCTGCATCTTATGACTTGAGTGTTTATAGACGCCATGACTGCTTTGATTTAGAGAACTCCTAGTGGTCAATTACCCGTATATACTTGTTCGGAGTTAGGTCTATTTCGGTATTATTCTGTGAATCGGAATTGTTTAAGGCTATCTATCAAGAGTGATCATCATACACCGGTCTAAAAACGTAGAAGATGATGGCATTTTGAATATCAAATCAGTTTTCTTCCTATGAAGTGATTGTAGGCTATGACTAGCAGAGATAAATTTGATATTACGGTATGGCCAGTCACGTGGTAGATATTGACAAACAGGGGAGACGACATCTGTAGGTCCGACGTGAACAGATGAGTTTTGGGGCTGGCATAATCATAATCCCCTAGTCATCTAAACCTCCGTCTGCTGGTTTTTGATATTCCTTTTAGTGACAGCTCACCTATACATTCTGCATCCTCACATTTGAAGGTCTTCTTAGATTTCATACTCCACACATCAAACATTCTATTTTTATCTGCCGCCCGCATCATTTGAATCCTTTATCTTCATCTATTTCTTTTCAAAATCCTGCGTTTCGGTGTCTGTAAAGTTCTGCATAATGGAGCCACAAGTGGATCCTGAGTTAACCGCTGCCATCGAGGCCTCTCGCCAAGATATGTATCGCCAGCAGAACAGGCAAGCGTCCCAGGATAATTTTGTGGATCTCACCAATGACTCAGGTGATGACTCGGACATTGAGGAGGTATTCCCCAAATCAAAGTCCGTCGTTAGTTCCGAGACCGAAGATGGCGACGAGCACGAGCAGCTGCAACGCGCCCTTGCTATGTCGATGGAGCAGGATGCACAGTCTCCCAAACATGCTACTGCCCCGCATGAGGTCTCTGCAGCGTCGACGGGTTCAATTTTGGGCATGAACCGAAAGCAGATGGAGGAGGAGCGTCTTGCACGTCTGGCCAAGCGCAAGACCGGCAACTCTTTGTCTGAGAGCAAGGTTGATGATACTACGTCTAAACGTAAGGCCAATGACACTTCATCTAAGCGCAAGGCCGACGATACTTCGTCGACTCTGCCATCTCCAGTTAGCCGGAAGCTTCCTAGGACTGAGCCTTTGCCAGCCCGTCACTCTGTCGCTCTAGCCAACCCGTTTCAAGATGCTCCCCAGGCAAGCACGGCTCGAGTGAGATCTCAAGTCTGTCGCCAGCTTGCAACAAATGCCCCGAATGTTGACATCCAACCGACCTCCTGCTCAGTGGCCCAATGGCCTCTTGGAGCTGTCAAAAAAACACATATCGCCGGCTTCCCTCGCAGTGGAAATGACATTACAATTGAAGAAGTTATTCAGCGAGGAGACTTGGAGTTGGGCGTATTTAGCTCATTTATGTGGGACATGCCGTGGCTTTGTTCCAAGTTTAACAATTTAACCACACGAATCATCTTTGTCATGCAAGCAAATGACGAAGAAACGGTTAGCAACACACTATGATCTTGAATGATACGGGCTAACGTGACTTCGCTTACAGCGAGAGCAATACCGCCAGGACGTTAGCCACATGCCCAATTTTCGCCTGTGTTTCCCGCCAATGGAGCCACAGGTATTCTGTATGCATTCTAAACTGCTTCTGATGTTTCACCCTGGATATCTTCGCATCGCAGTCCCCTCCGCCAATCTCACTCCCACTGACTGGGGAGAGGATAGGCTCATGGAAAACGTATGTGGCTACATTCGCCTGATGTTCATGGATTTTCTAACAGTGTGCAGACTGTTTTCCTTATTGATCTGCCTAAGCTCGAAGTTCCTGGTGCTGGAAAGACCCCATTCTACAAAGAACTAGTCTACTTCCTCCAGGCCGAGGAACTCCACCGCAACATCATCAAGAGGCTAGATGAGTTTGACTTCAGCGAGACGAAGCGCTATGCCTTTGTTCATGCAGTGTATGTATTATCTCCCTGGGTGATTCCCCTGGCAAAAACCAGCAACCAGCTAACAATCTAAGTGGCGGAACAAGCACCGAAGACAACTGGAAACGTACTGGAGTTAGCGGTTTGGGTCGTGCTGTCAAAGCTCTCGGCCTGGAGACAAACGCGCCCATTAACGTCGACTATATCGTAAGTTTTACCTGCTATGCCTTCATATAATACAATACTGGGTATACTAACAACATTCAGGCCTCATCGCTGGGAAATATCAACATTCCATTCCTGCGCTCCATCTACCTCGCTTGCAAAGGTATGTCACCATTTAGTAAAGCCCAGACGAACTAATCCAACTAACTGCAAACTGCTAGGTGACAACGCTCTACTAGAGTACGAGCTCCGAACCGCAAACAAGAAAAAGGAACCCCGTACAGAAGTGGAAGCGATTAACCGAGAATGTCTCGACCACTTCCGTATCTACTTCCCATCAGACCAGACCGTTCGAGCCGTGCACAGCAATCCCAAATATTCTATCGGCACGATATGCCTCAATCCAGCCTGGTGGTCGGGTGCCAATTTCCCGCGGGACAAAGTTCGAGACTGTGTGAGCGAGCGCGGAGTCTTGATGCATAACAAGGTGAGTACTTCCGCGGTGCCAGACTAGTATATCGATTTTTTACTAATACACAATCCTTCCGACATATAGATTGCCTTTGTCCACCCTTCCACCCCGATCGATATGCCCGATAAGAAGGAGTGCCGGGGGTGGGCTTATGTGGGGAGTGCGAATTTGTCAGAGAGTGCATGGTGCGTACATATCTATACTCCACTCGCTGTAATGGCAAAACTAACATGAACCAGGGGTCGTATCGTCAAGGATACCAAGACGAAACAGCTGAAGATAAGCTGTCGCAACTGGGAATGCGGTGTTATCGTGCCCATCATCAATGAGAAGAAGACTGGGGAGAAAGATAAGGGACCGGAAACGCATGGGACCGCCCCTTCGGCTTCTCTCCCAGTCGAGATCTTTACGGATACCGTTCCAGTTCCGATTAAAGTGCCCGCTGTTCCATTATCCGAGCACAGGAAGCCTTTCTTCTTTGGAGTTTGATTCAACCTGGAATCTTGAGATTGCCTTTGTTTACTCTACATCTGAGTCAGATCGATGTCTACATCTGCAAGTCCAGTGAGAATCTGATTTTACTAATCTTGGCATGGGTATCTGGGATAGGAGTTCGGATCGGGTTACTTGGTTGGTTCAATGAAACGAATGAATGGCAAGGGAGTTCAAAGCTGTATGTATTATCTAGCCTTTATGCTGTGATATTCAACGAGAGCAAACGAGAGAAACAGTGAATGTCCTAAAAAGCAAAGTTGTATAATTCAATCTATGTAATATGTATGTTTCTAACCCAACCTGTTCCGATATATCTATTATCACGCTCTATGTAAATGCATGTTGACAAAAAGAAAAGTAAACAAAAGAACAATTTCCAAACTTTTCAAGCCTAGTTCTCACTCTTCTTCCCCTTGAACAACCCCGTCACGCGATCAGTCATCAGTCCAGCAAAACCAAACAGCGAAGCAAGACCAAAGCTCCAGCCTTTCACACGAACGGTGTAGATAAAGAAATAAACCAAAGCCCAGTTAATAATAACATAAGCAAGGAAAATGCCAAAGCAGCGCCACTTATCCCCGATATGAACATTCAAGTTGGCCATATACTGCGCACCATCCTTGTAGGGACAGTACTGACAGTCGGCCGTAGCCTGGGGGTTAACCAGATACCCGACCTTAGCGAAAGAATCGACAAAGTCACCCGCATAAGCATCACAGGTCTGTCCAGGCGGGGGGTTGAAATGGGTAGATTCCAGCGAGGCGCAGTCAATCTGGACATCTGGCAGAACAGCCGAGAGCACGCCGCGCAGCCACCAGGTAACCGGGTTGACGTAGTACATCCAGTATTTCCAGAAGACGGGGTAAGCGGCGTAGGGACGGACGATACCGTTGAAGAGGTTGATCATTGTGAAGAAGAAGGGGAGGGTGTTTGAGATGACGGTGAAGGAGGGCGCGAAGGCGCAGATCCACTGGCCCCACGATGCCTGGAAGAGGAAGAAAAGCATGGTCATGAGGAAGACGTAGCCGGCGTTTGAGGAGTCGGTGGGGAATCCGACGGGGTAGTACCAGAGCAGCCAGTAGATCAGGCCGGAGATGATGGCTGCGGGGATCTCGCAGATGATGTTTGCGGTGCAGAAGGCGACCCAGCCGTAGATGCGGGATGGGTATTCGCGTGCTTCCCAGAGGGCGCGGTTGATGTAGAATTTGGGGACGATGGAGTTGAGGACGATGGGCGGAATGAGGACGATTAGGAAGACGGAGAACATGCGGTCTTGCATTGAGGCTACGGTGTTGGAGAGCATGTAGAAGGTGAAGCCGTTGAAGATGCCGATGATGATGGAGACGAAGAGTTTACCGTAGTAGTAGGAGGGGTCGCGCCAGTAGTTCACGAAGAGGCGTTTCGTGAGCTGGGTGGTTTGGGTCATTGTTGTGGCGGCGAATTCGTAATGGGCGGAGGCGGATTCCTCGATGGGGAGTTTGCTGCGCTCGGTGCGGATGTGTTCGATTTCGGCGAGCACTTCTTGGTTTTGCTCCGAGTTGCGCCATTCTTCGTTCCAGTCGACTAGTTTTCCGTCGCGGTGGGTTGCTTTGGCGGCGGTTTCGAGGATGAACTCGGCAACGTTCTTTGATGGTGGGCAGACGAAGCCGCGGTCACCGAAGTACTTGATTATGGAGGAGCCGTCTTTGCCGACGGGACCGAAATAGAAGGTGTTGCCGCCGGGGTTGAGGGCGAGGATCATGTCGAATTGTTGGATGATCATGGAGGAGGGCTGGTGGATTGTGCAGACGATGGCCTGGCCGGCTTGGCAAAGTTTCTTGAGGAAGCGGACGATGGAGAATGCGGCTTGACTGTCGAGACCGGAGGTGGGCTCGTCTAGGAACAGAAGCAGACTAGGCTTGGCTGCGAGCTCGACACCAATGGTCACGCGCTTCTTCTGCTCGACATTGAGACAACCGATAATGGCGTCCTGGATATCCTCGAGTTCGAGAAGCTCGATGATGCGGTCCACGTAGTCCATTTTCTCCTGGCGCGGGACATCGCGGGGCTGGCGGAGAATGGCTGAGAACTCAAAGGCTTCGCGGATGGTGGAAGTATTGTCGTGTAGATCCATTTGCTCGCAGAAACCCGTGCCACGCTGGAAATCAGCACCCAGCTTGTGGCCATCGACGAGCATATCACCAGTCACGACACCCGTCTTCTGGCGCTGGGCCAAAGTATTGAGGAGAGTCGTCTTTCCAGCACCAGAGGCACCCATCAGGGCGATCATAATGCCGGGCTTGGCGTAACCGTTGACACCGTTGAGGAGCTTGCGTGTTCCGTTGCCGTAGGGGACAGTGTATTCAACATTCTGCCAGGTGAAGCAGCGCTCACTTGAGGACAGTCGGTTGAAAGTGGCACCATCATCAGGAGAGGTCTGGCCACGGGCAAGAGCAGCGTTGTCTTTTGCGTTGACGACCTTCTCTTCATCGTTGACGGTGTTGGTCTGGGCAGTGACTTTCTTAGCGCGTTTGGACTTTTTGAAGACCAGAGCACCGCCCGCATCTCCACCAAATGAGAGAGTCTCGGCAGCGATGACAGTCACCAGGAGGTACAGTACGGTGAAGGCAATGACAACACCAAAGTTGCGCCATAGATGGCTGCGTGTGAACTCAAAGTTGGCGGTCAAGTACTGAGCTCCGGTAACAGATGATTCACCCAATTCCGAACCCGTCAGAGCACAGCCCTGGTGGTTGGAATCCACCCCAGGACCCTGTGGGACAAGCTGGGATGGATTGCATTGCATGGTGCGATCGGAGAATTCGTTTGTCAAGACTGCCTCGTAACTGTACGCGATGGGGTTGACATAGAACAGCCATCCGAACCAGATCGAGTCCTTGATCAGAGTCTGCTTGGGAATGACATAACCGACGAAGATAATGAGCAGGTTCAGCGCGATACCACCGAAACGCACCGCGTCATCGATGGTCGGAGACAGCGCAGCGAACATGCGGTACATGGAAGTGATGCAGAAGGTATTCGTGTACACGAACAGGAAGTAGATGAAGAACTTGGAAGCCGAGACATCGAGACCAGTCATGAAATAGACGATAATCGTGAACGGGACGACCATGGAGAAGATAAAAGGGAAGTCGACAATGACGCGGGCAATGGAGACAGCAGAGGGGCGGTAGAAAGCGTAATCCTTGTGGCGGGCGACGATACCACGTCCAGTGACAGCAGGCATCAGCTCGGTCAGTTGCATCCAGCCAAGGAACAGAATCGAGAAGAACAGAGCACCGCTACGCGAGAAAGCGCCGCTGGTATCCAGGGACTCTCCGTAGAACAAGGACGAAACGATGAGGCCGTTAGAGACAACAATGAAGTACTTCGTGCACAGAGAAGTTTTATCGCCCCAGAGCAGCCAGAACTGTCGCTGCACGCAGGCCGTGACCTGGCGCACGAACGAGACGGTGTATGGCGACTTCTTGGAGACAGACTTGGACTTGGACTGTGCGACCGTGGATTGGAAGCGGCGGGTGTCCTCCTGCCCGGTGTCTTGGAGACGTTTCTCGTACCCGGAGACATCCTCCAGGATACGGCTGTAGGTCTGGCTGTTCCTGAAGGTGTTCTCGAGTTCCTCGGCGGTCTTCGGGGTGGACGCTTCACGGCCAGGCTGGAACTCGCGGGCATTGGGATCGCAGAGCGAAGTAAGGAAGTCGGCCGTAGTCCATTGCGCGGGGCAGTGAAAGCCCAAGTCGACGAAGTATTGTCGTGCTTCATTGGCTGGTCCTTGGTAGAGCATGCGGCCCTCGTCAATGACTAGCACCTTGTCCATGAGCTCGTAAATGCCCTCTCCGGCTTGGTATAGCGTGACGAAGGTAGTGCGCTTGCTGACATCGGTCATGATGCGGAGGGACTTGGCGTAGTCCAGTGCGGTGCTGGCATCCAGACCGCGAGTCGAGTTATCCCAGCAGACCACTGAGGACTTGGTGGCTAGGGTCTCTGCGATACTCACACGCTTGCGCTCACCTCCAGAGACACCGCGTACATACTCGTTTCCAACAAGTGTATTCCTGGTGTGAGTGATACCGAACATCTTCAGCAGGGCATCGATGATAATGGGAATGCTTTCCCGGTCCTGCTTGCGGGTTTTGTTGATAAGGGAGAACTTGAGAGTTTGCCAGACAGTGAGCGAGGGGAAGTGCTGGTCGTCTTCCGGGTTGTAGTTGACTTCTCCACGGAAATGCTTGTGCTGATCCTCGGACGAGAGACCACCATAACTAACCTCGCCATGGACCCCAGCAAAAGCACCACGGTCGTTCGCAATCGCCTTGAGGAAGGTAGTGCAACCAGCACCGGGACGGCCTAGCACCAGCATCATCTCACCTTCACGCACAGTACCGCTGAAATCATGGATTAGATCGCGAACAGGAGGGTGCTTGCCGAACCGCAGCTGCGGCACGAACTTGCAGACGAGATTGTACAGATCCGGGCCGAAGGTGCCAATTACAGCCTGGGGGAGAGTGCGCACGAAGGATGCGCCAGTCTCCACGCCTTGCACGGTAAGGTTCTTGAAGACGACGCCAACCTTCTTGGCGGGTTCACCGGCGGTCGTGCGGCGCTCCAGATGACCACCAATCAGGAAGTCACTCAGGTTGAAGCCGCCGTCAGCCTCGTCCTCGGTCTCCTCTTCGTCCTTGCCCTTTTCTTCATCGAGGCGGCTGGTCTGCGATTTTGGGTGGCGAATGCTCCTGGTGACAGAGCGGGTGCGGTTCAGGCTGAGACGGGTGAGCTCGCGGCGCATCTCTTCCATGTCCTCCATCGCACCGCTGCGGGAGACGGCATTCCCGGCATTCTGCTCTCCCCAGCCGCCATCTTCGTCACTTATTGACGAGCTGAATGTTGAGCTGTCGGTTAAAGTTGGGTCGATGGGAGCTTCGGTGTGAAGGTGTTCCGTGGGTTGTGACTCTGCATCATGGTGATAGGTCTCACCGGTTGAGCTGGATTGTTGTCTGGAGGGCTGAGTATAGGCTTGGGAATCCGAGGCGCCATACGACTGTTCAGAATGGCCCTCCATGTCGGGAACTGGGTGGCTTCTACTCTCCGGCAACATTCAATAACAGATGTATTATGCTATAGCCAGGCTAATTAAGGACAGGATATGCACAGAACCAAGGGGGAAGTAAACGTAAAGTAAAAGGGGCAGAGTTGGAAGGGAAATATTCAGAAGAGCAAAGAGACTGCACACCGTTTATATAAATGTCATAGCCCTAGGGCATTTGTCAGTCAGGAATACGAATCATTCCAGGACCCTTGGAATAACTCAAACCTCAGGTCGAATCATAAGCCAGACAATGAGTCCTGACTGAAGAGCTATAGTGGGCTATAGTGGAGTGGTGGAGTGTACATGACTCAAGTTGACTAAAGTTGACGGTAAAGAATTTTATTTCAAGCTTCCCCGGAGATAAGCCTTAGCTCCGTATTGAGCCGATCCGGGCTGGTGATTGGCTGTTTCCGGCTGCTCATGGACGTTCATTGGCTGTTCGACGTGTCATTGGGCGGAATATCCATTCCTATCAGTCTAGGCTTATCACGTGGAGCCGGCTTTTATATTCCGTTTCGTCTCTTTTGGTTTCTTATACACCGTTATAGGAGGATGGATTAGCAATCGTGCTTACGAATCTGTTTCGTAGGGATAATCCGTGTAACCTCCGTGTAAAAACGATGTAAGAACCCCCAGATATAGAACAAAGAATTGGATATCAAACCGGGCTTGTATATTGCCGATGTAATTCGGCGACTTTCCAAGATTTCATTGACCCACTCGGCTGAAAGCATATTCCGACTAATCTGACTTCATGTCTGATCTAAATAATATATATGGTCTTGGCTTTTATATTGTTGAGAGTTCCATCAGGTTCTTTTTAACATATCCTTGGTAGCATCTTACACAATTGCCTTTTTCAAAAAGAAACCCTAAATCCGAACCTTCACACTTAACTTGCGTCCAGGGGTCCCCGATAAGCTATTATCAACCATGCACCTCCACGTTGCTATATCACATGTAGACCTGCAGGCTACACCTACTTTTGGGCATCCATGTTGTTTATGTATATCGCACTCCATAGAAACCTATAGAAATGCACGTGCATGGTACTACTACGCGCAATCCCCACTAGAAGATACGGTCTGGCTCGAGCAAAAGTCCAACATTGGAATACTATACAATAACTTCTAACCCCTATTTATTTTGATCGCTACTTACGCTTAGCAGCAGCTTGAGCGATCCGCTTCTGGATCTCTTCCTTTGAGAGGATCTTCACGGCGTTGTTGGAGAAGACATAGCTGAGTCCAGACCAAAGAGTGGTGCCGGCAACAAGGTACCTAAAATTGGTTAGCAAAAAGAAACAATTCAAAAGAAACCGCAAGCAAGAAAAAAAAAAAAAAACATACAACAGTGAGGATTCGCTGGTGGTCACCCACCCAACTACTAACTCACCGGCGTGTGGCTTAAGTACGGCTGAGCGGACGGGAAGCCCTGTTTTCCACACCCTATGGTCGCATGTGCTTGAAAGAGCATCTGAAGGACCCAAGGCGCGGGCATAGGGTCTTCCCATGTCGGCTGAAAGCAAGCCAACATCGAGACAGAGCCCCAGCACTTGATTCCATGCAGTTTGGAGAGCTTCCCATGTCCGTCCCAACACAGGCCAGGTAGAAGATCGAAGCAAAAGTAGACAAACAGAAAGAAAAGAAATTAAATCCATTGTCAACTCACCTCCATGGCCCGTGGCGAAATGCCAATCATGAGCGATTGTCCATCATCTCCGGTTCTCGGGTTCTGCGTCACCTTGGTCGCCGGACGGATGGACGACGAGGAAAAACACGCATGTGGCTGACGGATATAGCGGGAGTTCGAGGGTTGAGCGGCTGAGCGTTTGAGAGGAGACGCGCTACTTGCGACAGTTCTTGGCCGGCGAGGAACGACTTCGCCGCCGGGGAATGCGGAGAGGCGCAAAGCCGGTCGGGAAGTCGAGAAGAGCCGACACGTCTGTGCTTGGGATAACCGCCGGACGGCTGTCGATGAGAATAAAGGGCGTGACATGGCTGATGTATGAAGGAATAAGATATTCCAAGAAGATAAATCAGAGAGATGAAGAACACTTGATATCAAATCATCCCCATTCCGATTACATCGGGTTAGTCAGTTTAGCAGTGACGCCATTGGTCTGATAGAGTCGGTAAATCAAGGCAGAATAATCTCCATATATGGAAGGGATCGGCAGATGGTGGTGGGGGAAGACTGTATGACTCTGCTGAAGCTCCGATCGACTCGAGCTCTTGGCTTTGTGAAACATACACACGCATTCTAGGAACTATCTGGGCCTAGGTCTGTCATAATGGGTTCCCAGCAGCATGTTCGGGACATCAAAACCGGCTCCCCGCTTCCCTATGCAGATGATATCAGAGCCTACAAGAAGGAGTATGCCGAAGCTCTTGATGCTCAAGATCCGCTTCGGAGCTTCCGAGATGAGTTTATCATTCCGTCCAAGAATGATCTCAAGCGGAAGACCCTGGCAGTAGATGAAAGTGCGTATCAGGATCTCTTGTGTACCCAGGCGGCGTCCGTTCTAACATTTGACTTTATCATCTTCTCATTAGGCAATGAAGCGTCTGATGAAAAATGCATCTACTTTTGTGGTAACTCACTGGGAGTTCAACCTCGTAGCACCCAGAAATATATCGAGCAGTACTTGCGAACTTGGGCAACGAAAGGCGTGACCGGGCACTTTGTGCCGCATGATGATCAATTGTTACCTCCGTTTGTCGATGTTGACACTGCAGCATCCAAGCTTATGGCCTCAGTTGTCGGTGCCTTCCAAAGTGAAGTGGCAGTTATGGGCACCTTGACTGCCAATTTGCACCTGCTAATGGCAAGCTTCTATCGCCCGACCAAAGAGAAATATAAAATTATACTGGAGGGCAAGGCTTTTCCCAGTGACCATGTATGTTCCGGATTTTTCATTTTAATTGTCGATTTTGTTGTTGGTGCTAACCTGAGTGCAATTCAGTATGCGGTTGAATCTCAGCTCCGCCATCATAACTTCGATCCGAAGGACGGCATGGTTTTGATCGAACCCAAGGATCTAGATCAGCCTACCTTGACCACGGAACAAATCATGAAAGTGATCGATGATAACGCTTCCAGCACCGCACTCGTCCTCCTCTCGGCTATTCAGTTCTATACAGGGCAGTACTTCGATATTGAACGGATCACGGCTCACGCCCACTCTAAAGGCATCTTGATCGGCTGGGACTGTGCTCATGCCGCCGGCAATGTGGATTTGCAACTTCACGATTGGAACGTGGATTTTGCGGCCTGGTGCAATTACAAGTATCTCAACAGCGGACCGGGTGGTATAGCAGGACTATTTGTCCATGAACGCCACGGTTCTGTAGATGAGAAACAGCCCGAAAGCGACGAGACATTCCGGCCTCGACTCTCGGGCTGGTGGGGTGGAGATATTAAAACGCGTTTCAACATGGAGAACAGTGCGTGATCTGATTCTGATTATAAATGAGCGAGACTAACGACTACAGAATTTCTGCCACAGCCTGGTGCCGCTGGATTCCAGCTGTCGAATCCCTCTGTTTTAGACATCAACGCGGTCATCGCATCTCTCGAAATCTTCAAACGGGCAACAATGAAGGAAATTCGACAGAAATCCATCAACCTCACGGGATATCTAGAACATCTTCTGATGAGGTATCCTATAGATGCGGCCTCGGAAGATAAACCATTCACCCTCATCACACCATCAAATCCAGCCGAGCGAGGTGCTCAGCTTAGTCTACGTCTCCAGCCCGGATTGTTAGATCATGTTCTGCATTGTTTGGAGGAGAACGGGGTTGTTATTGACGAAAGAAAACCGGACGTTGTTCGTGTCGCTCCTGCACCCTTGTATAACACTTACACGGAAGTGTGGCAGTTCAGTCAGATCTTCTTGCAGGCATGCAAAGAAGCCGTCAAAGCGCGTTGACTGTTGTTCTGTTCTGTACTATCGTATTGTTTTGACTGCATATATTTAGATTCAACTATGGGGAAATCAAGTTCATCAGACCGTTATTTTGAACCCTTCCTCACAGTCTGGACTAGATAATTATATCTAGGCAGATGCTGTAGTTTGTAAAGAGTAGTGATCAACCGTATATTTAGCATCTTCGGCTTCTCGGCACGTCTTTTTGGGCCGTTATCTCCGCAAATGGCGATATGCATCCTTTCCGCTTACGAGCTAGCGAGAAAAAACGGGGGTTGCAGGTTTCTCTGCGTCCCCAAGGCCCTCTTACTCACGTATTTGGTCTTGAAATTGACGCCCTAGATGGAGAAGGAAATAAAACAACCATCTGTTTCGCAACCGGAATCTGGTGAAGATGCGGGAACGAGAAGCGGGGATCTTGCTGATGTCGACTACTCGGTCTTCACAGTCAGTCAGCGCAGGTATATTGTCTTTATGGCCTCTTGGGCTGGGTTCTTCTCCCCTGTCTCTTCTCAGATCTACTTTCCCGCGTTGAATACCTTGGCGAAAGACCTGCATGTATCAAATTCGTTGATCAATTTGACTTTGACGAGTTATATGGTACGCCTTCTTATGTGTACAGGACCATCTCCTTTTTGGCTTGACTAACGTGAATGCAGATCTTCCAAGGGCTGTCGCCCATGTTCATTGGTGACTTTGCGGATAAAGCTGGCCGACGACCAGCATATATCGTGTGCTTCACCATCTATATCGCAGCAAATATTGGACTTGCCCTACAAAACAATTATGCAGCTCTTTTTGTTCTCCGGTGCTTGCAAAGTGCAGGGAGCAGCACCACCATCGCGCTCTCGTCGGGGGTGGTCGCCGATGTAGCCACTGCATCACAACGGGGTTCCTACATGGGATTCGTCACCGCAGGATCTCTCATGGGTCCCTCTGTCGGTCCAGTAATTGGAGGTCTTTTGTCTCAATATTTGGGCTGGCGGGCGATCTTCTGGTTTCTGACCATTTTTGCAGCGGCTTTCATGGTTCCATTTCTGATTTTCTTCCCGGAAACTGCTCGTGGTATTGTCGGTGATGGCTCGTTGCCTCCTCAGAAATGGAATATGTCCCTGATCAGCTACCTGGACTCCCGAAAGGCTCGTGAAGGCGTCATATCTACCGCAATTGTATCCAAACAGAAACTCAAGTTTCCCAATCCCTTCCAGACGCTTGCCATTGTATTCCAGAAGGATACCAGTCTCATCCTCTTCTGCAATGCTATTCTTTTTGCTGGATTCTACGACGTGAGCGCAAGCATTCCTGCTATCTTCAATGAGCTCTATGGGCTAGACGACCTCCAAATTGGTCTCTGCTATATTCCGTTTGGCCTTGGTGCGACCATTGCTTCTGTTATCAATGGCAAATTCTTGGATTTCAACTACCGCCGTCTTGCAAAGCAATTGAACTTCCCGCTAACCAAGAACCGCGAAACTGACTTGCGAAACTTTCCTATTGAAAAAGCTCGTCTTCAGCTCGCATTCCCTCTTCTCACGTTAGGAAGCATATCCGTCCTTGTGTTTGGGTGGTTTTTGAACTTTGGAATTCATCTCGCTGCGCCAACGTGTATTCTATTCCTCATGGGATTGACATTGACAGGGGCTTTCAATACCATCAGTACACTCCTGGTAGACCTATATCCAACACAAGCAGCCAAGGCCACTGCAGCCAATAATTTCGGGCGTTGCTTACTGGGAGCTGGCGCGACGGCACTCATCGATCCTATGCTCTCTGCCATGGGCCGGGGCTGGTGTTTCACATTCATCGCGTTGGTGATGATGGCCACGACACCGCTGCTATTAATCGTGATTCAGAAAGGGCCGGATTGGCGTGAAGAGCGTCGTCTGAAAGAGGCAGCCAAGAAAACCGTGGATGGGAATGCCTCAAGAAGTCAGAAGTGACCAAGGGTTATTCCGCGACCCGATGACCATCAGGAAACTACATCTTTCATACCGATACCCCTTTAGAAACTTGCGCCCAAGAAATGCATGATTATAGAACTTTTTAATCAATAATACAAGGCATTAGACCAACATGATCACTGTCATGATGAGCTGTTGTTCCAAATCGCATTATCTTCCATGGATGCATTTCCATTAACCTCTTTCAACACTTAATCCGTACTCCAAGCTTATCGCATCACCTGAAAGCAAAATGAGCCCGCTCCAAAGGCTGCCGTTCCGACTCCCACGCTAACCAATCCGATCTCGTAGTACTGGACACATGTTAGCAAATAAGCGTCAAAGCTGGAGAGCAAGACTTACGGCAATAGTCCCATCGCATTAACCTTCCAGATACCCAAGCACAGTAATGCCAACTGCATCAAAATGTAGACCACCTTCACTCCAAGCAGACGCGAATGTGTCGACGGGGTTTCGTACTTGGCGAACGCCGCATTAATACCTATCAGACCCTGAATGGGACCCTTAAACAACATGAGGACCATCATAATGCTGAATATCTGAAGACTGTTGCCGGACATGTACATCATAATGGCATTCATTGGGATCTGCTTGGATGGCGCGATGGCAATCTCCCACGCTTTCTTCATCTTAAGCGCGTCGGTCTCGTCGGGTCTCTTCGTGATAGATTGTTGCTGTTGTTGCTGGCGCTGAAAACCGCATTAGTATCTTCACGACCATTTGTCATGATTTGTGGTAGAACTCACCTGTTTGCCTCCCCGACTGCTCGAGAAGCCTGGCGGGTCTGGGATGCTGGATGCGGCCTTTGAGGGGCGCGGCATCGGGGAGTTCAACGAAACTACCCATTGCGGAGGAGGAGGAGGTGGTAGACGAGCTTGTGACATAATTAAGATAGTAGATGTGGTGTGGGGGGGAGATGATCTTGGGAGAATCGAATGACGGGGGAGGTTGAAAGTTGCCCGAGTAGGGAGGTTCCCTTAGTGGCTACGCCGCCTTCAATTCTCCTTTCCCTCTTCCTCTCTCTCTTTATTTCCCACTTCTCCTAATTCTTTTCCGATCTATTGTTTAAGAAAGGACAATGTCCAATCGCTGATTTAATTTGTCTCCGAGTATCCCGCATGCGCCATAAGTGAACACGCCCTCGATCTCACCCTTTTCCTCTCTCGAAGCTCCCCGAACGGCCCGGACCCTTTGGACTCGATTTCGCGTCTTACTTTCTTATCCTTGAAGATCCCCTAGCCAATCTCGACTGTGATTGATCGCACGGTTGTCAGATACGAGAGCTTGCCGAAGTTCGCATTCCAAGAAATTGCGCCTTGCAGTGCTTAATCGCTATTCGCCCATACCGCAGCCATGAGTTCTGGAGGAGATGCGAAGTTATTCGCTAGGGTACGTTAGCTCGCCCAACCTGTTCTTTGATTGCACGATTTCTCCCACATCGTATCATGGCCATTCCTCCCTTCCCCGCAGTCTACTTCCATGTATTCACTTCCCCTCGCTTTGGTGAGCTTTGTACTCAGGCCTTCTGCATCTTACTCGATTCCCTTGCATTTGGCATAGGCGATTTGCTTTACCCTACATCACTCCAAATAACCATATTATATCTGCCCTCATGTTCATGGGTATTGCTCCCTATCCTCAATTCCATGGCTTACGCGTGCGCAATACACAGGGGAAGGTTGCAGAGCTACGGCAAGAGCTCAATAGCGGCGGCAAAAAAGACAAGAACTATTCCGCCAAAAAGATCGCACTTAAGAAGATTGTCGCCAATATGACCATGAGCAACAACGACATGGTTGCGCTATTTCCGGATATAATTGGTTGTATGAATCTGCCGAGTTTAGAGATCAAGAAGATGTAATGATGCTTATGGCCTGCCGTACGGAATGAAGGTCGCTTGCTAATACATTGTCTAGGTGCTTCTTGTTCCTGGTCAATTATTCGAGAATGAAACCAGAGGTTGCATTGAAGGCTCTACCCATATTGATTGATGTATGGCCCCGCTGTCACGAGAAAATATTCAAATTAATCTGACTTGCTTTATAGGATATGGCAGATAACAACCCACTTGTCCGCGCGCTTGCACTGCGAACCATCTCATATGTGCATGTTCGCGAATTTGTCGAAGCGACGTTCCAACCTGTCAAACGCCTAATGCAAGACAACGACCCATACGTCCGCAAGACGGCTGCTTTCTGCGTTGCAAAGCTCTATGAGCACGATAAAAAGATGGTTGAGAACTCAGATCTAATCGACAGGCTCAACCGCATGTTGAAGGATGAGAACCCGACTGTTGTTTCCAGCGTCTTAGCCTCATTGGTGGACATCTGGGGCCGCAGTGAATCGATTTCACTCACCATCGACTATGTTAGTGCCTCGAAATTGGTTTCAATCCTGGCAGACTGCTCCGAGTAAGCATCTTCGGCTCCATATCTAGGGACATCGTGTTAACAGTTCAAATAGATGGGGTCAAACTTACATCCTCGAGGCATTAATGGCGTACGTGCCCCAGGATTCCGCAGAGGCGCTTCTGTTGGCAGAGCGAGTCGCCCCGCGACTATCGCATTCAAATTCTGCTGTCGTTCTAACCTCATGCCGTGTCATTCTTTATCTCATGAACTACATTCCAGGCGAGAAGCATATCACCTCGTTATGCAAGAAGTTATCTCCACCACTCGTCACATTGCTCTCCAAGCCGCCTGAGGTCCAATATCTGGCTCTGCGCAATGCTATCTTAATTCTTCAGAAGAGACCGGAGGTCTTACGGAATGACATCCGAGTGTTTTTCTGCAATTACAACGATCCAATCTACGTCAAAGTCACCAAGCTGGAATTAATGTTCATGCTGACCACAAAAGAGAACATCTCCGTTGTGTTGGCAGAGCTCCGAGAGTAGGAACTTCTCAGATTGACCGTATCAAACGTGTACTGATATACTTCGCAGATATGCCACTGAAATTGACGTTCACTTTGTGCGCAAGGCCGTCCGGGCCATTGGCAAACTGGCCATCAAGATTGAATCTGCTGCAAAGCAGTGTATCGAAACGCTCTTGGAGTTGGTCGATGCCAAGATCCCATACATCGTTCAAGAGGCAACAGTAGTGATTCGCAACATCTTCCGCAAATACCCCAATCAGTACGAAAGTATAATCAGTCATGTTATCCGAAATATCGACGATCTGGATGAGCCTGAGGCCAAGGCCGCCGTCATTTGGATCATTGGCCAGTATGCGGACCGCATAGATAACTCGGATGGCCTCCTTCAGGACTACTTGGCCACATTCCACGACGAAACAGTCGAAGTGCAGCTGGCCCTGCTCACCGCTACCGTCAAACTTTTCATCCAACGCCCCACCAAGGGCCAGCAGCTCGTACCACAAGTGCTGAAATGGTGCACCGAAGAAACAGACGACCCTGATCTTCGTGACCGCGGTTACATGTACTGGCGCTTGCTGTCGACAGACCCAGCAATGGCCAAGCAGGTGGTCATGGGTCAAAAGCCCCCAATCACGGCCGAGAGCGAAAAGCTAGACCCACGCACTCTCGAGGAACTGTGTCTGAATGTCGGCACTCTAGCCACCGTCTACCTTAAGCCTATCCACCAAGTCTTCCGCGCTGCCCGGCCTCGGCGTCTTATGCCCAGCCCAGCCTTGCAACGTTCCGAAGTGGATGACGGTACAGGTAATATGCTCGAATACAACCCTCCCTCCGCAAACATGGCTGCCACATCAACCAGTAATAGTGGTCTAGCCACAATCATCACCACAGGCGACCCCGTCACGCCAATGTACAATGGTCCTCCTCCATCTCTCCCTGTCGGCCCTGGCATCAACGCCGCAACTACAGGCCCTAGCAACATGAACGAAGCAGCAGATGCAGCAGACGCTTACTTCAGTGGTATCGGCTCCCAGCAAATGGCTTCGCTGGACCTTGATGGTACCGGTGGTGGAGGTGCGCCTCAGTCACAGTACGTTGTGACCCAGAACCAGCAGCAGGTGTATCAGCCGCAACTGGCTGGTGGGGCTGCTACAGGCGAGCTATTATTGTTATAATTCAGTTCAGAGAGGGGTGTCCTTGTACATGTAGATAGAAGACGTTTATCATGCGGCCTGCGCCTAGTAATTATGAAATATTTTCATTGAATTTGAAGTTTCTAGGTTTTGTTTTTCTCATCCACATCCAAAATACTATTCACAGAGCAATCGTTTAAGCACAGTGACCATGAAATATTTGAAATATGTAAGTATTTCTCGGTCATCTAATACTTTCATCAAGTAACTGTTTTTCTTCTACCTGACACAAATACTCTCCATGCTGTGTTAACCATCTGCCTTCAAAGAAGCAGCGACAGCAGACCAGGGTGACACATGAAACAGCGGACGCCCACCAAGGAAATCGCGATAATCAAACTCGAAGTTGATTTTGAACGGACCAGGAAGCCTTGAACTTCCATGATCCATGGACGGGGGACTCTCGAAAAATAAAAAAAAAGGAAAACAACAGAAGAAACGTGAGGGGGAAGGGGGAGAGCAATGAGTATAATATGGAAAATAAAAAACAAAGTAGGCAGAGAAAAAGAAAGAAAATTCATCTCAAGTCATGTCCGTTCCTCTTCTTGTAAGCAGAAGGCTCCCACCACTCTTCGCTTTTTTTTGTTTTCAACTCTCGGCACACTAATGAGACACTGGCCCCGCTTAGTAGACACGAGCGAGGTTACGCAGGTACCAGTCGACCAGACGACGGCCAGCCTTGGTCTCGCTGACATGGATCAGGTCGTCCTCAAGAGCGTAGTCGAGATCGTTGGCGATGGCAGGCTCGCCATCCAGAAGGCCACCATCGACCCAGCGGATCTGGCGGCTGCGCTGCTTGTTAACGAGCAGCCACGAGCGGAGCTGCTCGGGGGACACCTCGAGGAAACCTGCAAGTTTCTTGAGGTCCATGGTAGTGTAGAGCTTTAGGTAAGAGCGGATGGTGGGGTTGAACAGGGTGTTCTTGACCTCATCCATGAAGATGGCGGTGTGGTGGTCGACGGGGTCGACGTTGGAGGCGGGGTTGTCGAAGTCGGGAGGAGTAGGGTTGATGAACTTAGGGCAGGAAGAGCGGAAGAGCTCCTCAAAGACGGGCAGGGCCTCGGGGCCACCCTTCTGCATACGGTAAAACTGCTCGCCGTACTTCTCGCGGACGGCCGAGTGGATGGTGTCATCCAGACGGGTGGGGTGGAGAGCCACACAGATAGCGATCAGGGCGTACATCTGGTCGTTCTTCTTGGCGATGGCTTCGTAGTTGTTGCCGCCCTTCTGGAAGTTCTTTGTCCGGGACACATACACGAGGATGTGGCTGAACATGCGGATGGCGTCGCCGTAGCGGCGCATCATCATGTAGGAGAAGCCCACGTAGTAGTAGGTGGTGAAGTGGGCGGCCATCACGCGGGCGAACATGGCCTTCTTGTTCATCTCGACATCGTCGAGGATCTTCAGGGCAAGACTGAAGTCGCCGAGCAGGCAGTGCACGCGCAGCAGTCCGATGATCGAGAAGTAGCCGAGCATCTTGTACAAGGGGCGGGAGCCGTACTCGCCGGCGACAGCCATTGGGTCCTCTCCGCGCTTAGTGGCGTTCAATTGTTCGCTGATCTGCGAGCGCTGAATGAGAGAGTAAAGCACGTTCAGCACTGAGTAGCAGCCCCATGTGTTCGGGTTCTCGCGGAGCAGCTGGCTCTCCTCCTCGTTGGATCCAGTGCGAGCAACGCGGTTGCGGTAACGGCAGAAGGACTCGAATTGGTAAATGAACTCATCAATGACTTCCCAAGCCCAGTAGTACTGATTGTAGAAAAGCATTGTTAGTTATCCATATTGTCTTTTGGAGGGATGAATCGACTTGTTGATTTCACGAATGCCAAGCTTTTACTTTTCATTCATGGCGTTCAACAATCGGTCGGCAAAACGGAATACCTACATTAGGAACCTCCAAATCCACGGGGCCATCGGAGTTCAGGATATAGTGGAACAGACTGCAGTAGTTGTCGTAGCTGGCGAATTTGGTCTCAAGAGTAGCCTGGTATTCCAACGGAGTGGCGGCGGCGGCCAGTTGGGCCTGAAGGTCTTGAGCCTGCCCTCCACCGTGGGACATGGTCTGGTCCAGCTCGCTCATTCCATCGTCGAAGTTGACCTGCTCGCGGTAGTCGTTGACCATAGCCTCCTCCTCATTATCGGACTCATCGTTCAAGTTGGGGCGCGCATTGGCGCGGTCGTCGTAGGACATGTTGAGTGGGAGGGGGAGAAGAAAAGAGTTAAAAATGCAGCAAGATGCCGAGATGAAACGGCAGTGAGGAAGCGGAAGGGGCGAGGTGGGGAGGGGGGGGAATAGCGTCGGCGTGTGCGATTTGCCAAAGAAGTCGAATTTTGAGGGTTTTCGCTTGGGTGTTTGTGCTTATCTTATCTGGGCATAAGCATCAAGATGACTCAGCTGTGTAGATTTTGTGCCTGATGCACTAAGGCCAGGATAAGTACAGGGTACTGAGACTGTCACCTGTTTTGGCTGGGAATACATGTACTGTATACTTCCATCTCAAATATAGTTCACTATAGCTTTGCAACAACCTAGATACCAAGTGCCTAGGTAAGTAGAGATTTAATAGGTAGAATAAAGGAGTAAACGTCCTGAAGTGTACAAGTTGATGGTGAAAGGGGCTCTGGACATTCTCAACAGACTTGATACTCTTTCTGGCTGTTCCACATCTTGATATACAAGACTAAGTCGGCCGCGTTCTGTCGAGAACGATACGATCCAGTTGGTTCGATCGTAGTCTTTCTAGATGTCTTGTTGTATAAAGACCTTCCGCCCTTTCTTAATATTTTTACGTAGACCGCAGGAAAAGGCCATAAAGAGACTTGAGTTCTAAACGCGACTTTTCTCTGTACTATAACCTTTGAAAAGTGATCGTGTATATGCTCTCTCTTTCGAATGCTTGCTTTGAGACTGACTTGGTGTACTCGGTGTAAATACTTAAACTATCTAGATGTATCTACCTATTTCCATCTGACCAAAGTGTAGGGTAATTCCAAATATAAAAGATGGGCGTAACAGGGCCTAACTGTATCTCAGCAGACAGAAGACGGTTGGCTTTAGCACGTTACCAAGTCAGTTCAAGTAAGTACCCATTTTTGTACTTTCTAGAGGAATTTTGGGAAGTCCAGCACTAGAGAAATTCAATATTTCTCAAGCGTGTGATTTCATTGAGTAATTTGAGTGTGAAATGTGCAGGGAAAAGACTTCCGGTAGATCAGAGGTCAGCAACTGGCCGCCTGTAATCGGCTAACAGGCCTCTGCGAATGACAGCCCCTTCCCCTCAGTTAACGTTGTTGTTTGACCCCCTTGTTTTGCCTCAAACCACAGACGGTGACACTGCACGTCCTTGTCTCCGATCTGCTTGCGAGGAAGGCAGAGTACTGGCCATTATGAAAGAGTGAGTAGGCCAGTCTCAATGTTTACTCTGCCGTGACAGTTTTCTAGGATGTTGCAGATTTTCCCCATCACCTTCGTTCCGGTCCTGCCGTCGTGATACATCCACTTCACATTCCATCTTTGCTTCACACGAATCTGCAGTAGGGTGAAATTTCTTTCAATATCATTCATGGGGTAGCGAAATAGATGCATTCATACATTCACAAGCACAGATGTCATGCTAACTTTCAGGGCTCGAGACTCCTCCACCGTTCCGGGTGATCGAACAATACAACAACATCAGGTGGTAATCGGATACTTCGATGCTGCACATTCCTCCTGATCTCATGGATCACGTCGGCTGTTTGCTTAAACCTGTGGCTCAGAGCCATTCCAAACCGACAAAGCTCAGTAAACGCCTGCCTCGATTCGTCACTTCTTTCCAATTGATGGACTAAGATCCGAAGGCCTGTCTGTACGGCATCGACTACCTGGATGGGTATATGTCTGAGGCCATACGACTGGCGATGGATGCGAAGACAATGCGCCGTTTGCTCGGCGGACCTAGCCTGATAGAACTGGACCTGTTGGGCAAATTGTGGCTCACGGGGGTCATTGAAAACCTCAAACAGGTATATGATGGCCTGGAGACATTTGATTCTTCACGCAGTATCAGCATACAACAGTCACTGGGGTACACGGAACAGGAAGGTAGTCATTCTTACCGCAAGAGAAGGACCTGTGGGATCGGATCTCGTTGTATAGCAGACACACTCGGCCAACGTCTCAGCCAATCAGTCAAACGGTCGAATGGGTCATTAGCATTTATCCACAGCTCATTAAAGCTGGTGCCCCGACGTTTTTCAGAAATGAGCTTCTGAATATCGACTAAGATCATGGTGATCTCAGCTAATCCTTTCCTCACTTGAGGGAGATGGGCTGGCTTTTTGTCAAATGTGATTTTGTTTGAGCGAGGATACGGTATCCAGCCAAAGTCTTCATCGCCACACAACTTGACCCCGCACGTGGGATATGCTAAGGGAACAATCTTCTGCAGCTCAATCGACATTTGTCTGCGCCAATTAGTTGGACATTATTCGTTCTTACGATGGTAGGCAGCGCTTACAAGCTCACGTTGAAGACACCCCACGCAGTGATTGTGCGAATCCGTTCCATCTCTGACGACATGTCATTTCCCGACACTGTTGGAGTATCAAAAAGTCCTATATCCCGTGCCAGCTGAGCTGCTTGACTAAGCATCGTCCAGCTTTTCTTGATTCGTCCTTGGGATTTAAATCTGCAAAGAAATCAATCTCATGAATACGACTTATTTTCTAAGACCAGGGAAACATACACACAGCACATCATGAGGAGCGCCTGGATATTAGGCAGGTCGTGGTCATCGTCTTCAACCTCCCACAATCTTTGTGCCTCCTGGAAAAATTTCTGACCCCGCGAGAACACGTTCTCGGGGGTGGAAAGAACATCAGGGCTATCAGAATAGGCCTATCGAGGTTAGCGAATTGTTTCGTAGCGTGGTAAATTTCCGGAATCCATACGCTGGCGATTGACAATAAACTATTGACGAGAAGGGGCGTGCAGAAGACTGATCCTCGATTCCCGAATTTCATACTTTCGAGGAAGATACGTTGATCAAGGAACTGCGAGCATGGGTGGTCCCAGGTAAAGTAGAGCGAGACTAGTTGCGAGACCAGAAAATCATCATCTGTGACACTTGTCCACGGCTTTGCCGACACCTCGAAGAGAGGTATGTCGCAGAGGCTCTCTAGTGTGATACGAGCATAAGGGCTAACTGTTGCCCACTGCGGAGGTTTCATGCTTGGAGGCTCTTCTGGTGAGCTTGTTATATTGCCAGGGTCTGATGGTCGTCTCACCGCGTTGCCTGAAGTTTCTACGGCATGCCCCCCATACTCTAAGATTGGCAATCTGCTGGCAGTCGACAAATCTTGGGTGTCTCCGAATGTCGTGACGGGGCTTCCGACCGCATGGGCGATATCCTGGAACGAAGCCTTCTTCCGGATCAAATCCATCACTTTGTCAAACTGGGGTTGGTCAGCCGACCCGAGTGTGCTTAGCAAAGACTCTAGGAGATATTTGTGGTTGGTGAGCTCCTGGATCGTCCGCTTCACGGCAACCTTTCGTCTGAGGTCTCGGCTTGGATCGAAGTGACATTCGGTGTTTGTGGACCGACAAGCTTTACATGGGGCATCTGGCCCCGAGCACTGTATCAGGCAGAACCAGAAAATTAGCCGTTTTGTTCCAAGATTTGTGACAACCCACAGAGAGAGAGGGAGAAAGAGGGGGGAATTCAGGGGTTCACGGTTCACTGATGCAACGACTTGCCTTCCTCTTTGCTGCTTTGCATGCCAGGCAAGCCGTAGAATTCTTCTTTGGCCTACTGACAGCAGTCGACGTCTGCGGAGCGAACAGGCGCGGCGGACCTGGAGCCAACGCCGGAAATGGTTTGTTGTCGTGATGGCTCATCTTCATCTTCATCTTCAAAAGACCAGCCATTGGGAGTATGATTTCCAAAAGGCTGTGCCTCGAGATTTATGGCCGAAATATACCGTGGTTGAATCTTGAGCAAGGCGGAAATGTTGACAAATAGTGAGTGATTTTGCAAAAAGTGCAGGCAAACAACTCTCTATATAGCGCTAAACCAGGGTCCTAGCGCTTCCTCTTATAGGCCATCGAAATCGACGTCTCCAACGTCTCACCAACTGGATGTCAGAAAGGGGGTAAGTGTCATGTCGCAATGATACGGGCGTCACGGTGCGGTGCGTTATTTACGCGTGAAGGTGGGACACAACTAAAAGAAACTATTCTGGAATCGGTCTGATCCAAATTTCACCTGCAGGTGACAAGATCCCAAAAGCGAGGGGGGCGTTTAGCAAACAGAAGGGGAGGTTCGACGCCCGTCATACAACCGGGGTAACCCGGTAGTCCAAGCTCGAATTCAGCTGTGATTGGAGAGCGAACAAATTCATCAACTTGCCAATATAAGCCGATGATATGCAGATGGCGGAGGGGCCATCGAGTCGAGGCCTGGGAGATACTGTCAAGAGATTCGGCAGATCGAATATGGAAAGCCTTCGGGCCAGCCTGAATCAAAGCACGAGATACTAAATCCCCCCCAAAAATCAAGGGCGAATCAAAAAACGACAAAGAAAAAAGAAAAAAGAAAGACAGAAAAACGGACGGGAAAAAATGAGAGAGAAAAAAAACCACCTCCAGGGATGTATCAGTACGGAGACGGAGTACCAAAGGAGACTCTGGGGCGTCGGTACGCGATCTCTGCGATGTGCGTATTTTGATGCCCTCTCGGAATACATGCCTTGTTGGAGCTCATTGTCAAGCTTGTTCTATGGCGTTTCCTCTGAACATATGATTCTACTACCCCTGATTGTCTTTCTAATTCTCTCACTTGGCAAAAGACTGGGATCGGATTATCCAGATATGCCGGCCCCGTCATACTGCCGGGTTTGGGACACTGACGCCGGATTTGTTTTCCTATAACTATAACTAACTTCAACTAACTACAAAGCTCCTATATCAATTCCATATACCGGACTCCATAACCTCCACTTTCAGCCACTTTCTTCATGGACTAATTGGGAAGACATTAGGAAAACTGTATCCGGGTAAGCATTTGTGGATATCACCCGGTCTACTAACCAGCCAGGCTGACACCTGCGGCCTTCGCTCCAAGATGGAATTGTGATTTCAACCCGGGCGAATGCCTGGAAAAATGTTCCAACAGGCAGGGTTCGCACGAAGGAGGTGAAAATTCCAACACACCGGTTGATGGGACGACCACGAGATGTGCTGCTACACGCTGTGATGCGGAGTTCCTAGGTGATGAAGTGGACTTACTATGTACCAAGATCGTACATCGTATTCATGAATGTACTACGCCTACTCCGTTCTCCGGTAATACAATCTTAGAACCTTGTCCCGTCTTAAAGTCTTTTTTTTCTCTCGCTGTGGATCGAATCGGGATTTGCAGGGGGAACATCTTGAACATCTTATCCCCTTCGATGTTGTTTTAATTATAATTTGGCTATCTCGATACTTGGATCTTGTCATGATCCAATCCCTATAATTTGCTTTCTTGCTCTTGACAATCCCCCCTTGGCCATTTTGATCACTTTGGTCGACACTTTACTCGATACATCCCACATAACTTCTTCCAGCGGTTTTCATTGGCGGTTAAAATAACAGCCAATCGGAATCATAGACAAAACACATTTCTTTCTTGGCATTCTGTCACTTTCATCGAGAAACTGGCCTAGTTGGCATTCTCACGGCAACACTGCATTGCTGCGCTGGGGATGGTGTCAGCCACGTAGAGAGGGTAGCTAGGCAAATTTTCCGAGTTGGAATATCTAGATTGTACTCTATACATCTACATCGTATTATGTTGTAGATTGTGTATACAAGGAGCCCCACTACGGAGCACTGATACTATATGGAATACTTTTCCCAACAGGAGTGAGTATATTAGTCCGGCGCTAGCTATTCAAGTAGATTCTCGGGCCGTTCCAAACTAGCCCCATCCCAGTGGGCTCCGCGGAGAATAATAAATTATTTTCTTTTGTACCAAAAAAAAGGAAAAATGAAAATGAACTACACATGCTAGCGTCGCGTACTGCCGCTTACGCGCCTGATAAACTGAAATTTGAAGAGATAACGCCGGCTCCGATGCTCTACATCGTATTGCTTGAGGTTATTAGAAAGTATAACACGATATATGTGCCTCGCTCCGCACGACAAGTTCCAGCCCTGTTTAGATCCGGGATCACGAGCCAGTGAGATCTGCTATGCGGCTGAGATCCCCCTCTTCTTTCCCGTGTTTCTTGGGCATCGAGATTCCCAACAAACCTTTTCCTCGGACCCCTGCAACCAAAAGTACAGTACACGAAGGTCCAAATTGCCTGCAATGTAACGTGAGTTACGAATCTCTATCACCTGCATGTGTGATGAAAGCCCCCGCGCCTTTCTATAGGAGAAGACTCCTGCCAAAAGCAGAAGTAGCGTGAAGCGGGACAAGAAAACGCGGTTATCCTATAGTTTTGGCTGATATGCTCGGTAGTTCCGATTTGAATATTCTGGACCAGACCACTTTTGAATCGGAATTGCATGTGCTTATCTCTCTTCGATTGGGTCTGTTCCCTTCCCCTACCTCGATGTGCCGAGGATACGAAGTATATTTGTCTATTTCTATATACAAAGTGAGGCTGGAGGTCATTTTACTTCTCATCAGTGGTTCGGAAAAAGCAACCATGTTTCTTTGGTTGGTCGGATGTTTTCACCGTTAGCGATCACCACCTTTGCCCCCGCTTTTTAGGTTTATTATATCTGTTCTTGTGTAGATGTTACTGTGGCTGAGTCTGAATAGTTGTTGGGACGTACGGAGTCCTTACTATAATCTGCTCCGATATAAATAGTGATAGACACATCATTTAGCTTTCTTTCTATTACGGAGTAGTTAAAGACCCCTTCTTTTTTTCACTTTCAGAGAATCCACGGCCCGTTAATGCATTGCAGATGCAGCGGGGTATACGGAGTAATTTGATCCTCACATATCCATTTTTTTCGTCGCCAAGGTTTTTTTTTTCGCATCTTTGCTTTTGCAGTCCCAATAAACTCGGCTCTTGCATATCACGGCGGGTGGATTGATTTTCTGACACCTGCCATTCTACTTCCGGACTCCGTATAACATACGCAAGCCATGTTCGCTCTTTTCCTTTCTTTTTCTCTCACCACTCATGCTCTTTAGTCTAAGATCAGCCAGAAATAATAGTTCGCAGCTAATCATATACGTCATATTACTGAGCCCGGTCTTAGGTCTTGATTTCTGTGACAAACCCCGAGATTTTAGCCTAGTCCTGTATTCAATCGTCAGATATCAGCAAGCGATGCTTCAGCTTATGCACATGTCCGTATCCAGTCTGCATTATTGGCTTGAGATCTGTCATATAGTAAGGCAGCAGCGTCTGATCACGCCTTAGTCCTTCTATATTGTATAGACCTCGTGGCGGTCATAACTGCCGACCAACCGCCCGACAGTACGGAGTAGTCTCGCCCTTATCGAGGACCCTTACAGATGCATTTCTTCTTTATTGTGTACGCCTCGATAATGAGCCAAATTCCCCCATCATCACTTACGTTTTGGTTTTTTTTCTCAAACCGATCGGCCGCCCGTCTCCTTGGCGAACTATTATTCATGTAGCCATGATTCATGTCATTTATTCTTGTTTTTACGCTCTGTCAAGGATAGTATGTCGGTCTCCGAGACATAATGTAGTCGTCATGGGATTATTCGTGGTAGGGTCAAAAGCTATAGGGTCAATAGCTATCTGACCTTCCGGGTAAGAACGATTACAATAGATGTATCCATAGAATAGAACGAGGATATCTATGTCCTCAAATAATGTCACATGCGTGATAGTTCTTCCTTTATGCATTACTCATTTTACATCCATACTACGAATCCCCATCTTGTTTGTTCCTACAATAGCATTTTCAGATGGATCTCTGCTTCTTCTCTCTTCTTCCTTCGTTATTATTGACAGTAGGAACTTATATATTATACAATAAAGAAGTAAGCCAGTTGTTTCCACACGTTTTAGATGATTTCTAACCCGTCGTTCTTGCCCAGGTGGTCAATGTCATGTCTGTGGGCTCTTCAATATAACGAAATATCTATCTTTCGAATCCCAAGTCGAATCACATATCGACTAAACACCGAAAGGTTTCTGAATAACTCAGAAGAATGACTAAGTTAAGTACGCAGAACATGTTTCTATCCACTGCGCTGAGCCCGAGTGTCTATAAATTGCATTCTGATAGGGCAATATACACTCGACCGTGTCCTGAAAAGAGTCAGCTCAAATTTCACATTCCACATTCATCAACACCCGGCATGTGATTGCAAGTTTATAAAGGCTCGATTCGGTTCTATATGACATCGCCTTAGCCTCGGCAATTACCGTGTCGATATCTTCCAGGCTCAAGACGACCGTCAATTCAAGCCTTTCGACCCTCCATCTTGATGGCCTCTGCCTTCTGACTTCATGATAAGCTAAGAATGTGCTAGTCCAGATTCCAATAATCGATAGTCATGGTGGCCATGGCTCTGACTCGCTTGGGAATACGAGGGGAAGCAACACTATCCAAAAGTCCCGTCTAGCAACGTTGCCATCAGACCACCGTGGATAACAGGATGGCACCTGGGTGGCTGCAGATATCACTTCCGAGGTGCATTATGTATCATACCCAAGCTTTTGTCGTTGGTCGTTGAATGGCACGGAGACCTTCTCCGACCCAACCAATGTCAAGGAATGGGCCTCTAGGGTAGGAGTTTCTCCGGGTTGGAATGAGGCTGGAACTCTGAGACCTTACCACTTGTTGTAGGGAGGAATTTAAAGAGTAATTGTGAATGAAAGCCTGGATTGCCTTGTTTTCTCTTGGAGACATGCAGAATATAACCGCCAAGGTGTGGCCATGGTGAATAGAGTTTAATGTACAGGATACATTGTTAAGATGGAGCTAGAAAATAAACGAGGAAGGGGATAAGGTCGCAATAACCTATTTGTGTTTTGGACTAGATACAAATACATATACATGTTGTGTTGTGTTGTGTTGTATATAATATATAGAAAGGTTGATGGTATTCAATGTGCTGTGTGAGATATATATCACCCAAAATCAGCTTTATCAAGCTCCATGAACCCAATTGACCCAATTAACCCAATTAGATAGCATTTAGGTGTTGTGATAGTTCATTAGTTGATCGAGTTTCAAGATGGTCATACGATAGCCGGAAATATCATTCAGCTATTATGATTGGTGTAGACTGGGGTACAAAGTACACCATCATTTCCTTGAGGGTGTTCGAGGCCTTGTTTTGCCATGCTTGATCAATTCAATTGGATATACGGAGTACTACACATTGATGTATTCTAGAAGGCAACATGCTTCTTACATATTACCCCGAGCAAAGCTTGAGGGTATAAAGCATGCAAGGATCATGCAGACTACAGAGCCAAGACTTTCAATGTAATTCCATAAACCAGTACGATCGGACTAGTTAATATGAACGAGACTGTCATAAGAACATGAAGACTACAATTGTGAGTGAATATCAACGCGGCTAGCCTCGGAGATGCCGAAAGTGGGCCTGAAGATAGCAAATATTTGACCCCTCATAGAATGCTCATAGTAGAGGGAAAGATCGTTCTAGGAGTTGGAAGTTATTCAACATAGTTTCAGAGAGATCAATCCTTCAACACACAGCGTATATATAACAGTGTGCAATGCAGAATGTTTCTGGTGGCAAATAGAGAGAGGCGAACCGTTCGGCGTTGAAAACTTTTTTTTGGATCGAAAACGGTTTGGGAGGGGCATTCCATGGGTTCTCCGGGGCAAACCGCTTTTGTTTCTTTTGTCCAAGACATATTTCAAAAGGTAGCTTCATTTCCGCCAGTTTTGTTTTCCTTTCAGATCATCCATTGACCGTCTGGTGACTCATAGAACCTCTCCTCCTCCACATCCAAGAAAAGAGCCCTGATCATACCACAATCATCTCACCATGGGTTCTGTCGCTCCTAATGTCGCTGAGCTGGATGCCTCCAACTTCAATATCACTCGCTCAACCAACCTCCGCGATTTGCCTTTGCCCGGCTCCCCAGAGGAGCTGAGCCACTCTCACTGCACCGACCACATGGTCACCGTGAAATGGACCGCAGCCAAGGGATGGGAGACCCCCGAGGTCAAGCCCTACCAGAACCTCAGCATCCCACCCACAGCCTCGGTCCTACACTATGCCACCGAATGTTTCGAAGGCATGAAGGCGTACCGCGGATACGATGGAAAGCTGCGCCTGTTCCGCCCCGATTGCAATGGCGCACGCCTGAACACCAGTTCGCAGCGGTCCTCGCTGCCCGGATTCAAGTACGATGAGGTGAAGAAGCTTGTCGCCAAGCTACTGCAGATCGACGGCCCTCGTATGTTCCAATATCACTATATCTCCAGGCTATCCTTGCCTACAATACAAATGAGAGCGATCCACTGATAATTGTCTCTAGGCTGGCTCCCCAACCCCGGTTCTTACCTCTACATCCGTCCAACAGTCATCGGAAACGGTCCTCACCTGGGCGTCCAAGTGCCCAAGGAAGCCCTCCTCTTCATTATTGCTGTCCCCTGGCCCGACATGACCAAAATGAAGAAGGATCCCCAAGCCGAGACCCCCAAGGGCCTTAGACTCTACGCCTCTTCCCCTGATACCATCCGTGCCTGGCCCGGCGGCTTCGGCTATGCCAAGCTGGGTGCGAACTACGGTCCTTCTTTGCAGGCCCACGGCAAGGCCCAGGCTCTGGGCTACGATCAGATCCTGTGGTTGTTCGGGCCGGACCGCCAGGTCACCGAGGCTGGTGCCAGTAACTTCTTCATTGTCTGGCACAACACCGAAGGCAAGCTGGAGCTTGTTACTGCTCCTCTTGACAATCAGCTCATTCTGCCCGGTATTACCCGTCGCAGTGTTCTGGAGCTCGTGCGCGAGCGTTTGTCGCAGAACTTTGTCGGAAAGCTTGCGCCGCTTGAGGCTGTGGAGCGCACTTTGACTATTGATGATATTGAGAAGGCTTCCAAGGAGGGCCGAATTGTTGAGGCGTTTGTTTCTGGCACTGCTGTAAGTTGAAGAATTGTCTATTTTCTTTTGTTGGAGCTGATATGCTAACGTCACGTCCTTCAGTACTTCATTACCCCTGTTGCCTTGATCCACAACGAGGACACTGATATCAACACCCTGGGCGCCAATGGCGAACCTGCTGGGTATGCCGCGCAGATCAAGTCGTGGCTCGAGGCCATTATGTTCGGCAAGGAAGAACATGAATGGGCTTACACCATCGAGAACGAGGGACAATAGATAAATAAAGCGTTCATAGATGATTTTAGATTTAGACTCGCAAGCTGTTTGATTGACGCCGCTTATGCAGGTCTATGAAGCTTAGCATCGTGGTTGGTATCTTTGATGCTAGGGTTGAACTGTATATAGATTTTAGACCTCATTCATAGATGCCGTTGTTTCATTCAATGCTTGTCATTTGGTTATTGTAAAATGTAACAAGACGCCAGTAAATGCACCCAAGCTAGATACCAAAAGGAAATCGTCAATTACTTTACACATCTCATGAGTGCGCAGAGATAGAACCAATTCGATGTCCTATTCTCGCATTTCACATATCAACAATTACCGGAGCATACTCTCCAGTCTCGTCATCCTCGTCATTCCCATCCCAGTCCATTTCGACCTGCTCGCCGTCCTCCAATTGGAGCATACCGTGGCGAACGACAGTCCCACGACGCAGCTCCCAGTTATATTCTGCCCTCACCCACTCTTCAAGCTTGTCAAGCTCTAACTTGACCTCGGATCCACTGTCACCAACGAGGTCATCGACTGACTGACGCAGCTTCATGAGTAGATCTCGCAAGAAAGCCCCGCCTTCATCACCATCAATCTCAAATAGTCCACCATCAACATCGTCGCATCGTTGCAGCTGCAACGACAATATCCGAAGAACTTCACTCATAAACGCCTCTCTATCCAAGATTGCACCCCGGGACGTAAGAATCAGCTCAAGAAGCCGTTTCCACTGCTGCAAACACGAGTAGTTCATCATAGTCAGCACCATGAGGAACGTAAACTGCAGTTCTCCAAGCAACTGATTCCCCCCAGAAGCCTCCCCAGCATACCGATCGATCAAGTCTCCCAGAGCCCAAGACCGATCCTTCGCAGCTTCCGTCCTTTCGCGTCCGACAGCGCCTTCTCTCCACGTCCGCTTCAAATCAACGGGAATGAAGCCGAATTCTCGTTCCGGTTCTGGCTCGTGCGACCCTTCAGCTGGCGAATCGACGCCAGGGATATGATCCGTGTCACAGTTGGCCGTTGAAGCAGACGACAACGCCCATCGCGGATGCCCGTCCACATCAACCTCCGGTTTGCCGATAACGCGTGATAAAAGGCTCGGTGAGATGCGGTCGGTTAGTCCAGACCAATCCCTCCGCCCGCTCTCTTCTGTTTGCGAATCATCTTCGGTCTGGATACGAGCTTCGATTTGGTGTTCGGGTTGGTCTTGCTCGTTCTTTTCGCCAGTGTCTGATTCTGTCACGGGTTTGACAAGCATTGAGGGCGCAATCCGGCTGCGATATTTGAAAAGTCCTCCACTCTGCCAGACCGAACCCAGATTCGCTTTGTAGCGCATGCTCTCTTGGAGAGATGAGGCGCTCTCACCATCTAGCGCTACCAAAGACTCTGTATTCACGCTCCATTTCCAGATGTAAATCTCTGGCTCTGATGCGTTTTGGGTTTGATTTTTGTGGCCTTGCGCGACTAGCGCTGTGTCGTTACTGCCTTTCCCTGCAGTCGTGATGTCACCAATGTAGAACCATGCGCCGCTGCGCAAAGAGAGGGTCTCTGTTGCGCCGGTGTAGAGGAAGTGCCATCCCGGGGAAAGGTCACGGATTCCGTGGAAGTTGGGGGTTGATGTGAAGGTTATGAGGTCGATGCCGACGAGGGTTTTTGGAGGAAGGCCTGGGAGGAGGATTGTTGGGGTGGGGTGGTGGGTGGACATTGCACCCGTTTTGTGTTGGAGATTGCGCACAAAGTTGGAGCTTTGAGGGAAAGTTGGAGCTGTGAGGAGAGGTTGGAACCGATTGCGTACTTTGAGCTGTCGGATAAACGCAGTTCTATCTGTTATCGGGAGGCGATCTTTTTTGGATCTTCCCGAGGTCTTTACTTTATTGCGGAGCGAAGCAAAGCAATTATATCATCTAGAAATTAGAACATTATAGAATTACCACATAGCTATTAATACAAGCAACAAATTCTAAGAAAAGGTAAGAATCAACAAGGATCCTCTTTCCGTGACATTTGGCATTGTGTTAATCATAAAATTCCCAAGTATACCTCCTCTTCTCGGTAGGAGACAGGGCCGTTTGACTTGGTCGTGCACCTTTGGCATGGTGGTTGATGCACAATAAGCTTAACTGTGATCAGATTTCTCACTCAAAAAAGAATGCAGACAGGCACGCTAAAAGTACGCGACCAAGTCAAATGGCTTTGTCCATTACCGAGAGAAGAGGAGGTATACTTGGGAACTTCCTGGCAAAAACAATGCCAAATATCACACAAAAAGGGTCGAAGGGTCAAAAGAATCCCCTTGCCAACACCCTAACATGAACATAATAGGTGAATAAGGGGTATAATTTGAATAAAGATCCTAAGATGGAAAGGAGGAGCTTGACAAGAGGAGAGAGACGATAGACAATGGAAGAGAGGGGATAGAGGAAGAGGAAGAGGAAGAGAAAAGGTGATGGAGGAAGAAAAAGAAGAGGAGCAAGGACAGAAGAAGAGTCCTTTATAAGGTGTAGAGATTACAATTGAGACTGCACAGATTCAGACGTCAATGGGTAGATGCTTCGCGGGATGATACACGAAGGTGCAAACGAAGTCCTAAAGAGCAGGACGATACATAACACATCTGTACAACAACAATAAACTAATGTCTGAACATCCACATGTCCCACGGGAACTTCCACCAGGCCTCGTAAAGCTAGAGGGTAACTACTATCATCTTACAACTGAGCTCATTAGGAGCTTGCTATAATCCAGGATATATAGGTCAAGTTATTGATTTAGCACTACCTAATCCAACAGCAAAACCCGAGAGTTGATTTTCAGCGTATGAAAAAAATTGAAGACCAGGCGATCAAGGCCGTTCCTCGCGTTTATTCCATCCACAGATGCAGGAGAAGCCCGCAAATAGCCTCCAATCCAGCAATGCAATGACTTGCAAGGGAAAGGGAAAGACCAAGCCGCACACGCTCACAGACGGCGACCACGGCGACCACCCTTGCGACGAGTAGAGTCGGAGGGGGTGGGGGTAACGTCCTCAATGCGACCGATGCGCATGCCGGAGCGGGCAAGAGCACGGAGGGCAGACTGGGCACCGGGACCGGGGGTCTTGGTGCCGTTACCACCAGTGGCACGGATCTTGATGTGGAGGGCGTTGATTCCGAGCTCCTTGCAGCGGACAGCGACGTCCTGAGCAGCCAACATGGCGGCGTAGGGGGAGGACTCGTCACGATCAGCCTTGACCTTCATACCACCGGTGACACGGCAGATGGTTTCGCGACCACTGTAATCAAAATTGGTCAGCCAACATCATCCTTCGTGTTACGTTCATTTCAATTGCGCTCGATTTCTAATACGACAATTGCGGGTGGAGGGCGACTCACGAGAGATCGGTAACGTGAACGAAGGTATCGTTGAAGGAGGCGAAGATGCGGGCAACGCCGAAAACGAGCTTGCCTATGAAGATAGGTTAGATCTCATGTTTTTCTCCCCAACTTCTTCAACTCGAATTGTGTTCCTAACTTACCATCACCGGCGAGGGGGCCGAGGGAGACGTTCTCCTTAGCGGCAGCGGGGGTCTTGGTCTTGGGGGCCATTGCGACTGTTTTTGGTGGTTAGTGTGGATGGAATACAGAAAGGAAGGAAAAGTCGGATCTGATCCCACTTGGATGTTGAAGAAAAAAGTGGGTGTGTGCCCTAGGGAAAATTACGACCTGTGATTGGTTCGTACTTTCAAGCGAGCCGGATTCCTCAGGGTTCAGGTGTCATGCATCTATATCCGGATCTCTAGTCGGCCCGGTGGGCGGTGAAGGTCCTGGCTCCGGTCAGTATTTAAATTTTTCGTTCGCCCAACTGAATTCTTTCCAACATTGCAATTGATCTTCCCAGACTCGAGCAGTTTTCAAGTTTGAACCTCGACTGGTCCGAAACAACCTTTAGTGGTTATCTTGGTCACCGGCTCTAAGGGCCACATATTATTCCTCAATCGTTTTAGGCGCACTTGTCGCGATGGGTCGCACCAAAGAAGATGCCTCGATCGGCATCATTGGTATGGGTGATATGGGCAAAATGTATGCCCAACGCCTGAGCGACGCAGGATGGAGGTAAATGGCCCTTTTTTTTCGGCGCCGCAGTCCCAATGCCTCAAATGGTAAGCTTCCTATCCTATCCGTCTTTCTTTGCCCATCCCCTCAAATGATGACATGAGTGCATTTGGCTCGAGTACGGTTTGGTTGGCGCTGTCATACCATTCTGGTTGATGGCTAACCAGCTGGCTGTCGGTGATGTTACACCCACGCTACCTTAATTTTTTTTGTCTGATCCTGTTCAACCTCATTCTATACACCTTCACTTTGCTGTTGTTTGAAAACATACACTAACAAGTGAAAAAGATTTTACAGATTCACATTGAGCCTCATCATAACTAATCCTTTAGACCTGGCATAACTAACGTTGCATTTTGATATCAAGGATAAACGCGTGTGATAGACCTGAGAATTTTGAATCTTTAAAACAAGAGTTCGCTTCTCAAGTACGTCCCCTTCTGGGATTATGCCACCCAAAAGCTCAAGAAGCTCATTGTATATATAGAAAGGAGTCACCATATTCCCCAATGGACATCTCGTCTCAAGAATTAGCGATTACATTCTGTACAGTGTAGAGGCTGGAGCCATCGACAAGGTCGTGGCGCAGTACGGATTATGTATGTGTCGAACCAGAGCCGCTAGTCTGCTTCCATCGCAATCACTTTCTGACTCGGATTTAAGCAACCAAGGTCGGTGCCATTGTCGGTGGCCAAACGTCCTGCAAAGCTCCAGAGCTCGCCGCATTCGAGAAACACCTGCCCCCCGATGTAGAGATTGTATCTTGCCATTCGCTGCACGGCCCCAAAGTGAATCCGCAAGGTCAGCCTCTGGTATGACCAACCTCAAGCCTGGATTCTATTCTATCTCGGACATGCATTAACAACGCGGTGACCTAGGTCTTCATCCAACACAGAGCCTCAGACGAAAGCCTCAAATTCGTTGAGACGATCCTTTCCTCGTTCGGCTCCAAACATGTCTATCTCACCGGTGAGATGCACGACCGTATAACCGCGGATACGCAGGCTGTCACCCATGCTGCTTTCCTGAGCATGGGAACCGCCTGGCAGGCCAACAATCAGTTCCCCTGGGAGCATGGACGGTGGGTAGGCGGTATCGAGAATGTCAAAATCAATATCACCTTGCGCATCTACTCGAATAAGTGGCACGTCTATGCCGGGCTCGCCATCCTCAACCCAGCGGCAAAACAGCAGATTCGCCAGTACGCCGAGTCGGTCACAGATTTGTACAAACTGATGATTGGAGGACAGAGGGAGGAGCTCAAGCTTCGGGTAAAGGCTGCAGGTGCGTCAGTCTTCAGACCTGGCTCCGAAGGACAAGATCTGCTGTTGAAGGACGAGGTGCTGGATCGGTTCTCTCTGTCTAATCGGCCGCGCGGGAAGGCGCCGCCGAACAGCCATCTCAGTCTGCTGGCGATTGTTGACTGCTGGTCGAAACTCGGCATTGTCCCTTACGATCATATGATCTGTTCCACGCCGGTATGTATACAGTCATTGAGAGCATATTGCCAGATTGCGGTTATATTAACATCCTGCAGCTTTTCCGTCTCTGGTTGGGTGTGACCGAATACCTGTTCCGTAACCAGGATCTCCTGGATGAGGCATTGGATACCGCAATTGATGATAACACCTTCCGCTCGGATGATTTGGAATTCACGTTTGCCGCAAGGGTATGTCTTTCGCAATATCCCATTCTCCAGTTCGTGCTAACTTGATGTGATCAACAGGCATGGTCTGACTGTGTTTCTTTCGGTGACTTTGAGTCCTACCGTCACCGGTTTGAGCGGATTGCGGAGTACTTCGCGCCGCGTTTCCCTGAAGCTGCCACTCTTGGCAATGAGATGATGAAGACCATCCTGGAGAAGACTACCCCCAATAACTAATGAACTGATAACGGTATAAAATACCTACATGTAGGTATTCATCAGTATGAGCAAGCCTAGGAAGAAAGAGCGGGATACTAAGTAGTTTATCAGAATATACGATCTTCAGATTCTACTATAATCAAATGAAAATCAATTGAATGATCAGAACATTCTCAACAAGAGACGAAAACCCCTTTAGTAGGAACACAGCTCTTCAGCATGGCGTGGTGTTGCAATGTTGGCCAGGGCTGGAGCGATAAGATCCCTTAGTCAGCAGTTTGTTTCTCCAGATCTGGCTGAGCCGAGCATCTCGTAGTGGGACAACAAGAGCAGTTCGACGATCACTGCTGTGCTCAAGTTAAAATTCAATCACCCTTCGACAGGTGGAAATGGCCACTATTTCCCTTTGATCACCAACCAACCTGTGACCGCGCCCCTCCATTACACTTCCCCATACTGCCCTTGCTCCGCTCCGCTCGACTCTCCCGCTAAAACAAGCGACCTCAATGCAGCCCTCCGATACTCAGAACACTTGCGATAGATGATAGCGAACCAGCACGGCTGGATGGAGCTCTATGGCTTCCGGGCACAACTCAGCATACTCCGCGTCGACTCATCATCGTGCACTGGGTGATGGACGATCCTCGCTCAGTCAGGATGGCGGCTCTGCCGATGGGAGCTGGCAGGACAGTATCTCACGAATCGGGAGGAACAGGCGATCCGAGTCTGGAGGGAGCAGCAACATGGGCGGACGGGGAGGATCATTGGCGCCCTCGTTAGCTCCCTCCATCGGTGGACCAGGGAGCTTTAGTTCGGAGCTCAAAAGCACCACTTCACGCAGTGTCACGCCTCGGCCGGACGACCAATATAACAGACGTGCGAGCAGATCGATCGGCGAGGCAGACTTTCACACAACCGAACAGCGACAGGCTTTCCTTCGAGACAGAATCGCGAAGGAAATGAAGATCAAAAGCGGAACCGAGAATATGCTGGAGGCACTGCTAGCAAAACCACCAAAGCAAACGAAAGAGCAGCGTCTCAAGGTGGAGTCGGAATTGAGCTCATCGAACCGCAAGCTGATCGAATTGCAGCATGAGTTGGAAGAAGAAATATTACGTGCGCAGGCGCCGGCATCGACTCCTCCACGCGGCAATCGCCTTTCGAGCCTTTTCCGAGCCAGTCCCATGCGCTCACCATCACGAAACAAGGATGCCGTCGGATCGGTAAATGGTGATAGGGAGGAATATGGTGATGGTGACGTGGAGTCACCAACCTATGTCCTCTCAGAAACGCTGCAGGCGTTGGAGATAGAGGGGATGTCGCCTGATTTCTATGTCGAGCGCGCCAATAGCTTGGTTGAATTATTCAAACGGCATCCCACATTGAAGTATGACCTCGCGTGGTCTGTTTTTGGCCTACGCGTTCAAGTTATGCTTCTAAGTGACAGTAAAGAGGTGGTAGCTGCGGGTTATCGACTAACACGCTATGCTATCGCTGATCGCAAATCCCTACAAATCATCCGAACACTCCACACCGACGAGCTGGTGATATTGTCCCTGGTCAAAGAAACCAAGGCAAGCATTGAGAGGGAACAGGCCCTGAAGTTTGTGAGAGGCTTCCTGGATGTCAAAGACGGTGTCCGAGAGATATCACGCGCCGTTGTGCGGACCATCGTTGCTATTGCTGAACATCATGAAGACCGTCTTCGGAACATTTCAATCATGACCGTGGCTGAGATGTTGGTCAAAGACCCTGAACTGGTTGCTTCTGCCGGTGGATTTGCTGCCCTGCACGACGCGCTTGCAGAGGGGACGTTCGGCGCCTCAGAGTCTCTGATATCAAGTTTTCTGCATGTTGTGGACACCCCCCGTAGTCGGAAGTTTCTTCAAGGGTCTGAACTTGAAGCTGTTCTTACGCCTTTCACGGATTCATTATCCGACACATTACGCAGTGGGCGATTAAAGTCGGCAGCGCGAGCCATTTCTGCGATGCTGAAGACTTGGCCCGGACTGGTTATTCTTGCAAGACATGACTCACAACCGTTGCGTTCTCTCCTTGATTCGCTTCATTACAATGATCCTATAGCCCGAGACTTGATCATGGAGCTATTATTCGACGCCCTGCGAATAAAACCCCCGTCCTGGTCGTCATCTTTCCTTGCGGGCAGAAGACTCACAACTTATGGCAGAGTCTCGAATCTTCGCTCTGACCTTGAAACATCAAGAGCCAGCCGCGCTCTCAATGACACCAATAGCAACAGATTTGATCTGACTGCTCATTTCTCTACTCTCATATTGGCCGGTTTGGTTGAGGCAGGGCTCCCAAAGGTATGTATTTTTTTTACCCCTAGGCCTGGCTTAGCGCAAGAGTTAACCGAATACAGGTTCTCTCCGACGTCATCGAGGATGAATCGGATCTCTCGCTCAGACGTAAAGCAACTCTGTTATTGACGGAGGTTCTCAAGCTTGCCCAGCATTCTTTACCCCAAGCCGTCAGCGCACAACTTCAAGTGCTTCCACACCTAATCCCACCCGCAGTCGACTTTGAAACTGAGAATCACGACCTTTCAACCGCAACTATCTTCCAAATCGATAGTATCAATCGGACATTGGCGCGTTCTGGTGGATATCCCAGTGGGCAGGGTCGATACAACATGGAGACAGATTTATCAGTTTCTCTGCTCCCTGCTGAGCAAGGGAAGGACAAGATGAGTCCTTCCATGGACGAGACCCAGTTCCGCAATGCTATTCTGGAGACTCATGTCCTGAACACCGTCAACTTCAATAAGTGGAAATGGGATATTATTCATCGTCTAGTGGAGGGTCCTCTTACGAATCCAAAAAGAATGGATGAGGCAATCAAAGGCTCCAAGTTCATGAAACGTCTCATTGGGTTTTACCGACCTTTCAAATATCGCTTTGCCATGGTTCCAAACACAAAAGCAAATCAACGATATGTCCGAACCGGCTGTGTTCTCATGCGCACTCTCGTTATGACCCCCGAGGGCACCAAGTATCTGGCAGAGAACAAATTCCTTCGCCAGGTTGCAGAATGTCTGGCCCAACTGGACCGCATGAGTGGTCTGACGTCTGCATCCCCGCTTTTCTCCAAAGACCAGATGGCCAATACTCTCAGTGGAGGCTACTTTGCGATGCTAGGGTCATTGAGCGGCGATGTCAACGGGCTGCTCATGATGGAACGATGGCATATGCTCAACATGTTTTACCACATCATTGAGTTGCAAGATCGCAACGATCTGATTCAGACTTTGCTAGGAAACATGGATTACAGCCGCGAAAGTCATCTCCGCGTCATGCTCTCCAAGGCGTTAACAATTGGCTCCAAGGATATCCGAATATTTGCAACCAGATTCCTACGCAAATATGCTGTTGGGGATGTAACGCTTTCGCCTCAAGTGGCGATTGACAATGCAGAATGGGTGGTCAAACTTCTTGTCACCCAATTGTATGATCCCGAGGTCACTGTCTGCCAGGTCGCCGTGAAAATTCTGGAAGAAGCATGCAATCAACGGGATTATCTGGAGTTCGTGGTCAAATGTCGACCCTCTCTTGATCATCTAGGTGAAATTGGTGCACCGCTACTTCTCAGATTCCTATCGACTTCCGTGGGATATCACTATCTGGATGGTCTTGATTACATCACCCAAGAGATGGATGACTGGTTCCTTGGCCGCAATGATAGCTATGTCGGTCTTGTTGAGGCAGCTCTTTCCCGAGCTTACGTCGAGCAACCGCGCCGTGGAAGCCTTGTACCCGAGGATCTGGTGGACCTCCAGGATATTGGGTTGGTACCACCGCATTTCTACCGAGAACTTGCACGAACTGCCGAGGGGTGTAAGCTACTAGAACAATCGGGCCATTTCAATGAATTTGCTTGGACGATTCGTGATTTCAGGCTGGATGAAGAAGACAACGAAATGCTTCTCAAAGCTAAAGGATGCCTCTGGGCTGTCGGCAATATTGGCTCAATGGAGCTTGGCGCACCATTCTTGGATGCTGAGATTATCCAACGGATTGTGCAGATAGCAACCAGTGCAGGAGTTCTCACTATGCGAGGCACTGCTTTCTTTGTTTTGGGCTTGATATCTCGCAGTCGACACGGACTCCAAGTCCTGCGGGGTTTGGGCTGGGATTCCGGGGTTGACCAAAAGGGAGATTCACTGGGACTTTGTCTCCCTACCGATTTCCGAAAATTATTCTTGGTGAGTATCTTCTGTCCCTTCACTTTCGTCTCATTGTACTCATCCATCTAGATTTCCTTCCCTGGCTTTGATTATAGATCGAAGCGAACTCCCAAGGAGAAACTCAAGGAAGCCACCACCGACTCCGATCCCGGCAATCAGCGGATCTTAAAGTTGATCGTCGATATGGGCAACACGGTACTCTCCAAAAGAGCCGCTTCTGATCTTCACATGTATGGCTCTCAGTTTTCATTCCGCGACTTCTTACATTTGCTCACAATTCTCAACCACAGCCTAAAATCTAAACAACCGGAGCGATTCCACCAAGCACATCTCTTCCGCAAGACCCTATGCATTCTGGAAAGTCATCATTATAGACTCCCAGCTCGACGTTTCGCCTTGGACTTATTCGACAAGAGTGTCATGCGACGAATCGTCCTTGATGAAGATTCCGACTCGGAATCGGACTCATCTACTACTTCCCAGTCAGAATAAACGCCTTGATATTTGAAATTTCCTGTCCTGCAAATATACCCTGCAAGACGGCTGATTGGGTGCTTGGCTTTTTGTATTCAGAGCGACGATTTACGCATGTCCAATCTATGACTTTTAAAAATATAGGACCTCAAATTTCCTGACCGGCGTAGATCAGTATAATTTTGACATTGGTCAGCAAACCAGTGCTATATAGCTCGTATATTTCCCACACAGTATCAGCGATACTTCCTGGAGGCAGCACTGCTCAAATCTGTCTACCAGGGCTGTAGACCTGTCGAGGTGGTTACTCCGTCCCGGTGGGCTGCCGCTTTATGAGGGCGGTCAACGTCCTGCCCGTAGTCCTGTCCAGTATTCCAGTGTGGACTAAGAACCACATCCAGCCATACCTACGTGTAGGTGGGATCCCGAACTTCTATGCCTTCTCCCACCTGATTCAGATATGAGCCACCGTATAGGGGCTGTGAAATCTCGATCTGGATGCAAAACCTGCAAGTAAGAGTTTCCGCCGCCATTTTCGGAGTTAAGCTCTGACCGCCGACCAGAATCCGAAGAGTCAAATGTGGCGAAGAGAAGCCCAATTGCCTTCGCTGCTCTAGCACAGGACGGAAGGGGGAATATGAGAGCAGAGGGGTATCTCCCTGGGCTCCCTCCACACCCAGCCTCGAACTGTCGTCTCCAAATCCAGGACGACGAGAACGTCGCGCATTTGAATATTACTTCCAACATGTGTCCCAACATCTCGCAGGTGGAATGAATATAGATTTCTGGACGGGGGTTGTTCCGCAGATCTGCCGCAGTGAGCCCGCTGTGTGGGATGCAATGATTGCAATTAGCGCATTGTACGAAAATCCAAAGCAGTGCATGGACTTTCATTTTTTGAAAGATCGCCGAAACAAGGCACATTTGCTTGATCATGCTCAGCAGGAAGCATTGACATGGTACACGCGATCAATCTCGGGTGTTTCTTCACAGATCCAGCGAGGCAGCGCAGATCCGTACATTGCAGTCATCAGCTGCGCACTGTTCATCTGTGTGGAGACAATCCAAGGACATATGGAGCAGGCCTTGGAGCTCTACCGACAAGGCATCATTTTGATACTTGACCTCCGTGCCCAAATCGGCCATGGAGGAATATCTACCAGTAAGGCTGTTCTGTTGGAACGCAGCATTGCTCCCTTATTCCTGCGACTGGGCACAAGTTCCCTCACCATTTCAGGGACTCAGTTTCCAACTGAACTTCTCGCCTTCGTAGAAACAGATCTGAGCGCTGGTTTCGCATCTGCCGATTCCGCAAGAACCATTATATCCGCCATAGCTGCGGAAGTTGCTCTTTTTGAGCGCGAGGCGAAATTACACCTCAGAGCAGTCGGTGCGGATTCCGCTGTTAGTCCAGAAATGGTCGCAAAAAAAGAAGCGCTTCGAGCTCGTCTCGATCAATGGCATCGGGCATACACCAATACTTGCGAGAGAAAAAACTCAGTATCCAATGTTTCTATATACCCAGAGCCTATCCTGCTCACGCATCATGCTGCTACTTTGATTTGTGTGACAGGATGCTTAAGGCAACAGGAAACTGTTTTCGATATCCACTTTAAAGACTTCGTTACTATCGTCGAGCAGTCTAGGTTGATTCTCGATACCTCAGTAGGGCCAAATGGTGCCCAACCACCCTTTACCTTTGAGCTGAGTGTGGGTGTCCCTCTCGCTATGACTGTGTTGAGATGTCGTGACCCAAGCCTGCGGCGAAGGGCTTTGGATCTACTGCGACAAGCGCCTCCGATACAAGGATTTTTCAAATGCGCTCCCGTGGCTGTTTTGTCGGAAACATTGATGAAACTGGAAGAGGGCTATAGCCCTGCCCTGAGGCAAGTGAACACAGTGGCACTTCCTCACAAAGTCGAGGCAACTAGGTCGCAAGCAGCACTCATCCCCGAAGAGGCTCGTATACATGACTATGGCATCTTCAGGCGGAATGAGTGTCAACCTCCGTGGATCACCGAGGAAGATCTCGCACCATTTCCACACGGCTCGAATCAACTATATTTGGGATTTTCAAGGAATCAATATGACAACGAAAGTAGCACTTGGCGGCCGACTTTTCAGTGCGTACCGTTGGTGGCCAGTTTTGAATGATCTTTCAACGTCTGTGGTGTCTCGTTCATGTGTATTATTAACTATGTATTCTATGTAATCATACAATACTCCCAAGGTTCCCAGGTCAACCATCACAACTTAGTAGTTGAATCTTCTAATAGACATAGCTGAGCGAATAAGGTCAGAGAAGAACAAAGATAAACCTGCATACGGGGATTCTAAAGGGCTAGCCCCAATAAACAGCCAATCTGCTAATGACAAAGGTGTTCCAATTAGCTCAACGACATTATAAAAGTGCCGAATATTTCCATGCATGGATTTGAGCCAAATCTAAAGTGCCTTGTTCGCCGACGGGCAGACCTGGATGCCCCGCCTTTTAGATAACGACGCCGACGGCGGTTCGAGAGTGGAACCCCCCTCTGAACAGCTTGATATTCCGAAATGTAAGTTTCATTTAAGACAGATTCTTTATTTATTTATCTCCCAATATGTCCGAACAATTGAATCCTGATCTGGACCTCATTGTGCTGAACTGTACTTTGGCAACGGTTGAAGACGTCGTGCAATGTGACATTGGCGTCAAAGACGAGAAGATTCACTCAATTGTCCCCCAAGGATCATTGGCTGGCTCAAAGGCCAAAAAGATCATTGACGCCAAGGGAGCTCTTGTTACGGTTGGTTCTTTTTTTACCTCTATCATGAATGAACTCATGGCCACGTGCTGACCTCTTTCAAGCCGGGAGGGATTGATGCCCATGTTCACCTCCAGGAGCCGCCTCTATTTGGACTCGGTTCGACTGCAGACAATTTCGAGTCCGGTGAGCCCCCTAGTATTCAGAGCTGGCTCCTAACATGTTGCATTGAATTGACTGAAATTCCTAGGCACCCGCGCCGCGATTGCGGGAGGTACAACCACCATCGTGGCCTTCGCACCTCAACGGAAGCACGAAGACAGTGTTCTCGCAACCCTAGCTTGCGCTCACGAACGTGCCCAGGATCAATGCTACAGCGATTACTCGTTCCATCTCATCATCTCCAACCCATGCGCAAAGACGCTTGCGGAATTTCCAGCCTTCCGAGACTTGGGCATCTCGTCCGTCAAGATATACATGACGTACGAAGCTTTGCGCCTCAACGACGAGCAATTCTTGGATGTCTTGTTTCAATCCCGTCTACACAAGGTCACGACTATGGTGCATGCCGAGAACGACTCTGTGATTGCGTGGATGACCAAGAAATTGCACGAGCGCCAACTATACGCACCAAAGTACCATACGGCTTCTCACCCTGCCGTCGCTGAGATCGAGGCAAGCTACCGTGCAATCTGTCTCTCTGAATTTATTGATACTCCGATCTTAATCGTACATGTATCTAATCCTCGAGCCGTCGATAACATTCGACAAGCTCAGGCAAAGGGTCTTCCAATTTATGCCGAGACTTGTCCTCAATATCTGTTCCTCAGCAGCGAGAACCTGGATCGGCCTGGTCTCGAGGGTGCAAAATGTGTTTGCAGTCCGCCGCTGCGCAACAAATCCGACCACGAGGCTATTTGGGCCGGCCTCGAGGACGGAACATTTACCATTCTCTCATCCGATCACAGCCCGTTTAACTTCAACGACTCGACGTCTGGCAAAGGATCAAGCGTGACTGCGGAACGTCCCGATGGACAGTTTCACCTGATTCCGAACGGATTCTCTGGTGTCGAGACCCGAATGCCATTGGTTCTTTCGGCCGATCGACTCAATATACAGAAATACGTGGAGCTGACATCAACCAACCCAGCTAAATTGTATGGCATGTACCCGAGAAAAGGTGCACTTATCCCGGAGGTTAGTGATGCCGACTTTGTGATCTGGTACCCCGAGGGGAGTCTTGCGATGACTGTCACCAACGACATCCTTCATCACAATGTCGACTACACTCCATTCGAGGGGCACAAGGTAAAGCAGTGGCCGCGCTACACTGTGCTTCGTGGCCATATAGTTTGGGACCGGGAAGATGGAGGGGTTGTAGGTTCTCGAGGCTTTGGGCAGTTTTTGCATCGCACAGAGAGTATGATGGCGGGCAGTAGGAGTGAGGGGTCTTGGGACGTTGAGACCGCTTGGGTTTAGTAGATAGACATGAACATATTTTGACGGCCCAAGGAAAGGATCCCCCATCTTATTGGGCCACTTGAATCCAGACACATTTGGACAGTACAATTTCTCTTGCATCCAGACTGAAGGTCAAATGCCAAGCCTGAGGTTCAAAGACCGTTCTTTTTCTTGGCTTGATTATGTGATTGGACTGTCGGTGAAGATCCCAGGCCTCAATCAAGCCATGGACCGTCATTGTGCCGATTTCAGGGGTAAAATAAAATCACCGCATGGTATTCCGAAGGAGCCTTTGGCGAAGATCTTGAAGGATCGGTGATTTTTACTAGCGACCTTCACTTAAAAGGGCTCATATTGAGGTATCAACGGCATGGGAAGCTGCCGCGACATTGACCAAGTTTTTCCAAAAGATGCCATCAACACGAATAGCCGCAAAGCGAAGAAGCGGCCAAGACGGAGCGCGGGTACGCAATGTTTGTCTCCAAATACCCAAGAGCTTCTGGTCATTAAGCATCATATGCGGCTCTCTATGTTGGAAACACAGCATGAAACTGAATTGCCCCGGATAAGAAAAGCATGATCTCGTATAAGTCGGCCAGAAGGCTGATTGATGTCGGGCACCGAGGCTGTAAACTAAACGAGTCACAGCGCGAATCAATCCACGCGACGCGTCTAGGATGGCTGCAACGGAGGGCTGAAGGTGATCCAGCCCTATTTTGTCGTCGAGTATTGGCCGTAAAAGGGCACGGAAAAGCAGTATTTGAACTGTGAAGTATGAGATGTGCAAACTACCGCGAGTATCGACTGGTTCTTCCTCGGTTTCTGAGTGTGTCTGTGCTGGTGCTGGCATTTGCAGCGACTCTGGCAGTGCGCTGATCCACTGATGTAGTTGTTGACGAAACACTCGAGCCTGATCTATCAAGCTATCCAAAGACCGTTGTTGGCAGACAGAGCGGAGAGAGCTGGTGGTGCGGTTAGTGAATATAGGCGAACTCAGGGATGTCTTTGATAAAGACGGCTATGGAACGCGACAAGAGTGGCTAAGAAGGGGAAAGTCAGAACGAGTTTGAACTCACAAGAAGGTCCGACATAAATCGTTGGCAATAAGCGTGAGTGAACTAAGATGCATAAAGTAATCCGGACAACCATCATCCACCTCAAGCCCAGCTTCAGGATTCAGGTTGACCTCAAAGTCGGCCAAAGTAAGAGGAGTCACATTCCAACTATCGTAGGAAAGTATAGACTGCCGTCCATGAGTGACGGCTCGCCAACTGTGTTCAACAAGAACACACCACCACAGACGTCGCCGAAGACGAATCTCCCAGGTTGGTAAATCCCAGCCTATAGGGTCTATATTCAATCCCAAGGACTGAGCAATAGCTAGCGTTGAGCTAGCCAAAGCCCACGCCGAAGGATTCTCTGCGGAAGCTGGATCAAAAGGGTCGAAGTTGAGGAGTAAAAGAGAAGTCTGGATTGTTGATAGCCGTGGGAAGTGCATCTCCTTCTGCACACAGGCATACGCGATGCGCCATAAGTCTTCCGAAGACGGTTTGGTATATCCGTTGTCAACGCAAAGAACATCGTCCCATGCAGTAAATTGTAGTGAAAGTGCGTATATGGCGGCAAGAAGCCCGACCGAGGCGTTTTTCACGAAGAATTTGATGTCTCGAAAGACGAAGGATCGAGAAAGAACCGGGAGGGCATGGAAGATGTACCGAAAATACCTTCGAACATTAGCAAGGGAATCCGGTATTGAGAGCACATGGTATATACAGCTTCACTAGTCCCACTCCCATCTCTGGACTCACGAGACTGTCGAGTTGGATTCTCGGTGCGTGCTTGCCTTGTTCGAACATGCACTTTTCGACCGCCTGCAAGGACTGAGATACGGTTTGGCTATGGTTCTGCAGAAAATAAACAGGCACGTCTCCAGCCGAGCTTCTCCTCTGGTGGCCATCAGGAGGAACCGTATGGTCGGACTCGGGACTAGCGGCCGTATTTGATGCCATTCTATAAATAAGCCTGAAGAACTTCACTTCGCCTGAATCGTCGTACGGGTAATTTCGCAGGAGGAATGGGTCAGACTCGCCCGAAAATCCAAAAATTTGAGATGAGAAGTCAGGTTTCTGATCGATGGTCAACTCTTCCGAGCCTCCAGGCTGGCTAGAATGTGACCTTGATGGACTGTTATCAGCAGTACTGAAACCATCAATAGGCAGTAGTTCCGAAATGGTTTCTCGTCCCAAGGTGTCAAGCATGCCCTGGAAATCTTCATTGTTGAACGTGGGCCAGTCAACGCCATCATCGCGAGGCCAGCCAGTTCCGATCAGGGGATTGTCTAGCAGTGATTCGTTAGGCATACCAGAGATGTCGGATAAAAAATGATCATCTGCACTGAGCTATTAGCAAAGCTTTTTTGTGGAGCTTAGTTCACTACCTGTGCCGAGGGGTCGTTGAGATTGACTTCCATCACTCTGAGATGGGGAAACAACGAAAGATGTTGTCTCTGCACCAGCAACAGTCGTACATGGGACTAGGTCACCTGCAGTAGATCCAAAGAGACCGTCAGATCGAGGGGATTGTGATAAGCCGAAATCCTTGGTTTTTTTCTTGCTGGGTTTACGGTTGGTCTTTTCCACAAATGTGCAAGATCGCCTGGTACGCTCGCAGAGTGTACATGGCTGAGATGGGTAGGGGATATTGCAATGAACTTTGCGAGACCGACACAAATCGCATGGCCTCTGTACTTTGGAGCGATACTTTCGTGCGTTCGTGACACGGTCAATTGTCGGGGTACTATTATCGAGATTGAAAGCGGTTTCACTCCTATCTTTGCTCATTTTACCTCGATAGTATCGTGAGTTCGAGAATTGACCGTGAGGGAGGGGATTGATAAGAAGAAGCCGATTGGTGGACAACCGGGGGCGGAAAACTCTTAAGCCGGTTTTCACATCCTCGTCTTACTTTGCCCTAAAACTCGAAGGAAGTAGACTATTTGAATCCTTGAATAAGTGTAGCCCTCTTGCCAATGAATTCGCTACATTTTCCCTTTAACTCGAGCTGCAACATTATTTAAAAGCTCGTGCCTGGTCAAGCATCATGCTGCTACACTATATGTCAACCATTCTTTACTCCTTTTCACAAGGTCTTTGATTTATTTATGTAGCTTCTGTCTCGTTCATCGTGTGCTTGATTCTTGATAAATATTTGAGACATTTGTTCACTTTCCTGTCTTACGCAAAGTCGCCTCGTTTCGCGCGGAGCTTGTCATATCCTAAAACAGCGCCTAACAAGACGTTGGCACCAAGAGCACTGGACTAGTCAGCCATGATCATAAGCAGATTTTTCCAGGGCTACAACTTACCAGTCTTCAGGAGAACAATACTCCACGGGGTTGTGGCTAATCCCATTCCGAGTCGGTGTGAAGATCATGCTCGTTGGGCACCGCCGATTTGTGTAGCAGCTATCGTGACCGGCACCACTGATCATATCCCGCCACTGCTTTCCCCCGGAAATTGGATCAGGGACATCTGCAAGAACAGTTTTGGCGCTTTCTTCAACCATGGAGATGCAATCCTTGTCAAAATGAACAGCGGGACTATCGACCAGTTCCTTCCATTCGACGGTGCAGCCTCGCTCGCTATCATCGGTTGCTATTCTCTTGAATTCAGCCATGCAGTCTGCAATCATATTTTCGAGATCTTCGTCAAATGTATGGCGGAGGTCGAGACTAAAATTGATTGTTTGAGCTACAGTGTTGACAGTCCCTGGCTCAGAGTGTATGATGCCCGTCGTAGCGAGACCGTTGGCCTTCTTTGCGATCGAGTTCGCTGTGGTGATCATTTTGGCGGCGCATAGCATGGCATCTTTACGCGCATACAGAGGAGTCGTGCCTGCGTGGCTATCCCTGCCACTGACAGTTATATCGAACCATTTAAACGCTTGAACACCTTGGAATGGTCAATTTTAATCGCCAATCAGTCGAGAGCTTCTGACCTTGCACAACACCGATCTTTCGGCCTTCGTCTTCCAATATTGGCCCTTGCTCAATGTGGAGCTCGAAGTGGGCAGCAAAAGGATTGGCCTTGAATGAAGCTGGCGTTTCTCCCACATAACCTATTCTATTGAGTTCCTCTTTCATGGTCTTGCGGGTTGTGTTATCACCAGCGGAAATTTCCTTCAGATTCCAAGCCGTAGTGAGAGGAATTGCCTCGGCCCAGACAGCAGCTGAGATAGCCATCACCGGGAAACGTGCTCCTTCTTCACTGTTGGGTACGGTATTAGCCAAGTGTTCAGTATGTTATCGGAGGAAACATACTTAGTCCAGTCAACAACTCCAATGCTTCCTTCTGTCTCGAACGAGTTCTCTTCTAGTACTTTCAGTACTTCTAAGCCGGCGACAACACCGAGGATACCATCGTATCGTCCTCCAGTGGGCTGCGTGTCTAGATGGGAACCCATCATGATGGGAGGGGCATCTTTATTCTTTCCGGGACGGATCGCAAAGAGATTGCCCATTTGGTCGACGTAGGTATGACACCCAATGGCTTTTGCAGACTCAATAAACCATTCCCTTACGTCTTTATCCGAGTCCGTTAGACTGAGCCTAGCCATTCCAGTTTCCGTGGAGTCACTGATAACAACACAATCAGCATAGGTCGAAAGCCGGAGAGTGAGTACCTTACTTTCCATACGGATGCGCAGAGCCATGTTGACAGCTTGTGTGTAGCGACTCAAGCAGTCGTGTCTGGTTCACCTTGAAAGGAGAAAGTTGTGATGATGCCATATTTTCGTGTATAAATATCAGTGTGTAACAACACGGAGCAGGTGTTGAGGAATGAGGAATGCGGTTAGAGTAGTTGAATTGGTCAGACGAGAGTCTATTTAAATTGTTCACAGGGTCTTGCTAACCAAGAGTATATAAATGGTCCCCGTTGGGGGAATCCATCGCCGTCGGCCGTCCTACCTTCGATATTGGGGGTTCAACGGCCGTCGGCCACCGATAACGCTCTCCTCTCCATTGTGGACAAACCCCGTATTTACATATTGCCCTGTCCTGTCTCGGACTTACAGCTTGATTGTTCTCTTTAAGCGAATCCTGTAGCCACATTTTTCCCGCATATGTCAATGCATGAGTAGTGGATGGATAATGCATCGATCATGCATGCTTATCTACTCCGTATTCCCTTGACTTCGCCGACGGCAATCTACCCGGTACAGCTTCAAAACCCTTGGCACCGCTCTCCACACCGCTCTATACAGTGTATTGTAAATTTATTAATTACAAGTTCAAAATATGAAGCCTTTGGGCTTAACATCCCGTGCTTTGATTAGTAAGACATAAGTAATGGCAATTCAGGTATTGAAATCTTCTGCCGCTCTAGAATAGGGGGGTTTGAACCCTGAGCGCTATGGGCCTTCGTAACCCGGGGTAACTGTCAAGCTCCTTCCTATTACAGTTAACTAGTTACAGCGTGGTTTACCGTTTAATCAACAGAATAATCAATCGTAACTAGTTACATATTGTTTCAGTTACATTTCCAAATAGGCAACGATCACAGATACCCAACATCCGAGGAACTCCGATATCAAACCGACCGATATAGAGCGAGCACCGAGTCCCGACACCGACTCCCGAGCAAGGAAGCTACCTCAACAGAGTGAGGTATTAATCGACACAGAATATGGAATCAAGTATCACACCGTCCGCTGAATAAAGACTTCAGAGATCTTCATCAAGATTTTGTTCGCCGTGGGTGTTTTATCCATTCCAACTGCCATGTACACCCTGGGAGCGGTCGGTGGATCGCTCAACGCTTACATTTTAGTAATCCTAAGCAACTTTCATCTCAGATATCGAGGGTGTCATAGCGTTCCTGATATGGCTCAGGTTGTGGGAGGGAGAAATACCAAGGAAATCGTCAGTTTGCGCTTCATCGTCGCATACGTGCTGTCGGCTAGAGCAGTGATTGATGGGATGTTAGTTGGTATCAACACCTTACCCTACCAAGCAGCATGCACAGGTCAGCCGTCGTTTTGACTACGGTAGCCTCGATCAGAAAGATCATTAAACGTTCAGGACCGACACCATCACCCAACGACTGATACTGGATGCATGTGTTTTTGTTTCCGTTTGATTCTTCTTTATGTTCAGAGAAACGTATGGAGTCGGCCTAAGATTAGAAATGCTTTTGTATAGGGAGCAATCAGTCTGCCCGAGAATAACCATACAATGAGCTGCGCTAATAGATCTAGAACATGCTTCTGCACGCGCCAACAACTCCAATTACGGAGGTTGAAGTCGGCTCTCTCGGGAGCTGAGAATTGATTAATTGCAAGATTGGTCACATGAATTCCTCGATCCCGAGTTTCTCTCTCTTCTTCTCTTGCTCGCTCCATATGTTTTGTATAGTAATTTGGGCATACTATGACACCATAACGCTCCATAGCACATTGACCAAGGAATCCCCTAACTACTCCGTACACACGTTTCTCAATTACATAACTCCATTTCAAATCTCAATAGTTGACTACAAGAATAGTCGGCCTCCTACTCCGTATGCCTCGTTGTCTTTTGCGGTATTCTTTTCGGCCGTCTTTTCAGATGTACATATTCCTCCCCCTTCTCGGTTTTGTAGCTAATAGTCTAGACCATATAGAGGACCTTTCTATGTTTATCCAGGCACTGGTAACTATCCATATTTCACTGACAAATTGACCCCAAATTGACCCCAAATTGCCGGATTGCATCATTTTCCCTGGTTATTTGCGGTGCTGAAAAGCTCCGCCATGAAGCACGCCGAGCACGTCATATTGCTCACATTTGGCTCTAGAGCAGCGAGTTTTCTCTTTTTAATTACCTGAAATGGTTAGCTTGCATAGAAAAGCCTTTCAAGTGGAACAATGTTTGGAGCTTGAGATTAAGGTGAACTCAGCCGACATTTCCTAGACCCCATATAAATCTCACGATGGCTTCAATTGCCAGGTATTATTGTTCCGCTCAGTTCTACCCCATTTCAGCTTGTGGTTTCAAGAGCCATGTCCGACATATCTCCCCCGTTATCACAAGGTGTAGGGTATGGAGTCGTGATTGGTGTTGGGTTGTCATTTGCAGCAGGTAGGACGTAAATACACAACTCTTCTTATGACTATGCTAAGAATAATGAAGGAATGATATTTGTCACCAAGGCATTGAAAAGTACAGTGGGCGAAGATAATTCGAATGCTGAAACGTATGTTTTTCCCCAAGCTTCTCATCTGACTCCTTTTTAATCCCAACTAGATTTATTGTTGCCAATCGGAGAGTCAGCACGGGTTTAGTTGCCTCGGCAGTTGTATCTGTATGTGAACAAATGCTTAACAATATTCAGTGCTAACCTACAATAGTCCTGGCTTTGGAGCACTGCATTGCTGAGTGCCGTATTGGTGGCCTATCAATACGGCGTAAGTGGCCCATTTTGGTATGGTGCTGGATGCTCACCTATGATCGTCTGTTTTGCGTATCTCGGCACTGTCTGTAAAAAGCGTGTGCCCAGCGCGCACACTGTTCTGGAAATCATCAAGATGCGATATGGTGAGGACTTTACGTGTCTGTCAGTGAAACATGAAAACTAACAATTTCAAGGCACTGTCGCTCACTTAAGCTTCACCTTTCTGGCTGTGGTGAATAATCTCTTTAACACCATCAACATGATTTTAGGTGCTTCAGTCGCCATTACATATTTGTAAGTCCGGTAACCGCGCTCGAAAACACTTGTGGTCAATCGGCTTACCATGAAAGAACTGGGATGCACATCATGGCATCCACTTTCCTGCTGCCAGTTGGTGTGGTCATTTATACCCTCACTGGAGGTATCAAAGCAACGTATGTCAGATTATTTTTCAAAATATGTCCACAGCACTAATAGGGTTTGCAGGTTTCTAACTGATTATATTCACACTTTCATTATTTTGATTCTGTGTTGTTATTTGACCACCAAAGCGTTGACCAGCGTGGAGGTCAAGTCGATTGGGGGTTTGTATGATCTTGTCATTGCAGCTCAGCCAAATCATCTCGTGGATGGAAATTACCAAGGCTCGCTTTTTACCATGACATCTCAACAGGGAATTTTTTTTGGAATCATTCTTTTGGTGTCAAACTTCGGAGCTGTCATTGTAAGTGCCTCCCCGAATTACTGACGGCTTGGTGCTAATTGGGAATAGATGGATACCGGATACTTCACTAAGGCATTTGCTGCGTCCCCAGAAGGTGTCGTTCCTGGATACGTGATTGGGGGTTTATCTTATTTCAGTATTCCTTGGGCTCTTGGAACTATTATGGGGATGGTTGCGTTGGGATTGGAGAGCACAAAGGCCTTCCCAACATATCCGAGAGTAAGTCCAGGCCATCGATTCTCGATATTTGATCTTGAAGCTAAGATATTTCGAGCCCATGACTAGTACTGAAGTCACGAATGGACTAGCTTTGCCTTACGCAGCCATCGCGGTAGCGGGCAAAGGTGGCGCAGTGGCTACTCTCCTGATGACTTTTATGGCTGTTACGTCTACACTGTCAGCACAGGTCATTGCTGTCTCTTCGATTGTGGCCTTTGATGGCTACCGCACCTACTTCAACAAGAATGCAAACAATCAAGAGATAATCTTCTGGAGTCGGGTGGGAGTGATTATATTCGGCCTTGTCGCGGCAGGCCTCACTGCAATGTTCCACTATGTTGGCATTGACATGGGCTGGACCCTTTACATGATTGGTAAGCTCAGGTACTTATATCAAGGATATACTCGATGTTTCTAACATAACTCGAAGGAGTGATCACCTGCCCCGGGATATTTCCCCTGATACTGTCGATTCTTTGGAGAAAGCAAAGCCGGATCGCGGTCATTGCGTCGGCGTATCTCGGTCTAGCCACGGGCCTCGCTGTCTGGCTCGGAACAGCGCATCATTTCTATGGTGCCGTTACAGTCTCTTCAACTGGACAGACATTGCCATGCATGTACGGCACAGTGGCATCTGCAGTTAGCCCGTTACTATACTCCGTGTTGATTACATTGATTGCACCGGAAGACTTCGACTGGAAGTCGATGAGCAATAACGACCTGGCTATCCATTCTGAGGGTGAAGTTACCGAGGTTACTAAAGAGAGAAATGAAACGGGCCAGCTTTCCGAGTCAAGCCAAAGGAGATGGTCACGATACGCGTTATTTTGGGCCGTTGCTACTTTCTTCGGCCACTGGGTTCTCTGGCCACTTCCGATGTATGGTGCTAGGTTTATATTCAGCAGAGGAGTAAGTGCACTATATTTTCTCAAGGGTGGACAATGTCACTGACAAGATTTAGTTCTTCATCGCCTGGGTTGTGGTTGCTGAAATTTGGCTCTGGATCACTTTGCTGACGGTTGGATTATATCCTTTGTGGGATGGACGCCGTCGGATTCTTTTCATCGCGCGGAGACTTGTTGGGCGTTTGGAAAATGCATAATTATTTGGTTGCCGATTGAGTGCTCACTGCTTAGCAGCATCATCAGTTTTATTCCGCATAATTAGTATAAGAATAAGTCGGATGCATTTACAGCCTATATCATTGAGAATGACATCCATGGATGGTTGCAGAGCGAAGCGACTGATGATCACATGATGGCCCATTAGAACGCTATTATTTCAGCCCTGGGAGAAACTTGGCCACGTGACACGTACGTAAGACCTTTTGATTTATACTTGCTTTGCTTCGTTTCGTTACGCAATTAATATTATTTCTTTGTATAACCACTACTATAAACGATGTACTGCGACACCGGACCTCGGGATGGTCACTGATCCGATTATCTAAAGTTGACCCACACCTGAGCACCTGCAGATAGCGGATCCCCCACCCCCCGAGCTTCATCATTTATCCTTCTACGTTTCCCTCTTATTCACTGCATTTGTACCCGTGGACTGCAGTGTAATGGAAGATGCAGCCGAGTCCCTGAGCCTGACACAAATGACCGACGCTGAACCTATCCCGACCGTAATGGAGAGCCCGGAGGACTCAAGCTCAGATGTTTCAAGCTCGGAAGAACATACACCTAGCGATACGGCAGATCTACCTCATATCGTGATCCAATTGATCCAGTGCCAACATTGCTCCCGCCCTTTCCGAACTCCGCTCCGCCTACCATGCGGGAATTCGATCTGTCGGGAATGTTTGCCCGCCCTTCGGCCCCGGACAGGTATTACGTACCCCGTGACTGAGGGGAGGAATCAGGAATTCACATGCCTTTGGAAAGGAAATAAGACGTGTGGTGGGGGCCATTGTGTTGCAGATTGTGGCGCTGATGTGCTGCTTGGGAAGCTGGTTGGCCTTTTTGGAGAAATACTGGGGTCGGAGGCAGACAACGTGCCTCTGGACTCGTCCGAGGATGACGGACCGTTACTGCGCTGGAAAACCGACGGGCGGAATAAGAACGGAAGTGGGCATTTGAAGCGACATGGGTGGTTGAGGGGAATCTATAGCCTGGCACTGGAAGGCCGGTTCCCGTCTGATGCATGCGAAGTCATCTATGGAGATTCCACAACGCCAGCCGGAAGCTCAGAAGTTCAGGATCTCATTCACTTCCAAAAGCTGCGAGACAGTCTCTGCGCCGAGTTAGACTGTCAGGTTTGCTATGCACTCCTTTTAGATCCGATGACGACGCCTTGTGGTCACACTTTTTGCCGAAAATGTGTCGCGCGGGTCTTAAACCATACAGATCTGTGTCCCATTTGTCGCCGAAAGCTAGGCATTCCGAATGATCTACAGTCAGAGCCCATAAACCAGCCTGTGGCACGGTTGGTCGAATACTTTTTCCCCGACCAGATCTCAGTCAGACGGGAGACCAGCGCCCAGGATGAGACAGGCGCGGATTACGCGAAGAGCTTGCCACTTTTTGTGTGCACGCTATCTTTCCCGACAATGCCCACTTTTCTCCATGTCTTCGAGCCCAGATATCGACTTATGATTCAGCGGGTTCTCGCAAGTGGAAATGGAAAGTTCGGCATGGTCATGCACAACCGGCAAGGCCGGGTACAGCCAGGTCAATTACATGACGCACCGTTTATGCAATACGGAACGCTATTGATGATCGAGCGATATGAGCTGCTTCCAGATGGTCGCAGTCTCGTGGTGGCTACAGGCGTATCGCGGTTCAAGATCGTCGACTCGGGAATGCTGGATGGCTATTATGTTGCCAAAACAGAGCGCGTAGATGACATCTCGCTCGCAGAGGAGGAGCGATGTGAGTCGTTGGAGACCTCAACAGGCGGTGTAAATGCTCTGTCAGAAGGGAATGAAGCTGATCCTCCGTTAGGCTCAATGCCAACTCAACAGCTACTCCTCTCAGCAAGAGAGTATATCACCAACCAGCGCAGATATGGGGCTCCTTGGCTGCACCCGCGCGTCATGCTAGCATATGGACCCATCCCTACAGATGCAGCCCGCTTCCCATGGTGGTTCGCAAGCATTTTGCCCATCTCCGAAGAAGAGAAATATCCCTTACTCGCCGCCACAAGTGTTCGAGAGAGACTGAAACTCTCAGCAAAATGGGCGAGACAACTTGAGGCTCGAGACTGGTAGGTTCAACATCTCTTCTCCCCATTAGATGCTATGCTGATATTTCCGATTAGGTCTACTCGCTCATCACTCTACTCTGTCTTATGACTATCCGTCCCTCTCCTCATCTTCTGCATCATCCCTTTAGCATTGCGGCCATTGTCGGGATTTTTCACGTCGATATCGCCGCAAGTATTCACGTCATTGACAATGTACTCTTTCTCTGTCTCCGTCTCGTTTGGTAGCTCCAAATTTTCGTTCCCCGGTCTTAGCTCGCAAATACCCAACGAACGTGATCAAACCAGCGACAGTGGCCAACAGAAGCAAAAAGACGAAACGTATGTCTCCCAGGGATTCGTGATTGGCGCCTTCCTGGCCATCTTCTTCGCCCAGGTTGGGGTTAACTTCCTGCATGCTGTTCGAGCCGGCAGACGCAGACGACGGTTTATGGAAATGCAGTTTCCGCAGCCCTTGCCCCAGCGGGATCAGGAGCAAGACCGTGCCTTCAATACAGATCCTGGGATCAATACGAATGCTAGAGAGGAAGGTGCACGAGATGATGCGGAGGGACGCCCCGTCACAGGAAACGCCCCTAGTGTTGGATAGGGGGATCCGACTTATTTGATATCTAGCATTCCCAACTTGGTACGAAAACTTATTTGGTACATCGCAAGCAATATACCCTCTTTTATTTACGATATTTATGTTTTATGTTTTCTTTTTCATTTATCATCTGGCATTTTATCCAAGACTGTACATAAAAGCCTTAATTGGGGCTGGATATATTCATATCCATGTCTTCTTGCACCCCAAGCTTTTTGACATCAGCGCCTGTTTAACATATGGATATACGACTCCATGAAACCCCTAGGCTACGGTTCTTACCGGTTACACCTTTCATTCTTATGGGATGGGTTACATAGCAACAAGCTTGGAATGAACACGGATGGATCGGGCCGACCCGCTCGAAAGTTTAGACTTTCGCATCTTAGCCCACGGATGGTAATTGTTAGTGTTAGAGAAGACTTCGTACCGAAGAATGCCGGAAGGCCGGCTGCACGTAGATCCACAGAGAGTACTACCCATTTTTGAAGTAATTCCTCTCCCGTTTTAGTCAATGTATAGCAGTTTGCAGATGTGAAGTCACGCGTTAGTGAATACCACGTAGGCGTGTACGACGTTGAAGGTGCGGGCTAATCCACGAATTGAAGAGATTTAAAGGCCTGGATAGGTACTAAGATCCCACCCTCTTTCTCTACTAACTTTGTAGATGATTGGGAGCGAATTGGTTGAATTAAGTAAGCGTTAATTTATGGCGCGTTTTGGGTGGGTCGACCGCAGTTCGTTTACCGTTGGATTAGTTACGACGTTGATTAGTACTAAGCTAACCTGTTTAAGTAATATGGGGGCCGAATTCTCGAATTGTATATTTTGTACAGGCTAGTTTTTCCAGTAGAGAGCTTTAATCAATTTCGATTAAAGTATACCACAGAAGATAGAATATTGTAATGAAGAAACAGGCCATACTAATTAGTGAGATTTTTCCTATTTGAGTGATCGTAGAGATATAGGGATTGGGTTGCTTGGCGAGAACCGGGTACTGTCTGGACACTATTTTAGACTATATCGGGTAAGGCGCCGTCTAGGTACCCGCTGGCACGTAAATTACTACGTGGTACTACTTACGTATCAGGTACTCCGGACACATCCATCCATGGGGCCACGGGGTGAACTGCGGACCCCCGGAAGAACTTCGGAATTCTGTAGGCTCCCAATATTGGGGGCCAATGGGATATATGCCCATGGTACGGCCATAATTTGTGTTTGTGCATTCTCCTTTTCCTCTCACCATGCATACGAACACTGTTTAGATCATATGGTCTATCTCAAGAATGCACATCGTTGACTACCTCGTGCTAAGATGCCGACATTTATGGCGCACTTCCCTCAAACGCAGTCTTATTGCGATTGCGTTTAGCTTTGCATTGACAATTTTCGTACTTTTACGTTGGCCAAGAGAGCAAGCTACTACAGCACAGCGCAGCCCAACAGTCTATGCTTCAAGGTATACTTGACCATCTAGACTGATAGGGCTTCTGGAGACATCCAGGCCTCGCTTCATATGGCAGTCTTCGTGCAATCGCTAACATACCCATCTCTTTGTAGTAGAAGAAATGCCTTTTATTTAGGATCTGGCGCTGCTGGTGATGGGAATGGCCTCGGTCAGCTTGTTTTGGAAACTTCGCAGGAGCCACTACCCATACCTTACGATCCATATCCCGAATATAACAGCGCTACATGGAACGACACGTGGAAAGGATCTTACCAGCAGTGTGTTGGTCCAAATGGTCTAGTCCTGGATCGTAGGAATGCGGAAACAGCTATGAAAGGGTTTCGTTGGAACCAGTCAGGTATGGAATGAGGACAAGCCTATGGTGGCATACAGTAATGCAGCGAGCACTGATAGCATGCTAGGTTTTCCGATGCCTATGTTTGGATCGTACGAGGCGTGGAAGCTTGATCGGAGTCTCTGCACCGACCGATATTCTCGGTATGCGCCGTACGGCTATGCAGACGAAACAGACGAAGCAGACGAAGACAACAAAGGCAACAATGTGAAGTGGCAGGATGTGAACTGGGCCACTTTGCAACAAGACTGCTTGCATCGCAATGAAAACCGTTATCAACCTTCGAAAATTGGCGAGAAGATGTGGACTCTTCACAAGGAGCATGATAAAAAAACAGATGAACATCGCTGGAGCGGAGAGAAGATGCAGACAGATCGAAACAACGCCTCTGCTATTCTCAAATCACGCACCGCGGTAGTCCTGCGTACATGGCTCGGCAGGGAATACACGGAAGATGATTTTTATTATATCCGGTCGATGATAATGGAGCTATCACTCTTATCCGGTGCAGAATATGAGGTTGTCCTTTTGGTTGATGCAAAAGATATTGATTTGCCTCACCCAGCCGATACGGTAGGCTTGGACAGTCTGAAAAAGTCGCTTCCGCGGGAGCTCCAGGATTTGGCAGTATTTTTCAACGCAGAGATACTAAGAGACTGGTACCCGAAGATCGACGTTCACGAGTAAGATCGCATTCTAGCTCTCTTCTATACTGCTTCAGGCGAATTTCGAAATGTTAATAATTTCTAGGGCCATACTTCAATACTTTCAGCCAATGCAGATTTTCTCGCGGGTGAATCCACAGTACGACTTCTTCTGGCAGTTTGAAATGGATTCGCGTTATACCGGACATTTCTATAACTTTCTCGAGCAGGCAGCAGATTTTGCAAGACAACAGCCTCGTAAGAATCTGTGGGAGCGTAACTCATACTTTTATATACCTGCTGTCCACGGGAGCTGGGATAACTTCATCGATCAGGTAGACCAGAGCATGATAGGTCTTGATAGTATCTGGGGATCACGGCCTGCACAAGGTATCGAGGTTGGAAATGAAGCACCTGAGCCGGTGCACTCGGACTTCAACTCAGACTCGAATGATGATGATTTTTGGAGCTGGGGCGTAGGTGAGGAAGCCGACGTGATCACCTGGCTGCCTCAATTTGACCCTCAGCATACCGACTGGCCCTTTGCTGACCGGGTATATAACTTTCGTCAAAAGGGACGTACTCCGCGCCGGGCATCAGTTGTCGCTATGTCCCGCGTCTCGGCCCGATTACTCCGGCTGATGCATGCGGATAAAATCGAAAAAGGTCTAGGATTAGCATCTGAAATGTCCCCCACATCCTGGGCTCTTTATTATGGGTTGAAGGCAGTTCAGGTTCCTCAGCCCATTTACCATGCGCACGAAACAAATCCGATTGAGCTCAATCTCAGAGCTAATTCAGGCAAGCCTGGCAAGATCAGCGCTGGGCGGGATAGTATCTGGAGCTGGAACCAGCACAATGACATTCTGATGAAAATGTCTTACATGTTTGGGTCTCAATTCCCTGAAAAGATTTATCGAGCCTGGTTAGGTTACGATGATGCAGAGAAAGTGAGTTTGCTGGCCCTTTGACTTTCCGTTGATATTCGCTAATAGTATTCGGAAGGGGGGACGTCATCGCCTTTGCTTGCCTCCGATGTTCTTACACCCGGTGAAGAATACAAAAAGATAGTTGGCCCTCATTTTGAGGCACCAGATCTTAAACAAGAAAGATCACATTCAACTAAATAATGAAGATGGAGAAAGAAAGAAGAAGCAAATTGTAAAGTGGGAAGCAGCCAGTTGATATAGCTAATCACTTTGCAAACGTTGCAAACATCAAATCTTCTCGCTTAGATATCTAGCAAACAATCTAATATAGTAAACAATGCAAACAATGAGCAAGCAAGCAAACGAACAAACATGAAGCATATGATAGCAATCTATCGTAGATCGATATTAAGTATTCGACCTGATGACGATTCGAATTTTGTCCAGCGCTATCTCTTGATTTAGATTATACACATACAGAATGATCAAGAGGATAAAAACAGCTTTTATCTGAAAGTTGATGTACAAGGAAAATCGAGCATTACGAACCCCCTCGCTGCTTCACAGCATCATGTTCCGCGCGCAAAGCTTCTGCATCGTTCATCTCAAACTCGAAATTCCAAAGCTTCTCTACAACTGTCAACTCAGCCTTTGACTTGATTTTGACGTGTGATGAGATATCGTTGTCAACACCCTTAGAGCTCTTCCGCCCAACATGCTGTACAATGCTTGGCGTCACTGCCCAGCGAATCTCATTTCTCGCATTTGCATATTCCTCGGTGAGCACGTCGACGTATCCGATATGCTTGGATGTGTATAGCCCGACAAGCTCCGGTATCCGTGACTGGGGGAAGACAAAGGCTTGCGAACAACATCCAAATCTGGGCATTTGATGCACGCCGTTTGCTCGAGGGAGCATCGTCACACGGCCCATGGCAAAAAAGAGCCCAATCAACAATGGTGTGAATATACCACTCCAAATAATTATTGTCATATTCGGTAGAAAGGAACGGGCATGGTGATTGAATTGTCGGAGGACCAGGGGGACGCAGGCCACGAAGCAGACGACAAGGATGGAAAAGAAAAGGTATGTAAGCCATTCTTCACCGTTCCAACCAAAATATTCTTCGGTGTAAAAAAGGCGCAGGTATAGCCCTGGGTAAGAAAACTGTCAGCAAGGAAATTTAAGGAGTTCCATAATGGCTGTAAAACTCACAATTCGCCGCTCCCATTTCTCGAGTCTGTTCTTCCGCAGAGGACAAAGCAGCTTTAGTGCGATGATACCAGCCATCTAAAGCAACGAGATCATCTTCAAGCATAATGACGTACGGCGTGTCGATGTTTGCACATGCGTTTAACAGATATGTGTAGTCAAAGAGAGCCTTCTCACGGCCTGCTATTTTGGCCTCATTTGTTTCTAGAGAGCGTATATGATCAATGTCGATTTCGGAGGCGTTGTAAAGCAACACTTCATCCGCTAGTTTGTACAACCACGGCTCTGCATACGCAGGATGTTGTGACGGATCCGTGTGCGCGATGAATAGAATCAAGTGAATGTCTGCCCTTTCTTCCTCACTCAGGCCCTCAAGGAATGTGCCTACAGTAGCTTGGAAATAGCTGGCCCCCTTTCGCGCAATGGTGGCAATTCCCAGGCAAAATTTAGGTTGCCGTGGAACTCTTTGTATCTGCGACTCTGTAGCATTGTTCGCTTTATCAATGAAAGAAGCTGCCTGCTCAAGCCTGATAGCTGAATAGACAGGATCATAGGCCTTTGTTGGATCGAAAAATATTGAGGACGGGTCACGGGAAGACTGTCTGCGTGCGGCCATGATGAGTAAAACATAGAAGAACAGAAAGAAAAGAAAAGTCCGCAGCACCTGGACCGAGCTGATTGCTGAAAGTCCCGAAGTGGGAACTAGGCGGTTCAAAAGCATTGTGAAAGGCGACAATGAAAGTAAGCAAGATCCAGGTCCCACGCTGGCAGAAGATACTTCCAGCCTAGAAAGAAGTTGATAAGCATAGTGTGATTGGAAGATCTCCTTGGAGGGATCTCAGCAAAGCCCGGGGCCAAATGATAGACTCCACTGCACGGGGTGGCCCTAATGTATACAATGCGCCCACCTACCAACTGATACATACGGTCTCAATACACCTCTTTCCGAGTTGGGCCGCAGGGTTTAATGCAAAAAAAATTAGCTTAGTTACAAATCTGTACGGAGTAGAATAAGTACCTTTTGTGGTATTGCCTTTTGTATGGTATTGCCATACAAATGGTACCTTTTCTCGACATTTCCCACAACTTATATTTCTGAACTACGTTTCTGAGCCAGGACAACCGGGGATAGACGTAGGCTCATACTATCAGAATCATATTGTTTATAGGTTGGTGTACAAATAATGGTCCTTGAAACTGCGGTTTTTCGATTCTCTACTTTAATAACAACTCTGGACCATTTTCCATGATACCGTGTTTTTTTCCCTTGAAAAGAAAGAAAAATTATATTCTCATTATTATTATTATTTTCTTTTGGGAATATTCCTCTTTAGGCCAAGGCAGAAAGGTCCAAGTTAGAACACAAACCTACTTACTCCGGAGCCCGTACGCACGGAGTATAAGAAACAGTCTAACCACCCAGATTTTGTAACTAGCTCATAAATAGCGTGTTACTTGATTCGTTATTTTTACACACTCAAATTGATTTATTATCTACAATGGGCCTCTTAACTTTCAATTTGATATAGTAAAGGCCCCGGAGCACTATTGGCTACCTAGCATCTAGCATCTAGCATCTAGCTGGTATGCTATGAATCAAAAGAGAGGAATGCCAAATAATTTAATAGTTACTAGTTAAGAACTAAGATTACTAAGATTACTAAGAACTAAGATCAATTAGGGAAATTAAGGCAGATCTCTGCGCCACTGGAAAAGTAGATGAATCCGTTCTACGGAGTGCTGAATACGAGGGATCTGGACGGCCTACGGCCGCCCGATAGTCGCTGCAGAGCAAAACGACTGATTCTAACTTCTAATGCTACGCAAAGTGTGACTGTAGAAGCTCTGGGGAAGACAATGATGGTTCATTCTCTAGTCTATTTATTCTGCCGGTGGGGTTATTCTGCCAAAGTTCGCCGAGCTACTTCTTCACCGCATGAAAACTACTGATCTTGGAGCCCATAGGACAAACCATCTGGACACGTGACATGCATACACGAGGTTATGATTTAATTGCTACGCTTCGCTCCGCAATGAACAGAATAAAAGTACGGAGTAGTGGATCTTGATGGACAAACTTCGGGCACCGGTGAATCGGAAAGCCACGGCGAAAAAGAGAAAAAAGGGGGCCAAGCCATATGTATATACAGAAGCTAAGGTAAGAGATGGTATCTACGGTCTGGGCTGGGCCGGGCATCGCTTTCCAGATGAACCACAGGGTCCAAAAGGGGGGGGCTTGGTGCCTGACTGCCTTATTTTGGAGCGGCAGAAAATTGAAAGATCTGAATTGACCATAACAACGCCATCGTCGAAAACATTAATGCCTTCGAAAATGGACATCAAATGTGACACAACGCCTAGAATTCCCTTATTTCTCGGCATTGAAGCCTTCTGGGACGGAAAGCTTCATATTTTTAACTTGTAATTAAAATTTATAATACATCGTTCAGGGCGGTGTGAACAGCGGTGCTAATTCACGCATTTAAGCCTCAAGAATCCCCTATAAGGGCGATCTCCGGATCTACCCGATTTGCCTATTTTGGCTATTGACAGATTTCTCGCTACATATGCGCTATTGTGCCCATCCTGACAGGCACATTTGGCCGTAATATACTATGGTGTATTGTGAGAAGTACTATTTGCATGACTAAACTACCTCAGATAACTAAGGCCATTTGGACATCTGCCCGTCAGCCCATGTGTACAAAGTAGCCTACGCTAACTAGCTCAATATTGAGGCCTGGTAGCAGTATTCTGTACTGATTCTGGACTTACGCATTTGGTTAGGGGAAGGCCGCACTATGGAGTCTATCGTTAAAAATATAGTTCTTTTGTCACATACCGCCCGCTTTTCGCAATTACACTCAAATAGAGGTGGTATTTTGCATATAAAATATGTCTCTTCTTCCTAATTGGCTATGCTTCCTTTTTTCCAAAATAGCCACCGCCACTTTCATTACGAGTCTCTCCAAGCTGCAACCTGGATATTTGGGGACTAAAAGAAGAGCTATAATAGTGCCATAAGTAGGTTTTCGCGCGGCTCGAAGCTTTTCCAGGGCAGGTTATGTTTCTCAAAACTACCCTCATCCTAGTTCAATATTTTGAGAATAGACCTACTTACGGCGACACGATTTAGCGTTAGCTTAGCAAGAGCTGCGATGAAAACGAAACGAAAGAGCATAGTTGCACACTGGTACACGCTGGTACATTAGCAAACGCTCTGACACCATCACATGTTATCCCTCCCCAGGAATACTGGTTTGGTTTACAATATTCGAGCTCGGATTTTTTCCGAACGTTTATTGGGATTTACAGCTATCCCGTACACTGTGGGGTTAGCGGACATTGACATGACCGCATCCTTCTTAGGGAAACGTGCAAAGAACAACTTAGGACTCATAATTGAGTTAATATCAGGGAAGGTTAGGAGCCACAGAGTGCCCACATTCTACGGAGCAGCCGTCCTAGATCCATGGCCTTTGCCAGATGCCAAATCCCTACTCTTGTTAGACTATGTTGTAGAAAACTACGGCTACTAGTCATGTGCCCCGGGAGTACTGCCTACAGAGAGCGGACCTATATGGGGTATGAGACTTCAATATACCTCTAATATGTATCTGATGTGTGTCCAAGTCACAAACTGTGATCTAGTTGGCCCCATATATGGGTTATGGCAGGGTCTCCATATCTGTCATGTACAGTCACCGCTTGACCGTTAAATCAACCGAGAGCGATTAGCCTGGAATATCAGCTCATTCATAATGCAGGGATCTTTATCATCCTAGGTGTATTCGTGGCTTAATACTTCAATCCACCTCTGACTCAGTCCCACCATATCCTTAATTTGAATTATATTGAAGTGCACGCAATAAAGCGTCGAATAACCTCATGGTTCTTGTTGAGTTCTGACCCTCTTGCTGCCTTTGGGGCTTTGGGGACATCTAATAGTGATAGAAAGAGGTCGTAATGAGGTCAATCTTGCTAACTTAAAATCAATATTCTAAAATATTTGCAATGGTGATGCTAGCAGTGCTCCACAGCATACTTGTCAAATGGCTACTATACCATCAGTCTGGATACTTCGCGTTGGCGCTTTCTCCAAATCGGAAGCAACTCTCATGTCGACTCATTTACGAAAATCCTCGGCGACATGAATGTATTAATGGGCAGAGAATTAATGGATATAAAAGGGCTTCAGAATCCTGCTATAACCTATGAAAATTTCCTCCATGTCAGAAAACGTCCTCTTCCTTGACAGCCTTTTGGAACTTATTTTGCAACACTTTTCTCCTTCACCATGAAGATTCCCACTTCTATAACTTTTGTTATCATCCTGGCCTTTGTCCAAGCTGCTCCATTGGCCCCCAAAGAACCCCGCTTGGAAGCACGAGCTTCCATTAACGACTGCGGATCCTCAACCTTCATCAATCAAAGCAGTGGTGGTTCTCCCCTCGTAGCTGACTGCCAGGTACTTGTCAAAAACATTGCTGGCGGTGGTACCTGGACAGTCCCTGCCGTGGGCAGGCAGCATCAGCTGGCTCAGTATGGCACCTGTGCTTTTGGTATTCAAGGCGGCCAGGTCTTGAATATCGCCTATGTTGGCAATCAGGACATTATTTACGTCATCAACTCTTCTATCGCCAAGTTCAAGTGGAAAGGAAAAATTGGTGCGAAGGGTACAATGTCTTGTCAGACCCCGACTAAAGCGACGGGCAACACCCCGATGACTTGGGCAATTTATCACACCTAAGCTCTAGTTATAACGATCCAATCGATGGTGGGACAATGGATTAGTTTCATTGGGATTTCTTATATCATTTTTACAGAGAAGGACGCTAAAATTCTTTTATTGGGCTCTTATAATTTATGATTTGGAAAGCAAGCTGCTACAGTATTTGCTTTTCAGGCGATGCAATGCCTCGCTCCAATGTAATTACTTCATGGTTCTGTCTATAGTAGACTAGAGTCCCTTGTTGGTCCCTCTTAAATGTCTATATGAATCAATGTTTTATGTTGAGATACGATTATTGCAAGTTTCCGTTGGTTTATATTCGTTCTTCTAGTTAATCTCAAAGAGACATTAACATACAACATAATTCTAGTAGCCACTAGTTGTGCGGCTTTTCTCTTATCTGCCTGTTTCTCATACCTAGCTAACGTATTTCACATAAGTGGTCCAGCTCTAAACGCATAGTAAATTCGACATGTGTTACATTTATATCTCAAATGTCACGATCAAGGATAGATATCATATGCTTCATATTTGCTTGCTCGCTTGTTCGCATTCTATAGTAAACTAGATTGTTTGTTAGATCACTGAGCGAGAAGGCTGGTTGTTTGCAACGTTTATGAAGTGGCCAGCTGATATCAACTGGCTGCTTCCACTTTGCAACTTAGTTCTTTTTCTTTCTCCATCTTAGTTATTTAGTCGAATGAACTCCTTTTTCTTCTTCAAGATGGATCTGGCACCTCACAGACTGACTGTGAAGATTATCTGTAGACTAGGTAATATACCCTTGCATAGATCTGTCTTTTCTGTGTTGACTGCACATCTCTGATACTTGTAGTCATAGTGAGCTGGCAGAATTTAAATGGCGGTGAACTCCGGCAATATTTCTGTACAAGCTTATGTAATCCCTAGCGCGCACCTGGGCAGGGTCGTTTGCCTAAAGGCGGTCTAAATTCAGGCCAAATTTCAGACATTCAGGCTTCAATCAGGTCAAAACGAGCCTGCGCGCTATGCCGCATGTGTTTGTCCGCGTCTTCTCACTCGATCGAATCTCGAACAGCCAACAGCGCGCCATGAGCGCCATGCGATACGTAAATTGATATCTACACATCATTTCTAGGCTGAACACATTTGATAGCCACCAAGAGGCGCAGCCATGACGTCGCTCTCATTGTCGTTAGGCCCGTTAGCCTTGGTCCGGCTCCACGACGCCTTAATATGCCTGTCCAAATTCAGCGAAACAGTCGCCATCGAAGCAGAGCCTGATATCGTAAGTTATCTTTCTTAACTTGGGGTGTTTAGTTCAGTTCAAGGTTTAGAAGCCAGCAGATGAAATGTTCTGGCTAACCGTGCTCCAGCTCCGCCTCAGTGCGCTCAATTCTACCAAGACGGGGTTTGCCTCCTTCGCGTTCGAGAAGGGGGTATTCTTTGAGGCGTATTCTTTCAATTCCAGCAGTAATGGCAGAAGTGGCAGTGTTTCGCTGGACCGATTCTTCTGCCAGATCTATAACAAAGTGAGTATAGACTTTTTTATCCTTGGAGCTGTACCATACCGCATATTTACCGTGGTTATCTTCCTTACTTTATGCTGATATAGAATACAGGCACTTCTCTCCATATTTCGTGGGAAAACTGACAGAAACAAGGACACAGCCGTTGAACGCTGTGACATGGAATTGCATGAAGATCTACAGCAAGCCGAGTGTAGACTGACAGTGAAAATGATCTGTGGACTAGGTAAGATACCCTTGCATATATCCATCTTTTGGCTTCACTGCACATCTCTGACAATTTATCTAGGCGTGATCAAGTCATATAAATTGACTTACGAACCAGCGGCAATTCAGCACGCCATCTTCGACAAATCCAGAGCTACCAGCATGTGGACAGCTGATCCACGGTTCCTCAAGCAGCTCATTGAGCACTTCAGCTTATCTGCCGAGCAGCTGGACATGTACTCCGATTCCGGCAGAGCGGTGTTCACGAGTTTTACAACAAAGATCACCGAAGGCAAGGGTATGTCGAGTTCGCCTCCATCAAATCTCCAATGTCTAGTTAACTAACAACCCAAACAGAAGTACTAAAACACCCTGTCCACACATCCGTAGCAGCAGACACGCGCGACTTCCAAGAGTACTTGGTCGAAGAGAACATGCACGTCGCGATCAACCTGAAAGACTTCAAAGCCGTAGTTGCGCACGCCGAAACGGCAAACGCCAGCGTAACAGCACGGTACACCCGACCCTGCAAGCCTCTGCAGCTGGAGTACGGATTTGAAGGCATCAACGCAGAATTCACAGTCATGACCCGCGGCCAGGCAGATAGCGAAGACGCCCCGACGTCAACACGAGCGTCAATCCCACGGCAAACGCCCGTGCCTATCCCAATCTCAGCGAGCAGGTCGCGTGATACTCGCCCATCGGTGACGACAAATACGCAGATGCCCCCACCGCCACCGCGAACCAGATCCATCCGTCCTCTCAATGGGTCGTCTACGCAGGAGAATCTGAGCCAGAGGGCTAGCGCAGATCGGCCGGCGGCGTCTGGGCTTTCGATGGAATTCGATAGCCTTTTCGTGCCTGCTGATGATGACCGGCAGTGGGATGAGATGAAGGACGAAGAGGAGCCGCAGGATATTCTTGGATGGGATGCGTCGGGAACACAGGTATGTGGTTTTCTTTCTTCCCCAGTGGGTATAGTGGGTGGCTAAACAAACGCGCAGGACGCATTCGGGGCAACTATTCGCGATGCGGAGCCTGCCTTGTTGAGAGAGGATGAGCCAAACGATGATACGGGTCTCCCGCCAACACAACGTTTTTCTCAGGTATGTGAATTCTGGCTCTTGCGACACTTTGATAGGCGTATGCTGATAGTTGATAGGTTCGCCAATATGGTTTCTTCGACTGAGCACACACACCCTGTCAGGGGCAGTGCAGTTGTCAACAACCTTTGACGCTCCCAAATTCCGGCGATCATGTCACAATAATCCAGCTAGTTGCACATCCCGCTCCAACTCCGACAACCTTCCCATCCACTCCTACGGCTTCGGGGAGCGGAATCACATTATATGTCCCCGACACATTCCCTTGTGAATCTGTATCGGGTCCACAGTTCCCATGCTCACCCCATCCAAACGCCGCCACTCGACCATCTCCTAGGAGAGCAAGGACATGCTCACTACCAACAGCGAGTCTAACAGGAGTCGGAAGATCCGGGGGCGGAAGTTGACCTCGATCATTGCGCCCCCAAGCAACGATGGAACCACCGACAGAGACAGAATCAGAATCAGAATCAAATCGAGACTTGGTGCATAACGCCCCGTCCGTTATCGACGGTTCCATCCGTCCCAGCCCAGGCGCAGCATGTACATAAACCCCATGCCAACTAGCCGCAATACCAGTATATCGATAACGAATAGCACCTTCACAATGCCCTTCCTCATCCTCACCCCGTAAATGATCCCCCAAACCTCCATCCACACGCAAAGACAAACTTTCCGGAATCCGCAATACCCCCCACCGATTCTCCCTATCCCCAAGAACAACGAACCGCCCGCGCCCCGAAACAACCGTAAACTCCCTCCCACAAGCAACAGCCTCCGCAAAAAACGGCACGCAAATCCTCACAGGCGAATAAGCAATCCTAGCCCCGCGGTTCTCCTCCCCAAGCTGGCCCTTCCGCGCCGCGCCCCAGCCATAAACATCCCCATTCGAGAGCACAGCTGCCGAATGCGCCATCCCGCTCGCCAGCGCTGTGATCCTCAACCCCGCTGGTGGGAACGAGGGGATACAGATACCTGGGACTGGGGCGGGGGTGTCTGGACCAACACCCAGTTCCCCTTTGGGCGAGGAGCCAAATACAAAGACTCGATCTTCTGTATCTGGATTTGGATTGCGGCCGTAGACGACGTTATAGTTATTGTTATTGTTATTGCTGCCGCGTCGTGGCATGGACGCTACAGCAATCGTGCCCTCCCACGTCGCGGAAACATGTTTAAACTTGGATACTTCTGTGTCGGAGACTGCGTCTGGGATGATCAGTTGACGGAAGCGCAGGATGTTTCCATTGTTGTCGGACTCGGGCTCTTTCGGGTTTTTGGTTGCTTTGTGCGGCCCGCACCGTCCGTCTGCGTTGCAGCCGGCGGCGTAGATGGAGCCGTTGGTTGTTAGGAGCAGGGTGTGGTTTCCGCCTGCTGCGATGGTGATGATTTCTGATCCATCGGGGAGATTGGTGTTTTGTGGTGGCTCTGGCTGCTCGAAGAGACATTGCGTTGGTGTGGAGACGTCTTCTTCGTGGCCGATGCCTAGTTGGCCTGATCCATTAGAGCCGAAGGCGAAGAGTCTCATGGTTCTTTCTTTTCTTTTCTCTTCTTTTCTCTTTGGGTTTTATGTTTAGGGTATCATCGGATTTAATTAAGTGTGCGGTTCGGTTCATATACATCCATCGATGTCTCAGGTGGAGGAGAATATGATGTTAGTCAGCCACTCTGCCTCAGGCATCTCTCCAAGATTGTTGACTACAATGAACGGTCTTCAAAAATAAGATGTACAGCAATAAGTCCAAAAGTGGTATAAATATCTAAATAATCGAATGTCTCGCTTGCGTCAAGCAAAAGTCATGCAATTCATATAGCGAGCATAAAGGTAAAAAGCGACTTGGTGTATATGCATGGTTCTTTGAGAAAAAATTGAAATTTTGAAAAAGGGGGAATTATCATAGCTAGCTTTAGAAAGAAAAAGGTATCATGGTCACATCACAGGCAATAACCTGAGGACCGAGCAAACTAGCCGCTTAATGCTTCTCATGAATGCTTCTCATGGGTGGAAGCATCCGAGGACTCACTCTCCGCAGCGGGAGGCAAGGCGAAGGTATCCTGTTTGGAAGACACATTCTTCTCCATGCCCTTGAACATAGGGCTAGTGCGGTGGAAGTATGTGTGCACGTGGCCCTCGAGAAGCGATTCATCAGTGTCATGCTCGTGGGCCTGCTTCTCGGCGACCTTGGCAGCCATGGCGGTCTCCCACTCGACGCGGTACTCCTTGACCTTCTGTTGGTAGTCAAGTTCGGCATCGTAGTAGCGGGACTTGCGCAGGACGTAGCGCTCGTACCATGACAGGTGCTTGGGGTGCACGGCAGGACCGTGGTACTCATGCTCGCGACCCTCGCGGAGACATTGCCAGCGGCGCTCCTGCTCCTTCAGGTCCAGACCGGTGGTATCGGGAAGGAACAGCGCGGTGATCAGAGCACCACCGAGACCAAACCAGGGCACGACGTAGAACTTGGTCTGGGTATCGATGTAGTTGTACAGGACGGCGGCCAGAAGGGCACCGGCCTTACCCCAGGCAGCGGACATACCGTGGGCGGAGGCACGAATGGGTGTGGGGAAGACCTCGGCAGCGACAAGGAAGGAGACGGAATTGGGACCGAACTGGTTGAAGAAAGAGCTCAGGAAGTACATAGCCTGGAAGGCCTTGATGTTCTCGGGGCGGCGGTAGTAGTCGAAGTGGAAAGCAGGGACGACGAAGAGGACGAAGCAGAGCATGAAACCAACGATCTGCATCCATTTGCGACCGTACAGCTTGTTGTCGATCAGGAAAGAGGCCATGTAGTATCCGCACAGAGAGACGCCGACATTGACCAAGTTCCACAGCCAGGTAGGCATGACAGAGCTAGTTTCGGGACTGATAACCTTGATGAACTCGCTTTGGAAGAGCTTGTTGCCGTAGAAGAAAACATCGTTGGCGAACCAGCCGCCAGCAGTGGCGAACATGCGGAATCCGAAGTACTTGAAGGTCAGCTTCAGAGACTGGGCATCATAACCGGTGACGGAGGCCTTCTTCTTGGCAGCAGTAAGTTGCTTGCTAGCAGCCTTCATGTGGTAGGCACGGTAGTACACAAGCCACAAAGTACCGACGGCGGGAATGGCGAAGGAAACACGGTAGGTCCACTGAACAGCGACGGTGGAGTAAGGGTTGTTACCACTGCCGTGGTGGAAGCAGAGCAGGAGAATGATAAGCACAACCTGGTTGAAGAACTGACCCCAACCCTGCATCAGGAAGGCACTGGTGACCTTGCGGCCACGGTGCAGACGATCTTCTTTGGTGGAAACCTTTCCAGAGCCGACGGCGTTCTCCATACCGGCGGTGGCGGTCATGGGATACTCGCCTCCAACACCGATACCGTAGACGAAGAGACACCAAGCGTAACAGATGATCCAGCCATTCTGGGTCACACCCCAGGCGGCAGTCAACATGATAAGACCGAGAAGCATGATCACGGCGTCTTGGATCAAACCCCATCGACGGCCGAGCCTAGTCGTGCGTTAATACGGTCTCCTTCCCACGAGGAGTCCAATTGTAGCTTACCAGTCACCCAAGACTCCAACCAGGATCTGACCCACGATGATACCGATGATCTCGAGGTAGTCAATGGCGTAGATCCACCCTTGACTGCAGGTTTTGGCGTGTTTCCAGCAATCAGGGAAGGCAGATTGGAACAGCGGCTTGATGTTGCCGATAGAGAAGAGCACGTAACCCTCGAGGCCGAGACCAGCACCAGGCAGGACCATGTTGCGGAAGTACCAGGAGACGGGCGAGAGAGGGTCTTTCTTCATCATAGCCCAAATGCCACCCAGCTCTCGCTTTGCCTCCATGTTGTTGTACGAGGTGACGAATGTGATTTTCTTCCACAATGGGAGATCGGCCCAGTAGACACCCTCGGGGGTGTAACTGTCGTCGGGGCGAATGAGAGAATCGAAAGCACCCTTCTCATGGATATCCATATCCTCCAGCGGGTTATGGTCTCCCGACATGTCGGGCCCATGAGGGGCACGAGGACCAAAGTCGGTCATCGTAGGAGTGTACTGAGATGTGTCGCGTGAGCAAGAACCTTGCTTGATGTAAGCTTCAACTCGGGGGAGGGAAGCGTCGAAGTGACCACAATGGTTGGGGAAGGTGAGTGACTTCAACCCAGAAAGGCGGCGATTGACTTCTTAAGTATGGAAAAGGATGGAGGAAGAAGGAGTGAGAAGTGAGCGAACCGGAGCGTGGACGACATGCAACGGCACAATTCAGTGGCGTCTCCACCTCAAACTCAGAAAAAATTGGCAAAAAAGAAAAAAAGTCTTGGAAAGTCAGAAGGTAGGAACCACTCTATCTCGGGGTCAGGGCCCTCCGGGGCCCTGTCTCGGTGCGGTTATGGGTCTACTCTTGCTGGATTTGGCTCCGGAAGCAGATTTTCGACTTGAAGTGGGGCGGAGTGGGCCCGGTGGGTCTGATATGGGGCAGCCGGAGACCAATCAAACGCGCACGTGGGGGCAGAATCCCAACTCTGCTTGCCACCGCCTGCGGTTCAAGGCAGATCTTCCCAAACTTTCGCGGGGCCGATAAATTCTGTTCACCGTTTGAGTTAGATGTTTAATAAATAATTACTCCTACATACATGTACGGAGTATCTACAATTAGGCTGTTATATGCAGAAGCATCGACAATGGACAGGATCTATATAGACTGCATCCTTAGCTAAACCTCACCTCACGCCAAGGCAATGCCAATGCAATTGGATGCCTCGGGCCAAGTGGCAACCTCCAAACACCTAGTCCCGGAGCCGGAGGTCATCTCGGTTCCAAGCAGAATAACATTCACGCTTTGACACACGTGCAGCCTTTCTGAGGCCATTGTCCAATATCTACGCCGCCTCGTAGCGAACAAGCAATCTCTCTCCCATTAATCTCTTCCATATGGAACCCCAAGTCCCAAAACGGGCCGCATCTGGACCATTTAATATTGACGTAGTGGCTGAGGCAGTTCCACGCTAGTTGGGAACCCCGACATCGTCCATGCATGATCTGTGGCCAATCAGCGGGCCGCATTGGAACATGTGCAACCCCATTTTACGCACCTTCCCTCGAAATCTGAACTTACCTCCAACACGTGTTGGCGCGTTGCATGTCACTGTTGTGCTACATTCCGATCTAGCCGGGGTATCTACTCGATGATATCGATTAGATTAACATCAATGCGAGTTGCCACGCGAAATCCGCGTCTATCAATACTAGGATTGTATACTTTCGACCGATTTGGGACCACGAACGCATCTGAAATCGAGACATGCGAGCATCTACATGTCAAGACTTCCTAGGCTCTTGGCTAAAGCTTGCTCTTGTCGCTCGCATCATCCCAAGAAATTCCAAGACCACCAAGCAATAAAAGGCGTCCCGGCGAGGCGTCGCCAAGTGAGCTTCTACAAGGCTTGGTCGGCCACGGGTTGAATTTGATAATAACACGCACGTGCTCGCATTTCGCGTGGTCAGTTGCCAGCGCTAAACATGTCAACCTTGGAATTCACGCGTGGTTTGATGTGGTTAGATGTCTCGGTCAACACCCCTACCTTAGGATCCTCGGGAATGTATCAGACAAACTTTTGTATCCACACATGTGCCTTGCGTATGAGATGCGCCCGGCAGTCTAATTCGGCCCAAGTTCCCCTTTTTCCGTTTCGGTTCGGGGGTTTGCGCTATATGCTATGCTTTGCGTGGATACTAATCTCGGCTACCAATGAAGACATGTATGAATTCCTTTGCTTATTTCGTCTTGCTCGTGGATGCTCCGTCTGGAATGCCGCCCTTGCAGCTTGCAGACGGCATACATCGCCTTCTAGAAGAGCAGAGGAAGATTGCCCTATTCCAGCTGCCCTCCCGTAGCTGTTTCGCATTAAGCACTTGGCTGCTCCGTACTCCCTACAGATTCTGTGGGTCCAGACCGCGTCGCGTCGTCCCATGATGGGTACGGATACGGGGTACATAGCACTACTTCGACATCGGCCGACGAAATAACCGAGTAGGAACCTTAGGTACGTACATAGGGTTCGGTATCTCCGAACCTCATACAGCCACTCAAACGAACCCGTGGAGGTTCAGAATAATCAATAATTAGTGTCGCGGCCCAGGTGACACTTCTCTCACATCGGCACCACAAACTTATGTTCAAGTCCGGGTACTAGTGACTTTGTTTTATTTTGCCTCGATCTCTTTGTTATGCATGTTGCTTCACGTGGTTGTGTAACTCATCCCCATAGGGCGCGCTAAAAGCTACACTGGTAGTCTTATACAAAGTTCCCTCGTTTAGTGATCTGATTGGCAAAGTCATTTGAGTCAGATATTAATGGCTCATCCTATCCGACTGTGTCATTATCAACTTTCGACATACGTTGCATTGCAAGTTCTTTTCGTGTAATCTCCTAGGGTCAGTCTACACTTCCCTGCTTTGGCACGGACTAATTCATCCATGAACAGGTGATAGGCTAACAGTTTATATAATCATCCGATGTTCCAATTTCAGCCCTAGAGGGAGATGATCACATGTGCAACTTCCACAACTAATCCATTCAGAACCTTAATGTCTCCGATGTCCTAAATAGGTTGGCCGTGAGCCAATTCCTAGGTTCAGCAGAATCTTCGCTATTCACCCTGAACGAATACATTTGGAACTCCTAATTTCGCAAAGGATATGACCCTCAGCTTAGGGGACAGAAGATAAAGTGACATCTCTAATGATACGAGGCCTACTGAGGAATCAGGTCAAAGTGCACGCAATATGAGATGAATTGAATGGTTAAAGAAGCAAGAAACCATGAAAAACCACCACTAAAACTATCGCACACTAGGTTTGTTCACACCAACAGGAACTCGACTCTATAACTCAGGCCTAGCAGGCAACAATGTACACAAGGCGTTACACGTATATCAAACCAGATGAGCTAGGAAGATCACTTGTCCTTGTTCTGCCATCCGTTCTACCTAGGATCCAGAAAGCAGACCTCTATGGGAGATTGTCTTTGATTAATAGTGCTCCCAATAATAGTGAGCTGGCCAAGTCGGAAAGACTTCAGGTTGATCTAGAGTGAAACAAGTCCTTCTGCAGATCGTAGATGGTTGAATAGATGGAAAAGAACTTTGGATTGAAAGTTGTAGAATTCCTTGGCAGCTTCAAGCTTCTCTTGAAATATGCATTACATCAGATACTTTGATCATTGCTGTCAAAAATTCCGACCTTGGAAGGTAATTACGTATGGTAACTCTGTTTGCCCTGGTTCGGGGATTATGGTGTAATTTCAGTAAACATGGGATACAATGTAGGCAGGGGGTAGTAGAGATGCCATTCTGATGGGGAAGGAAGCCATGGGTTGCATTGGTGTTCAAACAAGGTAGGGAGCAGGTCTCACCAACCCAAGACAGAAACAGTCTCAACACATTCATTATTGTTGCCTGGGAGACTGTCTCTACCATGAGTAGTTACAAAATATACATACGAAACAGAACAAGGTATAAAATGGAACCACTTGGCAAGGACGTACATCCTAAGCACACATCTTCTCCAAGCGCCCGGGCAAGCCGAACAGTTGATGAAAAGGAGTTCGCGTCGACCGGGGGTAGTGTAAGCCCAGTGACACAGTGCAACGAGGCGTGTGCAAGCACAGAGGCCAAGTCGCGAGGTCCAAATATTGGAATAATCATGACGTTCTGCAATGCAGAACTACCAGAGATTAAACTGGTAAGAACAGATACTACACATGATCTAAGCCAGAGGCAAAGAGAGCTGAAGAAGAAAGAAAAGAAGAAGAAGTTCTGGGGGCAGGGCCACCTTCTTATAGGTATCCTAAGGGCGGTCGGTTTATGCCACTATTCACAAATGAGACAAACAACGACATAGTCTCGCTTAATGTGAATGGTAACGTGATGATATAGCCATGTGATGATAGGAACAGGAACATCTGAATGTGGCAATGTCTGTCGTGTGTCGTTGCCCTTTTGCGAATGCATACTTTGTCATAGACATGTGAATATAGCAAGATATATATCGAGTGTAGATGAAGTCCGTTACTAGTATCAATGACAAAAGAACCAACAAGTAACTATGTTTGAAGCAAGAGCTGAACTTCTGTATGCAATATATGTGGTGTCTTTGATGTACACTTTACATTTTCTATATAATTCTTAGATTTATCTTACTATTATAGGAGATTTCAAGGTTACCCCGAAAAGTGCATTTGATTCGTCAGGATGTTCACAGCGGAGCCTTCAGATTGAGGTAACAGTAATAACTCTTTAGAGATGAGATGGTCTCCGAGTCAATGCGACATTGCAGAGACGCATTTCTATTTCAAGCATCCTTCTAGAAATGCAAAAATATATTTAATGAAGAAGCTTCAATGAGAATTCGCCGTTGCTCCTTCGCCATTTGCCCATCGCGTGGGAGGAAATGGTAGGAACAGATCCGAACAGTAAACGAGAAGACCACTCTACATCAACGAAATGAAGACGGTGAATATGAAGATGTCTACTAGTAGCAGACTCTTCAAGAGCTAGAACGGTATGAATTGGCAGTGATATGCTTCCTCCTCTCATGAGATTCTTCGACCTGTGGATACTGTTCTCCTATCTTGGGCCGGGAAATCCGAGCTCCTGGCTTGAAACTCTTTCCCCGTCCTTTCCCTCGGCTTTTGGCAGAGTTCCTGTCTTCCCCTTGGGCATCTGCATGAGTCTGACTCTGCCGATTGCTAGGAGCCCCCAATAGTCATGTAATAACCCTGTCTCTCCAAAATCTAAAAAAACCCACAACCCTGTATGTTCCGGCCCTCTTCTCGGCTTTATCTCACTAATCTTATTGTGCATCAATTGAACAAGAGGCAAATATGCAGACTCAAATGTGCCCTGACGATATGGCCTGGGAATAAGCCGAGGAAACGTCTGACAAGTGGCTCGTTCAATTTCTTGAAGTTGACATCCTCAGACCGATTGCAGATTTCATCCTCACTCACAACAGAGGCATTGCTACCGAGTTTGCCATACTCAGAAATATCCTTGCGGTTAAAGTACCGAAATGGTGCCACCGTGATCCGGCTATCGCAGCCCGGTGCTGTCCTTTTCCCCGAGGAAAAAGTCGTGAATGAGGTCGCCGTCATGCGGTTCCTCGCCGACCAAACTTCAATACCTGTTCCTTTTATTCTTCACTCGGGTACAAGGAAGAGAGTCCCCTCGGTCTCAGCTCATTTATTATTATGGATTATATTGACCACGAGTCGAAAATTCACGACTCTCTTAACACACCGAGATGTCCGAAAGGGCAACGTGGAATCCTAGACCCGGATATCGACGAAGATAAGCTTGAAATGCTGTATGGGCAGCTGGCGGGAGTACTGCTTCAACTCTCTATCCCCTCTTTTCCTCGCGTAGGATCCCTTAGCCAGACCGATGACTTCACCTGGGAAGTAGTACTTCGGCCTTTATCAATGAATATGAATGAACTTGTTCGACTAGGGGGACTACCGCGGTCGAAACTGCCCGGCCTACATACAACATTCGACACATCTTCGTCATATATCGAAGCGCTTGCAGAACTCAACATCAATCATTTAGTTCATTAGAGAAATGACTCGGTGCAGTCTGCAGACGACTGTCGGCGGAAATTTGTGGCGCGGCAGCTCTTTCGCAAGCTCGTTAGGGATAAGAAACCTACAAACCCGTTACTCGAAAAAGAGCCTTTCAAACTTTGGTGTGATGATTTAAGGCCCGCTAATGTACTATTCAAGGAGAATATGCATATTGCCGGCGTGGTGGACTGGGAGTTCACGTACGCAGCACCCACTGAATTCTCTTATGCGCCACCTTGGTGGCTGCTCATTGAGAAGCCTGAGGACTGGCCAAAGGGCCTCGATGACTGGACGAGGTCGTTCGATGTCGTCTAAAGATCTTCCTCAGAGCGATGAAGAATTGTGAAGATATAGCAATCCAACAGGGTCGATTGCGAGAAGATCAGCAACTCTCCGGTCCTATGAATGACAGCTGGGAGAGTGGAGACTTCTGGATTCTGTACGCAGCGTTGCACAGCTTTGCTTTTGATGGTATATATTGGCAGAAGATCGACTCGCGATTTTTTGGACCTACCGAAAGTATCGAGGACGCCTGGAAGGAACGCCTTGATCTGTTGGATGAGGGACAAAAGGATGAGATGGAACTACTTTTAGATCGCAAGCTGCAAGAGATGAATACCAGAGTCTTATCGTGGGACCCGGATGCATATACATTGGCTTTCCACCAACAATCGAAGAGCCAGGAGGAAAAGGCGAACGAAGAAAAGGGAAAGCGAGAAGAACAGACTGAAGAACATAGTTGATCAAATTCATGCAGTGATCCTTTTGATCGCAAATTGACAAGGTCAGCAGTAAACATGCAATCGAAATAAACTAGAGATAGCGATCCATAAATGTTTATACTCAACAAGTCTCCGCCAGGGACTACACTTCCCCTTGTTCGATGATAACACGCCGTACAGGAACATAAGTAAGTCAAATCGTATTGGGAGACGAGTATTTCCTTATTTCTTCAACATTTGCCATAATAATTAGTTGTTTTCCACTCAAACAAGGCAAATGGCTTGATCGGGTAAATTTCGATCTGGGCTGAAATCCCGACTGACTCAGAATTGAGGTTTTTGTGCCGAGAATTTCTAGGATGCTGAACCAATCTGGAGATTAGCGCAAAAACATGTGCAAAAAGGTCTATGGCCAAGGCAATAAGTACGAAACCCTTGTCGCTGACGTCAAATGTCTTGGGGTCTCTTGGGGTCTCTTGGGGTCTAATATATAGCCCTGGCACATCCCCTCATCTCTAAGATTGAAATATTCCCAACCAGCCCATAGATACAATTCATGCTCAAGTCATATCTAATATTATCTAAACTAATTCATCAATGCCAGATCCCACTAATAAAACACAAGTACGATATCGACATGCAAGATCCTTCGTGGCTGGTAACATTCCCAACATTCCTGAAGAGCACAAGACCACGCTCATCCCCTTCCCAGCCATCATACCTGGCTACTCCAGACTTACATTTCGAATAGCTGTAGGCTTTCGCTCCGTATGGCTTTTGCTCTGTATGCAATTACGGGCAATGCATACATTCCACGAAGAATTAACTCTCGATACTACTATGAAGAATATATGTGTCCCCGCCCTTTCTAACAGCCCACGTCTGGAATGAAGCGATCGTGAGAAATCTTGACCCCGATCGTGCCGGCTATCCCGCTTCCATTATGGTATGTATATAAGGATCGCGAACCGGGCGAGAATCGCAGATTCGGGTGTCTGTCTTCTCATTGAATATCGAGCCTCCGCATCATCTGTTGTGGTCATCCCCAGAGGCTGCATACCGGATCCAACTACATCTTGCAGACCACCAGAACCAGACCAACGCATACACCCGATCCGCCGTCATGTCGGACTTCAAGGGCCTATTCCAGACGGTGGCAGTGTTCGTCGCGTTTATACTCACCCTCCTATGTCTCTTCTCAGGGACGCAGAGGAACTTCCTCGACGATGTGGATATCTTAACGGTAAGTCCGACCGTCTCCAAATACTCCCTAGAAGTGGCAGGTAGAGTCAGAAGACTGACTCGACCCCCTTTATCCATTTAGCTCTACACACCAGACAGCACCGGCAGTGGAGTGCGCGATTTATATTCCGTCCACGTCATGTCCTACTGCCAGGGAACACTGGTGACCATCGACCCAGGCACAGAAGTCACGCGCAACGTGACCGAATGCTCGAACCGCGCGATTTCATCCTCATTTGACCCGACACAAGCCTGGCCGAAGGAGCTCACCTCCAGTCCGGATATGAGGTGGCAGCGCGTGATCAGCGACGACTTCCACGCGTTCAGAATGACATGCCAAGTCATGGCGGTGATGTACTGTATCGGCATTGGCGCGATGGGCGCTGCGATGCTTGTACGAGTATGGACGACTCTCGCTCCGCGCGCATGCCAGGGCCCGCTTGAATTTTGGTTTTTCATGGTGAGTTAGTGACATATACACGAACACGATCTGGTGATCGAGTTAGCCCCCTACATAAACTCTGCCTGTGCAGGTCGTTTATGCAGGCAGTACTGGAGTGTACTTCCCAGTTCAGCGTGGTGCATTTCCATTTTCCAGTTCGGAGTTCGGATTTCCCCAGAACACGGCAAATGCAAATGGCTGACCATGATATCATAAAATTAGGTCGGGTCTTTTACCGTCAGCGTCGCATCCATAATCGCAACGGTCATCGCCTTTGAATTCGTCGCTCTGATTAATGCCCACGGCAGGGGCTCGAACGTGACAGCCCATTATGGCGAGAAATTCCTTGGGATGACTTGGGCCGCGGTGGGGCTGTTACTCGCCGGTAGCGTTGCTTGCTTTGTGAATGTGTATGTTAACAAACGGGCTGGATATGCGCCTGCGGCCGTCTCAAAAGATATAGAGGGGTAATCAGCACAGGGAGCGGTGGTCTTAGCCAGTCGGAGAGCGCAGGTTACAGATGGGGGAGCGGAGATCGGGGAAACTCGCAGAATCGCATATAATCCGTCCTATAGTAGATAGAGAGCCATTTATGAATCGAATGATATCACCCATCAGATTCTTCCCGCGTAACCAATAGAGAACAGTGGCCAATCTAACTAGTTTCGAGCGAAATTGCAAAATTGCCCATCCGGCTTGCGATATCTGAGGGGCCAATGGTCGGGCCCGGAGGGACCTCGAGGGTGAGGCTTTTTTCCCCCTAACTTCCAGGGGCTCAGGCATGTTGGGCAGTGCAAACCAGGCAGTGATCTGATAGTCCATCGGGGCTAGAGCGAGAGCGCGTGGAAGGCGATAGACGTACTTCGAATAAAGACCTCGGCTTGATGGAGTTGGCCGCTACTTAATGGGGAAAAAACTGGGTCAACCGTTCATCCGACGTCACCGCATGTGGATATCAGTTGAGGTTCTATTGAATATCGTGAAGAGTCTCGAATTTTCCTTGGAGTAACCATGTATTATACCTCAAACCAATATACCCAGTTTCCATATAATGGCTCAGACGCCTAGGACCACTGTACTCCGTTGGACTTTTCCCGGCTGATTTTCCGACTGTAGTCGCCAAGATTCTCGTCAAAGCGCGAAGTATTGACCAATATGGGCGGGTTTTCCCGGTGCTTTCTTTTCTTTTGCCGGTGAATGGTTCAAGCGTGCGCATGAAACGAAACCTATAAGTTGCTCAAATGGGAATAGTGTATTGTCTGTATGCCCTCGGTGGTGGTTGGAGTTGCACAGACATGAAAGCGGGGGGAGGAAGAAGAAGGAATGTAACATCTCTCGGGTCAATAATCCTCTTTGTTTAGAATATTGGAGCGAAATCGAGAATTACAAGTAAATAATCGAGCAATAATACAGGGATGGGAAATATTCATCATGTCCTCATTAAACAGGGCGGAGGTTAGTCCCGTCGCCGAGCTATCTATGAAGTCATCGTGAGATTTCCAAGGGACGAGCATAGTCCTAGGCCTTTTCATAGTTTCTGCCCTACTTTCCCCCTCTTTCCTTAAATAGCTGCACTTTCCCCTGGAGAAACTGCAACTTACACGACTTCCTCTTTAGTCTTAACCACTCTACTCTACTTCTCCTCCCACTTCTACTTCTCTCTCTACTCTACTCTACTATAGCCTCTACTTCTACTTCCAATTCAATTCCCACTTATACTCCCACATCTCTTCAACTTAAACATGGAGAAGAAGGCTGTTCACTTCGGTGGTGGTAACATCGGCCGTGGCTTCGTGGCCGAGTTCCTCCACACGGCTGGCTTTGAGGTCGTCTTCGTCGATGTCATGGACGGCATCATCACTGCTCTACAAAACACCAAGTCCTACGAGGTCACTGAGGTCAGTGATGAGGGCGAGTCTACCAAGACCATCACCAACTACCGTGCAATCAACTCCAAGACCCATGAGAGCGATGTCATCAAGGAGATCTCAACCGCCAGTGTTGTAACCTGTGCCGTGGGTCCGAACATCCTCAAGTTTATCGCTCCCGTCATTGCCAAGGGTATCGACGCCCGCACCGCCACCACACCGTTGGCCGTCATTGCCTGTGAGAACGCTATCGGTGCCACTGACACTCTACACCAGTTCATCAAAGACAACACCGCCCGAGACCGTGTTGGCTCTATGCCAGACCGAGCCCGGTTTGCTAACTCGGCCATTGACCGTATTGTACCTGGCCAGCCCGCCCACAGCGGTCTCAATGTACGCATCGAGAAGTTCTATGAATGGGCCGTGGAGTCCACTCCTTTCGGCGAGTTTGGTCACCCAGACATCCCAGCTATTCACTGGGTCGGTCACCTGGAGCCCTACATTGAGCGCAAGTTGTTCACCGTCAACACCGGCCACGCCACTGCGGCCTACTATGGCTACAATGCCGGCAAGAAGACCATTGCCGAAGCCCTCAAGGACCCTCGCATCCGCGGCATTGTCCGTAACGTGCTTCAAGAGACTGCCTCCCTCATCATCGACAAACATGAGATCAGCGCCGCCGAGCAGCAGGAGTACGTCGAGACCATCATCACCCGAATTTCCAACCACTACCTTGAGGACACGGTCGAGCGAGTGGGCCGTGCCCCAATGCGCAAACTGTCCCGCAAGGAGCGTTTCATCGGCCCGGCTGCCCAGCTGGCTGAGCGTGGCGGAAAGTTTGACGCACTGATGGGCTCTCTTGAGATGGCTATGCGGTTCCAGAATGTGGAAGGTGACGAGGAGAGTGTGGAATTGGCCAAGGTCCTCAAGGAGAACTCGCCTGCCGACGCTGCTGCCCAATTGACCGGCTTGGAACGAGACCACCCTCTCTTCCCCCACGTGGTCAAGGTCGTGGACCGCGTACAATCTGACGCAAAGTAGGCACCTCTTTCTTGCGCCTTCTCACAACATCCTAACATCACTATTTCAGAAGAGAGGCAGGGCAACCGCGCATTTGATTTCGCTTTGACTGAAATTCAACTTGCATGGAATATCGCGAATACCAGGTATACGGCGCGGGAGTAATGGGATCAGTGTTTTATATGACTTTACGAACTGACTGAACTGACTGAACTGAACTATGAATAGCGAATGGAAAATCAATATCCTTTGCCATCCTTCTCTTAAAAAAGTAATCTCACAACTTACTATCCACCCAGACGGGCTTTCTCTTCTCCACAAAAGCCCTAAGCCCCTCCTTGATATTCTCCCCCTCATATAACCTCTTAACCCAAGTATCATTCAACATCGCTGTAGCCTCATCCGCCCCAATACCCTCCCACCCCAACTTAACTCCCTCACGACTAACAAGCACCGAATCAGGACTATTCCCCGCAATCTGCCCAGCAACCCCCAAAGCCTTCCCCAAAACAGCCCGACCAATCTCCTCGTCCCCATCCCCCTCACCAATCCCAATAACAGAATTAACAAGTCCCCACCTCTCAGCCTCCACAGCCCCAACCGTCCGCCCCGTAAGAACCATCTCCATAGCCCGCTGCTTGCCCACCGTCCGCACAAGTCGCGGCAACGCCCCAGCAAGCGCAACAACCCCACGCTTCACCTCCGGCAACGCAAATACCGCCCGCGATGACGCAACCACGATATCGCTGTTGATGATCATCTCCGTGCCGCCGCCGAGACAGAGTCCGTTCACGGCGCAGATCACGGGCTTCTTGCCCTTGCGTCGTGCTAGTCCGCCGAACCCGCTGTTTGGCATTGGCGTTGTGGAACTTGAGGTTGTTGCTGCTGATGAGGTGCGGTTGTTCCATTCTGGATTGAGTTAGCGGTTTGTTAGAAGGGATTGGAGAGGGGATTAGGGCATTAGGGGATTGTGAGATTGCGGTTGTTGTGATATTTGCTGTTGTATGTATGTAGACATGGCTGCGCTCACCTTTTAGATCAGCGCCGGCGCAAAACGCTCGTCCTTTTCCCGTTAAGATGCCCACGCGCATGCTCGGCTCTTCGTCGAGCCATTCCCAGACGGCGTGGAGGTCTGCGTGGCCTTGCGCGTTTATGCAGTTCAGATCGCGGGGTCGGTTTAGCGTAACCAGGAGGATGTGGGGTGCTGGGTAGGTGAGGGTTGCGTGGGCTGGGGTCGGGGGCTGGATTGTGAAGGATGGCATTTTGATTTCTTGGTATTTCTAGGAGAGATTGATTTTTTATTGAGGAGAGGGGAGAAAGAAGAGTTAATTAAGGAAATGATATAGGAAACTAGAGGTGATCGACAGAAGTTGGGGGTAGTTTGCAGATGCGGAGAACCGAGGACCGAGGAGTGTGGGGGATAGTTTACTACGTCTCTATCAAGGATGGCTTTAGAAGTGTTCTATGGCCTTGTTGCTTTACACTAGACGATAGCTGTATGTTACTATGCATTGTACAATTGTACGAATTGCAGGTGATAAATCAACCTGCCTGTGCCGTATGAGATCAATACATCCGCCCACCTCCCAAGTTCCTTATGAACGCCGAAAAAAAAACGCCCCCGAACGAAATCACAAATAGATTTGGATATCAATAAGCTCAGAAGCAATTACAGCGTATGATGGATCTGGCGCACCTACGCCTTGTTGATCCAACCACTGTGTACCATGAAATCATAAATGCGGCTAGTTTTGGTGCCCTCAATCTAACAGAATCAGTAAGAGTCCGCATGCAAGAGTCGAGTGAGAAACATACCTTGCAAATCATCCGTGCATCTTTCTTCTTCAGGTTGCCGCCCTGCTTCATTGCTTCCTTCAACAGTGTCTCCTTGATGACCAGATATGGCTTAGGCATCAGGCGTAGAACATTGCATACTTCTGCCTCTTCCTTGGTCAGGAGATGCAGATCGGCAGCAGTCTCATTGTCCAGCTTCCACGACGGCATCCCGCTTAATGGAGGCACCACATATTTCGTCTTTGCCGGCTGCGGGGGAGGCGCATCCCCATCGACAGCGAAGGCGCGATCGAAATCGTTCAGTGTTTCTTCGGTGGAGTCCGCTGGTGCGTGTGGATTGGCCGCTTTTTGCAGTCGCAGAGGCAGTTCAGGTGTTGTAAGCTGAATCGCTGCCGCGGGTGTCTCTGTCAGCTGTGACTGCTTAGGGCGGGTGCTGGCAAAACGGTCAAATGATCCTTGAGGAAGCAGTCGTTGAACGCGCTGTTGCTTATCCTGCTCGTACTTCTCGCCTGCCTTTAGGTCACCGATGCCCATCTGGCGCCATTCTTGAAGCTGGGAGATGGCTAGGCGGAGGTTGTGCTCGTACTCTAAGCCCTTGTTGACGTCTTCAAAGTCCTTGCAGTTCATCATCCGTGCTAGTGGCTTTGCTTTGTTCAACAAATCTCGCTCTTCCTTGGACCGTTTCTTATCTAAGGCGGTGTTCTTTCGGTAGTCGAGGAGGTTGTGCTCGAAGAGGATTTTCTTGCGCTCTGTTCGCGCTGTCAGGCGGGAGTTGTAGATGTCAACCAC